TTAAATTAATTTTTGTTTTCTTCCTTTTCTCAGGACTGCTCAATATCAGCAGCAGGAAGCAGTGGCACCATAAGCCACAATTTGGGATGGGTAGGTATGGATCCATACTCAAACTACACTAACTTCTTGGACAAAATAAGGCCTGGCGATCAAGAAACGCTGAAAGAAGAACAAGAAGGAGAAGATGGAGCCCCTGAGATTGAAACTCTCCCTCTTTTTCCCATGCACGGTGAGGACGTCCACGGCTACTGCAACCTCAGGTCTGATTCTTCTTACTATGGCGGTGGCTGGTATCACGGCGATGAATATGGCTTCAAGAACAATGGCTCTCATCGTACTTCCCTCGAGCTCACTCTCAACTCCTACACCCGCAGATCTCCAGATTCAAGTTGAACCACTGATGACTTTCCATGTTCGGCTTCTTAAGTTGTAGATGCTAGCTTGTCTTAGCTATGTTCCTATATTTAGGTTCTGTATGTGAATTACTGGTTATGGTCAATTAATGAGCACATGAACTATTTAAGAAACTTGTTTTATGCTAAGAGTCATGTTCCCAACCCGACACGTGTCGGGCAGGGAACTTAATGGATGTTGACTAATAGATATTAAAGTTTGTTACTTTGTCCGTTTCCCAATAACATTCCGTCATTATTTTGCTAATCGGAATGATTGCCTTAAAAAATGAGCATAATCATGCGAGTTAATTTACATCCCTTGATAAAAAGAACCTGTTTTTCAGAATTTTGCAACAGCAGTCTCGATCTCTTTCAACCTCAGACCTCATCGTCATTATTTGGCTTAGAATGGAAAATGCGTCTCTCTGCCAGTGGCTAGAACCATCTTATTCGTTTCCCAGGATCAAAATAGGAAGTGTATGTAAATAAGCAAGGAAGAATTACGTATAAGTCTCAAACAAGAGACATGTTTGAAGACAAGACTCCTAGGTTTAGTTGTAGTTTATCACATTTGGGAGAGGACCAAACTGTCCCTACTAATTACAAGAAAACGAAACAAGTGGGTTATTCATATTTCATAGAATTTCCAACCAAAAGAGTCCCAAATCCCCTAATCGCACTTGCCGCTTCAAAACACCAAAGTGAGGATTGAGGAACCCACAAAATCAAAGTCGAGACTTCTCACCCACGGGCGGCCAAGAAGACGTCCCTGAATGAGAAAGACGAATGCTGCTGCGTTCGAGATGGGAAGGAAAGGATGCTGATGGTTAAGAGATTTTGATTTCGTGGTATTTTAATATCAAATAACAAAAAAATGTATATAAATAAATTTAATTATTAAAATTGATCTAAACGGTTCAACATATTCATATTTATTTTTAGTATAATATTTTATATCAGATCTAATGATAGTAAACCCCAATTGATCTAATAATAAGAATAAAAAAGTGGAACTTGCCTTCCTGATTCCTCAATTTGTGTTTCAAGTGCCTGGTGTGTTAAGGGGATTGAGATTTTTTTTTTTTAAAAAAAATCATTTAATAACCCGCTGATTTCATTAACTTTTTCATAAGCAGGGCCAACGTGGTCTTTTTACGTATGTGGCAAATTACAATCAACTTCCTTCGCAAGACTTGTTTATGAAAAAAGTCCTTTTATTTGGGTTTATACGTAATTTTTTCGGTAAATAAGCTCTGGCCAGCGATTCGATCGTGTGAATGATCCGATTCTCTACAAGCAGCTATGAACATCTTTTCCCCCAAAAGAGCAGAGAGGTTTTTGTGGCTTTGAACTCTGGACAGAGATTTGTGTGGGGACCACTGAAGAAGCCCTGACAACTTGTACGGTAAGCTGGCTTCTTCTTCATTATTTATTTGAAAAATTTGTACGGCTGAAGATAAAGAAATTCCCATTCAAAAGTTTTAAATTCTAAAGATAAAAACTTTAATTGCCAAGAAAAAAATTACATGGCAATTTAAAATTTCAAGACAACATCAAGTTCTAGTTAATATGCATAAGCTTTGTTATTTATTTTGTTTAATTTGGTTAAAACGTTTGTTCCTCCGAGCATTTTATGGAGCTGTGGAGGGTGATGATGATGTTGGCGACAGCGACAGACCGTAAGAAATGAAATGACTAGAACTTTTTTGAGAAATGGGACTGCTAACATGAGACTCTACTCACACGTGAAAACTAATGTTACAAATTGGTAAAAGTTATAATTTATAGAAGTAGATGTCCTACGAAAAAAGAGAGAGAGAGAGAGACAGAGACGGCATTGGGGAGATCAGTGGAAAAGGAAAAGCTAAAGGCTGAGAAAGAACAGGTGGGGAAGGAGTTGGGGGAGGCATGATGAGAAGGGAGACTGGGCCGAATTCTGCTGCAAGTAGGAGGGTATACATTTTGAAGTTTGAACCCAACTTCGTAAATGCTGCATAATTATTCTGCTGCTTCTACCTACTCAATCATCCTATGGGCCACTCCCTACCACCCCTTCTCGCAAAATCAATTCTTCTTCCTCTGAAATCCCCCCTTTCAAACATTCCCACTTTCGATTCTGTGTGTGTTTAGTCATCATTATATACGTATACGTATATACGTACATGCATGCAAACTTTACTTTTGACACGTATTTCATAATGTAATTACCAATTCTAACTTATCCTTTTTTTCACTTTTTATGATAATCCAAACTTCGGTGTCACAAATTAATTAAGTGGACGCCATGTGTGCCAAAAGTGTCTCAACGGACTGGGGATTGCCGAGCCATATGCAAAAGGTGGTTCTCTAATCCTTCCTTTCTTTGGTGAAGACAAATTAAAATATTATTTTCCTGCTTGAGTTTGATGAAACCTTGCACTTTCGGGGCTTAAAACGGCGTTATGTGGAGTTTCGGGTAATAGTAATCTAGAGGCAGGTGCGTGCGCACGAGGAAATCATAGACTACTGCATTATTTTTGTTGGTTAGTAGAGAGAGATTGAGCCGTGAATCTTTAAAGCCTTTCGCTTCGACGGAATGTCAAATATTAGTACTTGTCATGCGTCAAACTTGTGCAACTCTGTGAACATACATATTTTCTTGGGAGCGTATTTGTAGTGCGTCGTTATTAGATTGAACAACCTGAGAACCAGATATTTTATTGCATTGTGAATAAATTTTTGCTACAGACCAGACCTAGCTCTAAGCCAAAGCCAACTCAGAGTAGTGGATATGTAAATGTGAGTCAAAATGAGATACAAAATTGATATGGTTACGGGGGGAAAAAAATAACAATAGTTGATCTTTGTTTGAACGCGAAGACGGGGGACTGATCGAGGATGAGGCGTCCCGAAGACAAGCTTAATGCTGTGAGCTAGTAATGAAGACGGGAAAGAGTGATCAAGCAGGTCATGGATGGGCTTTTCTTCTAGCAAAAAGCCATCGGGAGAGAGGCATTGACGGCCTTCTTTTAGGCTTGTTTGGAGAAGGTGGCGACTCTATGGGTTCAAGTGCTGCAGGAGGACTGGCGAATTTCACGTATCTTTTCTTGTGCAACTCCTTGGCATCATCATCTTCCTGGGCAGGCGCATTGGCAATGAACTTGAGGTCCTCAATCTCGGGATCATCCCTCTGCTTCAGCAACCTCAACTCTCTCCCCTTCACCTCCTGCAATTCGTTCTTAGTCTGCTGGAGCTCTTCTTTGAGGGACTTAATGCAGCGAGACATCGAGTTGGCTTCCTCTCTGGCTTTCTCAAGGCTCTGTTTTGCTTCTTGGATCTCAGCCTTCAATTCGGCCTCTCTGGACTGAACATTCCCAGTTTCACTCTGGGCCGCTCGTATCTAGACATATAAATAACATGAAGTGATGAATAACAATGCACGAAGCAGAGCCGCAAAAAGAAAATGATGCAGAATGAGCTGGAGAACCTGTTGAAACATGGGAGCGTAAATTTCGCCGACGAGTACTTTTTCGCCGAACAAGGCGACGGCTTCTTTGACGGACTTGAAGGGGGCTCGAGTGTCGATCTCAGAACGCGCCATGATGATCAAGATTGGAGCTTGAGGGAATGAAGAGGGGGGGGGGGGTTGGAATTAATAGAAGGGGGAACGTTGTATGGTGGTTAGAGGAATGGGAGACTGATTTGGGCGGAGTTAATTAAATTTACTTTGCGTCCACTTCACTAGTATCTTGTTATTCGAGGTTGACAAGGAGGGAGGTGGTTGAAGCAAGCCCATTGGTTCCGTTAGTTGGTTGCATCCGTCTGACAGGGACCCGTCTCCTTTCTCCAGTCCTGTTGCTTTCACTTCATAATTCACAACTCTATCTGTCTTCACACTAACATATACAGCACCCTCTTTCCTTTGATGTGTGCCCTCACTTACTGCTCATTAAATATAAGTGATCCGCATGTTAATGCTGACATGACATTTGCACTCTTCTCTTTTAATTTAAATCAATGTATCACAGTCCATTATACTATCATTAAATAATTTTTTTTTCAATTGTGTCTCAAAGTTTTCGAAGTCGAAATTAAGTTTTAGTACCTAATTAATTAACTTCCTGAATCATAAAACAAACAGGTCACTGGAAGTTTTCTTATTATGAGAGATTGTTTCTCTTTCGGTTAATAACAGATTTAGCCAAAGGCTAATTCGACTTTGACAGATGGACATTGTCACATTGTATATATTTTGAAAAGCTAGCAGAAAAGGTTCATAATTCACAGTGGCGTTTAGTTAGTTCATTCTATGGTTCAACAGAATGATGTTTCCTGAACCAAAAGCTAACGAACAGGTGCTTTCTCGAGCCCAAAAGAGGCTATTTTATTAAGAGTGGGGGACAAAAAAGAAACCCTGCCCTGCTACTGAGGGGCTATTTTATTAAGCATAACAATACGAAATTACGAATAGTCAAGATGGTAGCGTTATTTTGGCCGTCCAGATAGTTAATTTATTTTTTTCTTCATAATTCGAAGTGGCATTAAAATATCGGAATGAGTGTATTTGTCATGAAACAGATGTTTTGTTTTCCTGGTCAAACAAAAAGAGAAATAGCATGAGTAGTTAATTCGTTCATATATTTTAATGTTGATATTAATTGACGGTGATGGTTGATTCTGCGAAAAAGGATTGCTTGGATGTGAATTATCATATCCACAGCAAAAAATGACAATGGGATATGGCAAGTAATTCGAAAGCTGAAAAAAAAAATCAATTATTGGAATATTCAGACCACGCCATGTGTGGTCCCTATCAAAACTTGGGAGGCTTCCAAGTAGAGACAAAAGAAAAACAAACGAACCAGCAAACTCCGACAGACAAAAACCTGGGCCACAACAAGAAAGACAACCAATTACAACCTCAGTTGATCATCACAAAGCCATATCCGCTTTGTCTTCTGGTTCTGCTTCCTCCTCTGGAAAGCGAAGGTGCTTTCCTTTTGGGGTTGGCAAGCCCTTGAGGTGCAGCACGCTGGGCGATGCCTCTTCATTTTCCTTTTCTTCTTCTTCTTCCCCTACAAGCTCATCATCACTGTTGTAAACAAATCTCGTGTGTTTTCCCTCGAACTTGGGAACTGCCCTCTCGTTCACACTGATCTTGTTCAACCCTTCACACAGTTCGTCGACCAAGCCTCCGTCATCATATTCTTCATCCTCATCATAATACTCTTCGTCCTCCTCCTCCTCTTCAGCCACTTCCTCCTCATCCTCGTCGTGTGTGCTTGCATTCACCTGTATTGACCAGATGGATGCATCATCATCTTCTGCAGCGGGCTTGTCTTTACCTCCTCCTACTACTTCCTGATATGTCAGCTCAGAGGAGCATTCTGATAGATCCGATATTTCCGATTTGTCTGAAAAATCCATCAGGAGCGATCTGGTTATCTGGTTTTTATCGGAGTCAGGGCTCCCTTGATTCACGACCTGCCATTAAGAAACAAGATTCCATCAGACAATTCCATCGAGAAATCTTATTCCCGGTGAAAATCTAATTAGTTTCACCAGAAGTCGACGGACCTGAGAAACTGAATGTTCCTCGATTGCCTGAGGTGTCACTGAAGCTTCGCCGGAGAGATTGGAGATTTGGGGAGTATTAGCGGGAGTCGGAGCAACCACTCCCGAGGGGGAATTCACAAGTTGAAGAAAGGGACGACTTTCCAGCGATATTTTCGAAAGTACTGCTTCTTCTTCCACCCTCTGCAAGAGGGTCTTGACCTGACCCCTGAGCAGAGCCTCTCCGGATCCCGGCGTGTTCTTGACCTTCTGCTTCACAATGGAAGAAGACGGCGTCTTGAGATTGCCGCCTGCGAGCCCCACAATTGGAGAATCATTCGTTATATCGATAAGGACCGATCGGTCTTGCTGCTTCCCGTTTCTTTGCCTTGATTTTGTCAGAGCCTTCTCAGAATCTTCTGTCTTTCCTGAAAGAGAAGATAAATACGTTAACTCAGTCTTTCAATAATAAGGCCGATGAAAATTTGACAAATAGAAAGGGATTTTGAGAATTCGATTGTAAAGAAGATGACTCACTCGAAACTGGGATGTTGTTGATGAGGCTGATGCCGTTAGAATTGTTAGTAAGAGCAGCCGAGGCTTGAGATCTGGTGACTCTTCTTGTTGATGAGGGGGTCTCCATTGAAAACCTGAAATTGATTCAAGATTGCACAAACTCTGGAAGCTTTAAGCGATAATCGTGAAGAGAGAAAAGCAGAAGAACTCGAGATTGGGAAGGGACGCGAAGGTAGTGGGGTTTATAAAGGAAGTAGGGTTAATATGACCGTTGGCCAACGCGGCGTCCTACATCTTTATTTTAGCAAGAAATGGACGTTGTCAGCCGGAGAAACAAGAACTAGCCGTTAGCGCTCATTTTTTGAATTATGTGTCTGGTTTGGGCCACAAGGCCACATTATCCATAGTCCAGCCCATTGATAATTCTCTTTATGGTGGTTATTCTGCAATATTGTTTTTGGGTGTGTTTGGCAAGCACCCCAAACCATCAAACCATGGTTTGAGAAAAATGTTAGCCAAACACTCTTAAAAAAAATCAAAACAATGGTTTTGACTCCAAAACCATGGTTTTGAGAAAAGCAGAAATTTTTTACTTTTGGAGGAAAAGGGGAAGAGTGTGAGAGCCTATAGGATATGTATCTTGTTGTTTTTCTTATAAACATATTTTTTATAAATATATTTAATCTTATATCTTATAAATATATATACATATTAATTATTTATTAATTATATATCTTATATATTATTAATATATGTTAATAAAAATATATTATTAACAATTTTATTCCTTCAAATTAAATATATCATAAAATATATTTTTTCTATAATTATCATATTAATTTATGCCAATTTGTATATATAAAAGTACTTCTAATAACAACTATCCAAACACTCACACTTCTCAAAATCACTTTTTCACAAAATCTATTCTTTCCAAAATCTATTTTTTTTAGAATCTATTCTCCAGAAGCTATTCTCCAAATCATGGTTTGGTTTCATCCAAACGCACCCTTTGTCACTTTGTGCCTGTGTACTTTGACAGATTTAATTGTTCTCTCTCCTATTATAGCTATTTATCTGGAATAAATATTGTTGTATTTTTTAAAAGATAATATTTTCTCATTCGTTTATGGAATTACTTAATTGCAATCAAATAACTGATGATGCTTCTAGACTGCTAATGGAGAAATTTCTCTTATGAAAATCAATTGTATTCCTGGCATTCAAAGTCTAGACTGCTAATTGGCACCTATTGAATATAGAAATAAAGTAAGAGATATATCCACGTATAAAAATTCGGGAACTGATGAATTGAGAAGGGTTGCTAATGATCTCGTGATCTCGGTTTGAGGCCAAAACTTTTTTTTGCCCTTTCAACTGGCATTCAAATAATGGAGATGAAATTAGTAGATAATAAACGAAAAATGACAATATATTCGCATGCAAATTGTAGAAGATATCAGTTGTTGAGGAGGACTTTCACTGTACTCTTTTAGTCTTATTTATAAGGTAGAGAGAAAAAAAAAACATTTTGTCCTATTTATAGGGTAGAGAGAGAAAAAATTGTACATGAATGTGCAACTTTAACTTTTATTTATTATCTGGTGCGTGCTTGGAAGGGTCCCTTGTGGGTGCTCTCAAACCCCACATCGGATGGGTGTGTGAGTGTGTTAGTGTGTATAAGTAGGACATTCGAGCTGTTTAGGTACCACCCACGTTAGGTGGTTTTCCCTTCAGTCTCTGGTCCAAAAAAAAAACTTTGATTTATTATCGTGTTAACTTCATTTTCATGAGATACATTATATATAAAATCGGAATGAAATTGAAAAGTTGTTAGATTTTAAATAAGAGTTGATAAAATTTAAAGTTTTTATTAGTCTGTAAAATATGTTAAAAGTGGCTTATAAATAAAATCAGAAGAATGTTGAATTTGAAAATGGGAAAAAATAATCTGGTATATTTAAGAATGAGTGTTATGTTAGCCTACCAAGTTAAATTATGGCTTCCAATTTTTACCCTTCATTTATTATCATGTTGATTTTTTTTTGCAAGTATAATGTATATTATACAGATATAAAATTGAAAAATTATTGAGTTTTAAATGACAGTTAATGAAATTTCAGATTTTTTTTTCTATCTATATGAAATATATTAAAAGTGACTTATAAATAAAACCAGACGAGTACCGTTGTGTTCTAATTTATAAATCACTTGTAGGGAAAAAAGATCATTTCTAAATACAAGTCATTTGTAGGATAATTAATAAGCTTTTTTGTTTTAATTTTACCCCGTTGACTTAATAATTGCAGAAAGAGATAAAGTAAATATGTGAGAGGAAATATAAAACATATTTGTAATACCCCTTCTTTAAAAAAGAATAAATATGAAAAAATTATTAATTTAATGTATTTTTTTTTGTTTGTAAATGTGGGACAGAAGTGATTTGTAAATAGCATCGGAGTGGCACGGTAGCAAACGCCAGTCATGGAAGCGAGACAGCTTAGAAAATGACAAGCCTCAGCATCAGATGAAGAACACAGATGCTGTTTTGGGAATGGAAATGATGAGAATAGCAGCGAGTATGTGGGCATCCCGCAGAGTTGAGTTGTGTGTACGTTTTATGGGCGTGAATACTGACGCTTTTCAAGCTCAAGGTCCCCATCGTGCTCCCTTTCGAATGCTTCCACGTTCCTCCCTCTCATTACTCCTTCCACATTCCCCTTTTTTTTTTTTTTTTTAATTTGCCTGAACCATCATCATATCCCCGCCCGCAGATAAATCTGCATATATACGATTGAGTCCCAGATTATTATAAGACAATGCCTTGACTGAAGCTTTTTAAGATTACAGAAACCCTGACGAATATACTGAGTATTTAAATTTTTCTTTGACCTTGAATATTGAATATTTAATTAAACCTTGAGTTTGATTTTGTTTTTTTTATTTAAAAAGAAAAAGGTTAGATGATGATGGTACACACGAGAAGGAGGAATTGGTAGGCATGGGATGAAGGATGAATTGGTAGGCATGGGATGACGTTACAGGGGATGCAATTTTCAGAACAAAACAGTGAGAATTGACTAATTCTGTATGTGTGACGATGCCCCTGCGCATGTGCAGTTTCCCTTTGGCTTTGAAGGTTAGGTGATCCCATTATTATATCCGCCCCATTTCTCATCTCATCTTCTTAATTCGGCCTAATTATCATTAATTTATGCAAGCAATCATCCACGGCTCTAACACTCTCAACGGCTCCTATTAATTAATTACCCACCATTTTCATCGTCCTTTTCAAGCGTATATGATATACTGAATGCATATTGTGTCTAAATAAAAGGAAAGAATACACATTATACCAAAAAAAAAGGAAAGAATACACAAGACGTTTAATTTCACGGATTCGGATGTATCTGGCTAATTAATGGTAATCTCATCTTAACTGAATATAGAATTTAAACGGTGTCTGTCTAATATATATATATATATTAATTGAAGTTCAATTTCTTTTTGGGCTAAAGATACAACTTGTTATGGGAAAAAATAAAATAAAAAAAGTGGAAAATGAAGCTGGACCTAACCAAAGGAATAGAGATGGGAACGTGAGAAAATCCAAATCCTGAAATTAAATGCTGATCCTGATCGGCTGATGGGGTGAATGAGGGAAGCACATACTGTCCACAAGAAATATATCAGCACCGGGGAGCGTTCATGAGAAGCCGGCTTCTAGAAGAAATGTGGGGGGAGAGAGAGAGAGATGGGGAACGGGAGACGGGCTGGTAGCTGGGTGTGTGATTTATGAGCACAACTTCTTCGCCCTTCCCCGGCCCCGTGCCCCGTGCCCCGTGGTAGTTAGAGCTGTCCCATTTACATCTTACTCCACCCCCCTCATCCATTTTCATATATAGCCATTACCTTCTCTTCCCTTTCCCCCCATCCACTCTCCTACTCATCCCTCTCCCTCTCCCTTCACTCGTACTTGTACCCCAACATGGCACCCGCCAAGACTCTCACTTCCCTTTCTGACGAGAACGCCTTCGAGTCTCGCTTCCTCCGCGACGAAGACGAGCGCCCAAAGGTCGCCTACAACCAATTCAGCAGTGATATCCCCATCATCTCTCTCGCCGGCATCGACGAGGTTGACGGTCGCAGGGCCCAGATCTGCAAGCAGATTGTTGAGGCCTGCGAGGATTGGGGCATCTTCCAGGTCGTTGATCATGGCGTCGAACCTAGCCTCATCTCCGACATGACCCGTCTCGCCAAGGAGTTCTTCGCTCTTCCCCCCGAAGAGAAGCTCCGCTTCGACATGTCCGGCGGCAAGAAGGGCGGTTTCATCGTCTCCAGCCATCTCCAAGTAATTTGTCATCTCCCTCTCCATATTATTATCATGCATTCATTCCTTAATTTTATGCGTAGCGAACATATTGATATTGATTGCGCGGTGGCGGGTGCAGGGGGAGACGGTGCAGGATTGGAGAGAGATCGTGACTTACTTCTCATACCCGATCAGGAACAGAGACTACTCCAGGTGGCCGGACAAGCCGGAATCCTGGAGAGAGGTCACAAAGCAGTACAGCGACAGGCTGATGGGATTGGCATGTAAGCTGTTGGAGGTTTTGTCGGAGGCAATGGGCCTGGAGAAGGAAGCCCTCACGAAGGCGTGCGTGGACATGGACCAGAAGGTGGTGGTGAATTACTACCCCAAATGCCCGCAGCCGGACCTCACCCTCGGACTCAAGCGTCACACCGACCCGGGCACCATCACCCTCCTCCTCCAGGACCAGGTCGGCGGACTCCAGGCCACCAGGGATAACGGCAAGACGTGGATCACGGTCCAACCGGTGGAAGGCGCTTTCGTCGTGAACCTTGGAGATCACGGTCATGTGAGTACCGACTAGTGATTACGACACTTCGCTTATGCTTTTTTTTTTTTTGACAAGCGACACTTTGCTTTGCTTTGATTGCGTGCCTCATCAATGCATCGGTTCCATTCACCCGCCAGAGGTGTTCCATAATGTTTCGGCATTAATTAATAATAGTGATGGTGGTGTGGTGTCAGTTTCTGAGCAACGGGAGGTTCAAGAACGCGGATCACCAGGCGGTGGTCAACTCGGAGCACAGCCGTCTGTCGATAGCGACGTTCCAGAACCCAGCGCCGGAAGCGACAGTGTACCCGCTGAAGATTAGGGAGGGGGAGAAGTCGGTGATGGAGGAGCCGATCACGTTCGCGGACATGTACAGGAGGAAGATGAGCAAGGACCTGGAGCTGGCGAGGTTGAAGAAGATGGCCAGAGAGGAGAAGGAACTGCAGGAGATGGAGAAGGCCAAATTGGAAGGGAAGCCCATTGACCAGATACTTGCCTGAGCGTTAAATAATTTCGATATATTTCATTTAGTACGTGTGGGTTATGCTATGTAAAACAGCGCCGTGTATTTGCCGTCGATCGGTGTTTTGGTGGATTGCTTTTGGATCAGCTTTTCCCCGTAAACCCCATTACTTGGTCTTAGACATGAACAAATAAGTTGTGCCCCCCTCATCATCCATCATCTCTTGCCATCCCGGCCCCTATACTTTCATATTAGTTCTTTCCGCACATTCTTTAGTCCAACGTAAGTGTTTGAAATACTTATTAATTCCAAACACACGGCGATCTTATCATATCGTGCAAGAATCAGTATAATTTTATTAGTACGGTATTAAGGGAAAGGCGAAGAGGGGCGGATTAATTCGTACTTTATTTGTGGGGATAAAACCATATAATCGTATGCGTTGCCTGTGGCTTCAAGCTAGCTAGGTGGTTGGCGCTTGCTGCAGGCGGAAAGGATTAAGAACAAGCGGAAGAGCTGAGGCCAGAGTTCATGGGGCCTTCTCTGCTATGACGTCTCCATGGGAAATACGTGGCGCCTCCTCTCTCTTTCTCTCTGTCCCCTTTTTTTCCCCTTTTCCGTTTTCTTTATTGGTAATATCCCTTTTTCCTTGTTAAAAGAAAAACGATTTAAACAGAATTTTAACATTTTTTATTTAATTTTTCCCTTTATTGTTTGCAAACAGGTGGCTTCAATTAATGGGAACCCACCACCTTGTCCTGTATGCCTCAACTAACTACATGCCCAATCCTCTCTTTTTTCTTGGCAAAACTGTCTCCCACTCCCACATTATTCGGCGGAATTGGTAATTTGGGCAAGGATAGATGTTATTGGGATTACCCTCAGTGCTCAACGACTGAAATCTGTACCATCCAATTTAATTTGAATTGTTCAAATTTAATTTTGTGTCACATTCTTTAAAAAATTATTTTAATATGTATAAAATCTAAAATAAAAATAATATCTTGGCTGTTATTTTTTAAACAAGCAATTTTTTATTTAAAAATTTTTAAATCTAAATCATCAAAATTATATTTGCAAAACCGATTCCCATGTTTTTTTTTTTGCGCAACTAACAATGAATATGGTCTCTCGATTGGCCATTAAAAAAGTAAAAACCTGTCAAAAAATGTTGCTCCCGGTTATTTTATTTTATCTCTGTCATAAAAAATTGCAAATCCTTGCCTACAAGGAAAACAATGGCGCACGAGTTAATATGACCGGCATCCCATATTAAATGGCCGACATTCCGCATCCATGTCATAAGAAGTACAATTCCTTGAGTTCTATAAGGAATACGATAAATATATACTCTGTATAAATTAATATGTTATACCATGCATAATATTCGATGTTCCATGTCCATGTCATGTTGTTTTATCAAAAATAAATGTTAATGTTAAGGTTCAAACTCAATACCATTGTGACTAATGGCATTGATAATGGGGCAACTAGCCATTGTGACTGCACATATTTGTTATTGCATATTAGAAAATTAAATACTTCTCCGGTCCCTAATATAGGACCCAATTCTTGAGTTGGTTTTGGTCCTAAATATAAGACCAATTTCTCATATTTATCAATTTTCTCTAAATTACCCCTATGAATACTCCCTCAACCATAATCAAGTAAAAGAGGGAGATAGGGTATTAAGAAAGATGATTATAGTGTTTTAGGAAAAATGTGTCACTTTTCTTATAATTAACTAATTTACCTAACTTCCTTAATCTAATCAAATTAGTTAAATGGGTCTTATATTAAGGACCGGAGGAGTATCTTAGCTGAGGGAACGTTAATAAACATGCTTTTTAATAATATCCAGGTGAATTAGGCGTGATGCCTGTGTTATACGAGTCTGAGGTGAACTATGCCGTGCATGGTTTATAAATAATACTCGTTTGGTCCTTAATGTTAAACATAATTAAAGAGTTGATGTTGGTCTTATATCTAATACCTATTTTACAAGTTTAACAATTTTTTTTTTAAATCAACCTATTGATATTCTGCCAATTGAAGAGGAAGGAAAGAAATTAAAAAAAGATGATTAGGGTATTTTAGAAAAAAACATATTACATAAACTAATTTAAGTATCATTTTTAATTCACTCAACTTAGTTAATCATGTCTTATATTAAGAATCGAATGAGTATAATTCACTATAAATTATAAATTTTATGTACTGATTGATATTGATGGCAAGGATGGAATTGGCCAATATTCAATGAAGCAAGACCCCATTTAGCTGCCGGCCGAATTTAAAAAACGCCATTAACCTCATTATTCAGGCGAGTTTCTTTATGGGTCCGGGCCTTTAAATGACTGTGCTTCCAAATTGGGCCATTAGACCGTGTAGCTCAAAATTGGTGAAGGTTATTGGGCTTCTAGATCCATTAGTTTTTTTCCCCAAAAAAGGCGACGCAGATTGGGATCAATGCGTTGAAGTATTAATTCAAAATTATTAAAGCAACTAACGGGGGAGTTGGTTCAAGTAGTAAGCAGTTTGATACTGCTTAAATGAGATATTGAGTTCGAGCCTCCAGTAGAGGACACCCAGGTATGCTTAACTTGAAAATGATGATTTCTTCATACTAAAACCTGAAAAAAAATATTTTATGCTATGTCATTTATTAAATTATATTTAATAGTTGTTGAAATCAAATAATAATTACGAAAATTCAGATAAATTTATTGACGTGATACCATTTTAGTAATTATATATGCAAAAGGCGAGTTAGAGAAAATCAATTATTTCAACATTAGTTTTTTTAAGAAAAAAATCATGATTAATCATGATCACATAAAACCGCAATTACTTTGGAAAATCTCGATTATTCAAAGTCACGTTCACCCAACTCTGATTAAAAGGAGAAAGCAATCAGTTGACCCATTAAAGTAAAACCCATAAGACGAAGCATTCCCCGCTTCCCTACCTCTCCCCCATAAATTCTTGCGCAAGGACCACTTGTTTTGCTTTCGTTCGCCTTTTTTCCCCCTCAGACTTTTTCCTTTTTGTACAAAAAGCAAGCGAAGTTTTGGAGATGCTTTTCTCAAACTTCACCGCGTAATATTAACACATTATTTTTATCCGCCGCCCGCTGGGCACCTCTGAAAGGGGTTGGTTTACAGTTTGCACAGTGATTGATATGTCTTTTGGTTCAGATTTTTCATTTCTATAAGCCATTCCCCTGAGAATTAAATCATCCCGTGACACTATCCTGTTATTGTTGCCCCCAATAAGAAGAGTGGGAATATGCATTTTCATGAAGCCAACATGTTTTCCTGATGTTAAAAATAGTATTTTTGCCCCTTTTCATCCCAAGCTTAGTAATATGCCTCCTTTGGTGTTTAACTCGAATTGCTGGGATTTAGTGTAGAGATATCAGAGTAAAAGGAGATGCGATTCTGGGAAGATCCAGAAACAATGGGTTTGATCCACACAGGTCCCATCCATTTGCTTTCTGTTCTTAATCTTCACTAACTATGGAAATAATCCCCTTTTCCTACTTTGCCAACTCCGTATTTACCCTCGTCAGCGATCAGGTCCGCCAGATTTTGGTAATTTTTAATTGCCGGTACCCCTCCTCCCCTTCTATTCTTCTTTTAGTTCCAAATCTAATCCTATTCCTTACCCCCACATAAACTATAGATATATACTCTATATATATGAGAGAATTATTCGGTGAATATGCCTGTATGTCATGAAATTTCTCGGGGGTCAGTTGTGGACTTGGACTCCCATATTCAGTCGCTGACCGGGTCTTCCCCAGTCATGACACGCGTCCTTACCTTGTTGGCAGAGAATGACATCACATGCTGTACGTGTGTGTAATAGAGGAATCAACTTCAAAAAGAAAAGCCTTTCCGACGTTGCCACCCTGCCTGAATCATTACATTTCTTGATTGGGTTTTAATACTCAGAGACCACATGTTATTATTTATTCAATATCGCTGATAGAGCAATGATATTATATTACTTCCGGTCTTAATTATAAGATCTCATTTTAAGACAGGAAGTAAAATATATATTAATATCTGTGTGTAATGGAGACTGGGAATTTTGGTGGAAGTCACGAGGGAGCAAACCAACAGGAGAAGATTTAAGCATATGCATAATCAGTTCTTGTAGTTTGTCAGATATCAGAACTATGTCTTATGCTGCGCAGAATTACAGTCAGGTCCTAAAAAGAAATTATTAAAAAGTTTTAATAACGACCTAAATAGTATACAATGACGAGTTTCAAAATAGAAAATGACAATATTTAAAATTTATTTTATAATTTTTTTAGGGTCTTATTGTAATTTTTTTAAAAAAACGTGTTTCTCTCTCTCCTCCTTTTTTTTTTTGGTTGTTGTTCAAGTAAGTTTCGTTTTTCTTATCAATTGTACTTATTCAAATCCTTTGTCTAGAAACGCAAGAAAGATCGACTCTTTCTCTGCGTGAATTTTTCTCAGTGTACCGAGTTCACGAGCACCAGAACCCGTGATTTGATTATGTAAAATGGATTGAAAGAAATATCTTAAATTTAATCCGATTCTTTTCAAAAGAAATGATGAAATAATTTTTTAAAAGCTTTGTTTATCTCTTCTTTGAATCAATCTAAACAAGTGTTTACAAAATACATAGTGACGAAGCAATTTTTTTTTTTTTGGGTTGGGTTTTAGGTGTAATAGGATATAGCCAAATTGCGATTTGATACTATTCTCTTTCCGACCAGAAACGGTTCAGAAATAATCCTCTCAACAGCTATGGTTCTTGAGATTCAAAATTATGTAATTAACAGCTTGTAAGCAAGATTCTTATTTTAGTTATGGGCGAATCGTTGCCGGGTGTCTCTAAAAATCTGCTCACGTGGATTTATAATTAAGCACCGGCATTTCTAGACTGTGTACTTTCCAGTTTTCACACAAAAACGTGTAAATATGGTTTTCCCTCTGTGTGTGTGTGTGTATATAGACAGACACACACACACACATGCGCATATTAGAAAAAGTAGCCCGTTTCACACTTCTTGCATTGACAGCGAGCGTCGTGGATGATTTATTGAAAAAGCAAAAAGGACAAGTGTTGTAATCAAAACCAATGCAGAGAGCCACCAAGCTACGGATTCTCATCGAAGACGTTGTTTAAAAGAAAATAAAAATGCACACTGACTGCTTCTATGTTTATTTATTTATTATTATGAGGACAATTACAAGTGTGGTCTGAGAGGATTGCTTCAATATAAGCGGGTATGACACAGGGCTTTTCCTTCCTTTTTTTTTTCCCCGGGGGGGGGGGGGGTGGTCGCCGTGTGTGTTGGGCATATGAATATATATGCAGCCGAAGCAGTTGCGGAAGGAGACGTGGTAAATCTTTGAATGCCCAGTCGCAAGTCACACAAAGAGAAACAGTGAAAAAAGGGAGTGAGGATCAAAGGTTGACGTACATATTTAAATTGTAATAAATAAGAAAGAAGAAGGAGGAGGATGAGAATGAGAGGCGGTGAAGGAACCTTGAGATTAAGAACTCAAAGTGCGGGCTCATTTCCTACATATCCCAACGGACAATTAACTAAGACTGCGCACTCTCCTGCAATTCGAAGGCCAGCTTATGAGCGAATCCTTCAAAATGCGATGTTTAATTTGAAATCAGTGTTGGTTGCAGCTACACGCAAGTTGATGCTCATTATGTCACGAGACACAAGTTATCCAACTATTGGTTTCGTGTTCATTCACTGCCCATATCATCACATAAATTCATTTTCTATTTGCCACCACGCAAGGCTAAGAAGTGCCACCATCACTCCTCTGTCCGGACTTATGTATAGACAACACATGCATATTTAATGTGATGGTCAAACGGAGTAGGTTTTTGGCATGAGTGATCATTCAAAACCACGGCTCTCTCTTACCTTTTTCTCCCTTTCAGGCAGACTTTTCTTCTTTTGATCAGATGGCAAGACTCGATCGAACGCGCGACATGCCGGTGAGCTGCGTTCTAGGAGCGAGCTTTTCTTTCTTTGTTTTCCTTTCAAATAAAAGGAGGACCTGACATCCATTTGTTGACTCGGCAGCTTAATTCAGTTGATGAATACAATAATGCTGAATTGGTGATGAAACTGGGGAGCTCGAATTGGACTGAGGGGGCGCGTGACCTTGTGGGGGAAGACCCGGTCAACATGTTCGCTCCATCTGGCGCTTCTGAATGTGCGTGGCATTCAAAGCAGGCCAATCAATCAGCGAAGGGAGTTGGTAGTTTCGTGACATGACTTCATCACTCCTTTCGCCCGTCCCCCCCCCCCCGCTCTTCAGTCTTCTCCATTGGCACCTCCTCCTCACATTATCCCATATTTTATTCACATGTATATAAAATAAATACGTGAGGCAAGTTTTTTATTTTATTTTATTTATGTAAAAATACTTTTGAACCAAACACCCCAATAACACACCAAATCTCATTTCAACAAATAACTATCTTCATGCTCTATCGAGTCCTCCACTTCACCTTCATGTGCGATGTCTCTAAACATGTTGATATCAGGCCCTTATGCTTAGAGTTAAAATCTTCATGCTTACACATTGATGATGTGTGCAGCTGACTGGATTATTTAGCGTTTTGATGGGTTCATAAGTCTCGTGATCGGTCGTTTTTAAGTGATGACAGTGTAGCCGTGCACCCCTCATTTCTCGGCATTTAATTGTCACGATTTTTCTCATATGATCATAATTATAGTTCATCTTTATGCTTTCCTGGTAATTGGAAAAAAAGAAGTCTACATCTTTCTATTCATTGTCATATCTCAATCCTTAAATATATTTATTTAAAAAATATTAAAAAAAAATTAAATTATATGTGATTATTCGGGGATCGATCTATTCGGCAATGGAAATTGAATCTTCGGAGTTCGGAGTGCATATATACGTACAGCAACACTACAGCGCAAAACGCTTGAATTTGGGAGTCCCTGGGTTGGTCTTGTGTATAAATATCCTACCAGAAAAACGAAACCCGAAAACAAAAGAAAATAGAGAGAAAAAAATAGAAAAAAGACGGACTGGAAAGACTGCTGGGCTAATCAAATTACTCCATATTAGTTTGTTTTGCACTAATTAATTCTAAATTATTAATTAGTCTGAGATATGAATGTGAATTGCCGCGTTCACACTGTATCTCATCGCCTGAAACCAAATCAATCTCGACCGTGAAATCACCCTCCGACAGCATTTTTTGATTTTTTTTTTATTTCTATCTGTCAATCGCCTTCGTCTTCGTGGGAGCTATCTCAATCGGTATTATATATTGAAAATTTCCAATGCAGTCGATCTGTCAATAGCGATCATGGGCACCTGCTTCTCTTCCACGAAAGTGAGTGGCTCCAACAGCAATACCACAGCGAACGGCGCCACCGCCACCCACCACAATCGCAAAGAGACCCCCAAGCCTCAATCCCGCACGACCACGGTTAAATCTCAAGCGACGAACGAGCAGCGGCCAAAAGTACCGCATGAGATCCGTAACGCTCTGCCGAACAAGAATTCCCAGCAGCCCAAGCCCAAAGATAAGCAAAATCCGAAACGCCAGCCGTGCGGGAAACGGACCGATTTCGGCTATGACAAAGATTTCGATGCGCGTTACTCGCTCGGAAAATTGCTGGGACATGGTCAATTTGGCTACACATATGTTGGAGTAGACCTAGCAAAGGGCGATCGGGTGGCGGTGAAAAAAATTGACAAGAGCAAGGTATGAATTCCTTGCATTTCCGAGCTGGTTCGGTCATTTTTCTCCGTCTTCTTGCACCCGCATCCATTTGACTATTTATGAGATTTAGAGTTCGCATTCGTCGTTAAATTGAAGACAAGTTGGGTTTTCTTTCATCATTATCCCTCTAGTTGCAGCTCCGTCATGGTCAATGGATTATGATTGTTTTGGTTTTGAAGGTTATGATCGTTATTTGGACAATCAGATAATGATGACTTTGTTTTAATTAGCTCTCAACGGCATGTACTGATTCCCTGTTACGTCTATGTTGTTCAATTCCCATGTTGATCCCAGTTTGCTTTAATTTCAAGTGTTGAAGTCACTTAGATGTCTGGTCAACTCTGTATCGACTGCCTAGATTCTTATTTCATATATATCTTACTTCTTATTCGCGCCAAAATAATCTCATAGATCCAGTCTAGTTATTCCTTGACTTCTTGAGAATCGGCATTTCTTGTGTTTGAGGTTGATGAGTTTAGTAAATTTTCTTATCAGTAATGTAGTGCTTGTCTGGCATAGTTGTATTGCTAATTCTGTTGCTTATATGCCGAGCCATTCTTCATGCGCTAGTCTGACAGTGAGTGAACTTGAAACCATGGTAGTGTATTATATAGTCCTACAAGTTTTGCAGATGCTAGCTTTTGTCCGTTTGCAATTTTTTTTCTTGATAGGGGTCAAATGTTTGTAATTTGAGTTTGAAACTTATAATATATTTGTAATTAGTTCCAGTTGTTATTGGCTTGTTGCCTTTGTCTCTATCTAATCCTGAAATCTGTGGCAGATGATTCTCCCAATTGCCGTTGAGGATGTTAAGCGAGAGGTCAAGATTTTGAAAGAACTCACAGGCCATGAGAATGTGGTTCAGTTCTATAATGCTTTTGAGGACGATTCATATGTATACATAGTTATGGAGTAAGTTGCTCTTTTTTTTTTTTTTAATTAGTTTTTATTTTCGAGCTTCTATATCAAATTGTTTTTTTAGTAGGCTCCATCTGATTTTGACCGACAGTTCACCTCTATATGCCTTTTTTTGTTTGATATTTTGAGAGAGGGACTTATTTTTTGAGAACAGATTTATCAAATGACTCCTGATGCACTTTTGCTTTTGTATTCTCTTTCTGCGCTTGGCGAATGGGCACACGCACGCACGCACGCATCTATGTACCTTGAGTTAAAAAAATGCATCTATGTTATCAAAATATTTACCTTCATGTTGTGACATAAACTTTTTAGGTTATGCGAGGGCGGAGAACTATTAGATCGTATATTGGCCAAGTAAGTAAGATTTGAGCTTAGATATTAATTTTTCCTGGCTAACTGGATCCTCTTAATGTCTACTTCTGCTCAAATTTCGGAACCGCAATGACTAAATGACCTCATAACTTATTTATTCTGTCAGATATCTGTATCAAGTAGAATTTTTCTGTATTAAAATTTGCTGCTTCTTGCTTTGCTTTAATCAGGAAAGACAGCCGTTATTCAGAGAAGGATGCGGCAGTGGTCGTAAGGCAGATGCTCAAAGTTGCAGCCGAGTGTCATTTACATGGTTTGGTCCACCGGGACATGAAACCAGAGGTATGGTTAGCATATCTGACATGTTTAAACAATATGGTGTTATTTTATTGACAATGCATTTGTTATTTTTTACTTCCATGCAGAATTTTCTTTTCAAATCACCTAGAGCAGATTCACCTTTGAAGGCTACAGATTTTGGTTTGTCAGATTTCATTAAACCCGGTGAGGACAAATTGTAATAATGGACTTGTTCATTTTCTCTTTGTCTTGATCACTTTCTTGCATTGTTCATTTTGGGTTTATGTTTCTCTTTGATTTGAAAAATTGCAGGAAAGAAGTTTCATGATATTGTTGGCAGTGCTTACTATGTTGCACCTGAAGTGTTGAAGCGTAAGTCAGGACCAGAATCAGATGTATGGAGTATTGGTGTAATTACATACATATTGCTTTGTGGGAGGCGCCCGTTTTGGGATAAGACGGAGGATGGTATCTTTAAGGAGGTATTGCACATTATTATGTCATTCCAAGTTTCCTCCTAATCATTTGGGATGTTTTTTCATTTTATTTTTCTATATTTACCATTAATATTATGCCTTTGGTCTTTTCTTTTTTCATATTCTGCATGATGATATGAAAAAGATAATGCTTTTCTTTCTTATTAATAATACATTGTGATGTTTAATTCGTGATCTCATACATGCAGGTATTACGTAACAAGCCTGATTTCCGGCGGAAACCATGGCCATCTATAAGTAACGCTGCGAAAGATTTTGTGAAGAAATTGCTCGTAAAGGATCCTCGGGCTAGATTAACTGCTGCTCAGGCTCTATGTATGCGTCCAATTGTTTCTGTTCTATATAGGAGGGCTGTATGCTTCTCCTGTTTTATCCCCTCCTGAACGTCACTATCTGAATGTTTTTCAGTTATCTAAACGAAGGCTTTCCCAAACATTGAATCGTTTATGAATTTCCATATTTTCAGCTCATCCATGGGTTAGGGAAGGAGGAGAGGCTTCAGAGATTCCTATTGATATATCTGTCCTTAGCAACATGCGGCAATTTGTGAAATTTAGTCGGTTGAAACAATTTGCACTTAGGGTAAGACATATTTGATTGAGGTCTTTGCATGTTGAACGGCATAAAGCTTGTTGGTTTACCGTTTTATTTGATTGCCTTGCAGGCACTAGCTAGCACACTTAATGAAGAAGAGTTGGCTGATCTCAGAGATCAATTTGATGCAATTGATGTGGACAAAAGTGGTGCTATTAGTCTAGAAGAGATGAGACATGTAATCTATGAACTTTCTTTCTGACTAACTTGAATCTGAGCACATACCACTTGTTCATCAGCGATTAATAAGCTGAATGTGTATCAAGTTATCGTACCTCTGGTCTAAAGGCAGATTTCTTGCAGGCTCTTGCTAAGGATATCCCTTGGAGGTTGAAAGATTCCCGTGTTCTTGAGATATTACAAGCGGTTAGTAGATCTGATCTTTTGAAGTTTTTATCATTGTACTTCCGGATTTTTATTTTTTTTGGGTTAACATTAGTACTTATTTACCGTGTTTAAATTTTAAAAGATATGGAGGTTCCCTAGGAACTAACAATATTACTTTTTGATGATTGATGAACATTTAACGATATTATTTGTGCTACTGCTATTGGAATAGATTTGTTTCACCTAATCATGACTGCTCTATCCTACTCTGCCATGGGCATTTTTTGTACATTCACTGTCTTTTGTCCCTGTAGATAGATAGCAACACAGATGGGCTTGTCGATTTCTCCGAGTTTGTGGCTGCTACATTACACGTACATCAATTGGAGGAGCATGACTCAGACAAGTGGCTTCACCGGTCACAAGCTGCTTTTGAGAAATTTGATATAGACAAGGATGGCTATATTACTCCAGAAGAACTTAGATTGGTTGGTTAAGCTTTCCATTCACTTTATGAAAACTTCTCTCAACAATTAAAAGTGGTCCTGTGGGATATATGCGTCTACGATATTTTTTTTTGGGCGGGGGTGAGCATGGAAGGTGGCAGCTGGCTAGAAAATCTTCTTCCTCTCTAGTTTTGCGTATATTTGTTAGAATTTTTACAAAATCATAAACTTACATGGCGACTAATATTGCTTTCTGGCTTTGTAGCATACGGGCTTACGAGGATCCATTGATTCGCTACTTGAGGAAGCTGATATTGACAAGGATGGAAAAATCAGCCTCCCAGAGTTTCGAAGACTCCTTAGAACTGCAAGCATTAGTTCACAAACTGTGACAACCCCACGGAAGATGTTAGATTAGAACTGCTTCAGATGAAAGGTTAGTACGCAAGGGTGGTGCTGCGGTGGAGTTCTTTGGTGCAGATTCTCCTCAAGCCTTGATATCTTTCTCTGGCCATTCAATGACACTCAAAGTGCAGCTAGTCGATGCCGAATCCTACGGAGTCCATGTAGCTGGCCATTCATATCGTCCAGAGGTGTTTGCAGAGTTTGGGTAGGTAGAGTTTATCTGGGCCTTCGTCGTAGACTGGCTTTCGGACCAATCTCTCCTATGTACATTTTGGAATTTGAGGGCTTTCTTGGTTGTGCCATTCGAGTGATGCGCTAAGTGTAACTATAAATAAACAAAAGAAAAATGTTAGTTGAGTTCAGTTGTCTTCCTATTGCCACCTCTTAATTTTATTGTATATCCATATAAATGGAATGGACGATTGAGCTTATATTAACCTTGGCATCCAACTTATATGTCTATTAATTTTGTGTTTCATAATCACAAGATCATTGATTGGTTCAATCAGTTACTTTATTACAAATGTTTTGATTGAAAAGATAAAATTAACCATCACTGGTGAAAAGACGCTGGATGATGTTGACCGGACCCAAAAAAAAGGGACACACTGGATGACAAGAGGCCTAACTTGGTTTGAAAATTTATCGGGGTCTGGGCCTAAGGTTGGTGCAATTGATTTGCTTGACTGGGCACGGTATATAAATAAGCACATGTGCGCTGCAAATTATCCACCTACTAAAAGGACAAGACAAAATCTATATAATCTTCTTACTCTCTATCTCGAAGAACTGGCTTTTAACAAGAATTTAGGGTGGGATAAAAGATAAGATAATGAAGTCCCATAAAATGGCAGATATTAATTGAGATGCCGCATGGCTAAAGGCAAATCATCTGGGTAACTTCTAATAACCGCTTACTTATCTATTTACACAAGGCCAGGATAGTCTCATAATGATCTAATACAAAAAGAACAAGGTTGTAATGCTTCAGTTATTTTTATCAGGAGAAGAACTCCATGAATCATTTTGCATATATTGGTGGAGGGAACCATATACATTTTCATTTATGATTTATCAGACTTGGGGATGTCATCCACGCTGTTGGAGCTATCTTGAGGTCCTTGAGACGAAGAATGCCTGCTTGAAGTACTCCCATCTGTGATATTTCTCGCCTTCCTTAATGAATGCTTGCCCTTCCTTGCTCCAGAAGATGATTCCTGCTGAAACTCAATTAGACATTCCATAATTTGGGTACTGCTAGGGTTTGCTATTAAACTACGATAACTCACCTGCCGCAATGATGATCCAGGCATTTTAAGTTCAAGCTCTGTAGCTACATCGTTAGACTCACCACATCTTTCAGCATTGCCGGTCCTCTCATGATCTGGCGACTTACTTCTGGAATCTTGTTTGCTTGAAGTGCGGGATGTCGAGGCATATTGGCCACTTGGCTGCTCTGCTGGGGGATTAGCTGGAGCAGAAAAGGGGACATATGTGGAACAAGGATTGGGAATCGGTCCTGGATTTTGGTTTCCATAGAAAGGAAAAGGCTGAAGTGATGGATGAAGGGAAATTGGACCGGAAGGAACTGGTATAGGAACTGGATATGAATACGGTGGAGCCATGACAACTGAATGATCGATTGCAGTCCATGGGAATGTGACTCTGACTCTTTGCTGATACTGTGCATTAAGATTTTCAATGTCAGATTTTAGAGATGTCTTCTCTTCTCTGAGTTCATTTTTCTCCTGCATCAGCTGCAAACACAAAATAAACAGGCACAGTAAGCAGCTGACAAGCTTTGTAATCTTCAAGGTAAAATTTAAATAAAAACAACCTTACTTCCTGTGATTCTTCAGAAAGCGCAGTATGCTCAGCTTTTAGTCTGTTGACTTCAGCAGTTAAATCTTTTAGCACCTGAATTGTGTCTGTAAGGATAGTAGCCTTGTCATTCTTTGGCCTATCTGGATCTGCCATGTTCAGTTCAACAAGAACATCTCAATCGCTTTTCCAACAAACTGATAATGCATCTAAAGATGGCAAAAGAAGCAGCAGACGTGTTTATCCAGTACAGCCAAAAATCACAAAATGCTGGTGTTTCAGCCCACCATTGATCGCATCATACATATACATCTTTCTCAAAAAGACAGCAATCTGTCATCAATGGAAAAGTAAACAAGCTAAATATAGTGAGCGCTCCATTTCATCTCCCCGTGCTGACAATACTATCCATTATTTACAATATTATTGTTTTCTTAAATAACTATGATATGATATGACAATTAGCAATTAATGATCTAATCAATGAGTTATCTTCCGAATTGTAATCTCTATAATGTGGTCATCACTCATAAAATGATACAGAGCTAAAAACTCTATAACAGGTCACTTTAGACATCTGTTGTTAGGAAGGGGTGACAAGTCTCCCAGTGTGATGCTCAGTGGTTTTCCTTTGCTTCTGTTTCCCTTAACCTAACCCCCGCTAGGTCCTCTGACCTCCCTCATAATTAAAAAGAAAGAGTAGGCTTAGATTAAGATGTAAGAAACAATTTTTAGAATTATTGTGAGAAGATAGTATCTTCACTATTGCGAAAGATGCTTGGTAAGTGGCTGGAAAGGAAGGCCAAAAAGGGAAAGCATATTTTCAATCAAGGGAAGGCGTTAGAGAAAAGTTGTGATCATCAAGGTGTAATCAAGCGTGTTTTCAGGGTATAAAGGGAAGATTGCCTTAATCTTAGAATTCTAGGCACAGAAGGAAACTCCACTGAGACGAGTTTCCTGAACATCAATTGTCAAGTAATTAAGACCAAAGACATAAAATTTACTCAATAGGAGGCATAAACAAAGGCCAATGACATAGTCAACTAATGAAATAGCAACTTAGTTTGACAGATATAAGCAGAGGGTAGAAGACGAGATTCCCATCCGCTTATGAAATCAATTAGTAATATCATTATCAACTACATGACCTGTCAAATAAAGAAATATATCTTTTATCGCTTCCCCTATTTTCTCCCTTCCTGTTCCACATGAACGAAACTGTGGTTAAAAAGCAGCCTGCTGCACTTCTGTGGTTGGGCCCGAAAGTGCATTTGACTAAAGAAAGCTTTCCCAAAAATTAATTATTTTAACCATTAGGAAAAGATAAAATTAGTATTTTAAGTGTTTTTTTTTTTTCAGAAACTAAAAGTATTATCATGTCTTAAAGTGCCCTTTTCTTATGCGAAAAAACTGATAATCCCGCTTTATATTTATTTACACAGAACATACAGCAGGACAACAAACTCATCGCCCAACTTTGCGGGTCAGGTTACTCTAAGTTAACAAGAAAATCTCAGTAAAATTAAAGTTAAGGCCCCTATAGTGTTTCAGAAAAAGTTCTAAGTTCTAAACAACAGCATTTGGCACCCAACTAAAAGGGTATTCGTGAATGTACAAGCATCAACAATAGGTTTCATATTTCAAGGCGTTGAAATCAGCTAATCTGATAAATGGATGCATGCAGGTCATGAAGAAGGAATTGATTGTTCATCACTAAAAGAGTGCTGCAGTTAACCTATTGTGTTTCCCAGCTCTAGGAAATGCTCATTTAGTCGATCCCTCCTCAGTTTCTCGCGGTCTGCCTTCTGGAGTTTTCTTGCAGCAACTGGATCCTGTGCTTCAGCTTCAGGCCTCTGCCTGGAGAAAAAGTAACCCGTAGTGGATATAAATCATCAAACTTTCGCATTGTTTGAAAGGTAGCAAATGCAACTATAACAATCTGAAGCACCACAACAAAAATACTGATTCACTTTCAATCCGATATTCTCAAATTTCTAAAAGTTGTTCCCCCAAGAGGGCGTATCACGTCCAAATCACTTTCAATTATAAATTACAAATATCTTAATAGCCTTCGATAGACTCTGGTGAACCTTAAAAGCTGTCGACGGAGAGAATCCAAAATTATATAGCACAAGAGGAGGAGACGCAAAAGAAGGAACCTGGTTTCGGTATGCGAATTCTGCAAGCGGCTAGGGGTGACGGTCACAAGTTGCGACTGAGGCTGAAGGGAAGAAGATGCTAAATCTGCTGCAACAGATGCAGATTTAGACAAATCTTCAGGTTTCCACTGATCCATTTCCTACAAAAATTCAACCTTTTGTTATTTTTCGAAAGTTTCTCTGACATAACATACATTCAGCTATCTACTGCGAACCCTCCATGAGAATCTCACCCAAAAATTTTGATCAGAACTGCGAGAAAGTGGCCCAGACAAGGACACTACGACCCTTCAAACTTGTGCTCTCCACGAGCCCCCTGGGATAACGACGAAGACATATCGAATTTTCATTTTTTGCTTCTTCACGAAAATGGGCTTCACGGTTGTGGGAGGAAAATGAAAGGAGGAATGTCACTAATGAGTTAAGGGCCATAACAGCAAATTTATTCCAGCTAAAGACGAAACCAGGAGATTCAGTACTTTGAGATTAGTGTTAGGATTTCAATATAAAGGGCCGGTTTAGACAGCGATACAAACCACTTATAAAATATTTTATACGAGTTAAAACAAAATTTTTCTTATATATTTTTGTACTTTATAAATTATGATTAAAAAATTATTTATAAATCATTCTAAATAAGTTCTAAAATATTAATTAAGGTTATAATGTTATCAGCATTAACTTTGCGAAACTTAACTATTGTGTCTTTTTTTTACCAAAAAGAAACTAGTGTGTTTTATCACCTCAATCTTAATTAGCGAGTAACAACTCTGACAAATTGATATTTACATTATTATATTATTTGTTTTTTGTATAACATTACACTAATATATAAATCAATTTTAAATCAGTGAACTTTATATTGAAGTTACGCTTCTAACTCACTCCTACATCTGATCAGAGAACTAGAGAAGGGTGTTGTGTTGCTCCACCCTGAGAAGTCTCTTCGTATTGGTACTGAGGCAGTATTATACTTATAAAAATAATATTACAAAATTTACGCATAATAACTAATATAGTAATTTGGTGATACGGTCAAGTAAGTTCGGCCAGGATATACTGGTTGAGTTGGGTTCCAATCTCCGAATTCTCGAACCAAAACACACTCAGAAAGAGGGGCGATGAAGATAGTTACTTACAATGTGAATGGCTTGAGACAGCGCATAGCGCAGTTTGGCTCTCTTCGGAATCTGCTGAATTCGTTCGACGCTGATATCATCTGCCTTCAGGTGCTTTATCAAATCTGTTGTACTTCTTTTCCCCCCTCTTTGCTGTCTCTGATCTTCTTCGCATACTGGATTCAATTTCGAGCCATCACAGGAAACAAAGTTGAGGAGGCAGGAAGTGACAGCGGATTTGGTCATGGCTGACGGATACGAGTCATTCTTTTCGTGCACCCGTAGCTCTGACAAAGGTCGAACTGGGTATTCCGGTAAGTTGCTTTTTAGCCCCGCCTCAACCACAGCCATGCTATGTATTCTGGAAACTTTGCCCTCCGTAGTTTCTACAGTTTGTTGCTTTATGATGAATGATTTTAGAGCTCTTATCATGGCTACCTCTGAAAAGTCTTAATCAAGCACGAATTTTTGGCTACCTTGTCTCTAATCTCTAGTGCATTTTAACAGCCATGAATTTCCTGTGTGTACAGGGGTTGCCACATTTTGTCGCGTAAAATCAGCGTTTTCAAGTGACGAAGTAGCCTTGCCCTTAGCGGCTGAAGAAGGATTCACAGGTCTTATTGGGAACTCTCCCACTGGGAAAAGTGAATTGCCTTTCTTCTTGGAAGGCCTACTAGGGTTTTCCAATGAGGAGCTACTTGGTGTTGATAGTGAGGGACGCTGCATCATCACAGATCATGGTCACTTTGGTGAGTGTTTATGCTTATAACTAATAAATTTCAAATAGAATCAATAAATTACAAAGCTTGGTTCTTTATTTATTGAATTTCCTTTTCGTATTTCACTGGAAGGAAGGATATGTTATTCATTCCAAGTCTTATGCGCCGTTTGTCTTCTATTTTCAAAACAAATGTAGTGGTTTTGATCAAATTTTGCTTCCATCTGGCCAGTTCTTTTCAATTTGTATGGACCTCGGGCTGAAAGTGATGACACAGAGAGGGTTCAGTTTAAGCGTAACTTTTTCACGTTATTGCAGGTATTTCTAATGTATATACGGTCTTCAACTAATGGAATTGTAACTATGATTTTGTGGTGCTGAATTTCGTAGTTGCTCTGAACGTGGCTTTTTTCAAAAATAAAAAAGATAAAAAGAATCAAAAAGATGTTAGGGGATGGCTTACGCTTCAAATTCTAGTTTGTTTCTGATTGGTAATTGTAAGATTAGTTGACCGCATGGGATCAGGGCCCAGGATTATTTGAACATGATGAGGTTTGACTTTGTTTAAGGAATTCAAATTTTTTTTTTTTTTTTGGCTGATACGAGGAAACCTGAAAGTGGTTTACTTTTAAATATAACATAGGCTGTTGAATCTACTACAATTTAGCAGACAATAATGTGCCAAAGTCAGGATACTGTATTTAGTGCCGAAACATTTGGGTGTGTTAAAATGTGGTTTTATGCGTGCTTTAGTTACCTCCCTTACCTCTTTATAGATGTTCGTCCACCTTTCTGTTTTCATTTATTTACCTTGTATTGCTGGATTGATTCTGAAAATTTCCTTAGTAGAAAAGATGGGAGTCTCTCCTGGATCAAGGAAGGAAAATATTTGTAGTTGGTGATCTCAACATTGCACCACAAGCAATAGATCGTTGTGAAGCAGGACCTGACTTTGAGAATGATGAGTAATTTGCTCCTGGATTTCTGTGAAGTGTTATTTTTTATTAGCGTCTAATATGATTGTCAATGTCTCAAATGCTTACCCATTTTTTCTTGTGTAGATTTAGAAGATGGTTTAGGTCTCTGCTACTTGAAAATGGCGGCCAATTTTTTGATGTTTTCAGAGCAAAGCACCCTGATAGGTTTGGACTTATAACTACCTGAAATATTGAATGTTGAATGCTGATGTGCTGTATGCCCAGAAGTCTAATCCCTGATACATGACAAACATTGCCCTCTCATAATTTAGGGAATGTTTCACTCCATCTCTGAATTATTGTCACTATTCCCATATTGAATTTTGTTGCTCTTGAATAAAATGGCCTTTTTAATTTGCTAATTTCACTCACATTATTTATTTTAGAAAAATGGTTTTTGAAATAAGTAATTGATTATTGGCTTGAATATTTTATTCTTAGGCTTCAAGTTTCCACATTATTGCTGGTATTACATGCATCATCCTCCATAATTGTTTCCTTTCAAATTTATGATTTTCTCTATTCTGATTAATCATTGGTGCATATTGATATTTAATGCAGAAAGGAAGCTTATACTTGTTGGCCTCAAAATACAGGGGCTGAAGTATTTAACTTTGGGACGAGAATTGACCATATTCTGTGTGCGGGTTCCTGCTTACATGAAGCAGATGACCTGGAAGGCCATAATTTCATAAGATGCCATGTTAAGGAGTGTGACATTTTGACACAGTATAAACGATGCAAACCTGGAAGCAACCTGAGGTAAGGAACCCAACAACACAATCAAATAGACTTATCATGTGCATGTGTTTAAGCTATTTTCTCTATCCCGGCCGATGACTTATATCTGGAATAGTTTGTTATCCTCGATTATTGTTTCCCCCCTTTTGCTAGACTAGATTATTGATTGATAGTATCAGATGTTTTATGCTTTCAGGTTTCCCGTTTTGCCCTTTTCGTATTGTATACTATATATCATGTGAATTCTAATATTTCCCTGGGGGTGATTCTTGGGGGGGTTTTTCGATGGAATAGTGAATTGCTGTGTTCCATGGTTTAAGAGTTGCAATTGCATACATCTCTGCTGCATTTCTTTCCCTGGAAGCAAGGATTTACCTTTGATTCTGTTATCTGTTCAGTGCCCAGAGGTGGAAAGAAGGTCGAAGCGTTAAACTTGAAGGATCTGATCATGCTCCAGTTTATGTTACCTTACATGAAATACCTAATCTCTCTCTGCACAGTACTCCCCCCTTATCTTCTAGATATGTTCCCGTGGTTCGTGGGTTGCAGCAAACGCTCGGTACTAAACGTTGGTTGTTCTTTTGATGATAATTTCAGAATATTCTATGATTATACTGCTTCTGGGCTTTGTCTTGCAGTGTCTGTGTTGACAAAAAGACGAGTTTCTGAACAAATGAAATCATGCAAGATGTCAGGCTTGCTTTCAGATGAAGACATTGTTACAGGGAGCACTTGTGAGAGGGTAAAAGAATCATTCGACAACAGTGGTTTGTCTGTCATGCATACCGGTGATTGTGATGTGGTTTCAAGCCAAGATTCAGAAACTAATCTTGAATCGAATGAACAGTCTGGCAGCTCTTCTCTGGAAGCTGTTGGTAACTATTCAGTTTCATCAGGCAGTGAACATGGTAAAGTGGTACCTGTGAAAAGCAATCGGTCCAAGAAAAAGCAAGAAGTAGTCAATGCTCCCAGCTTTCTTTTTCAAAAAAAGTACGAATGTTGACAATATGGTCAAAGACTCTTGTACTGATATTCAAGCTGAATCCTCACAGCTTGACCATCACTCAAATGAGGCGTCTACTGTGGTTGATCAGAGTGGCAGTTCCGAGCAATATGAGCTGTGCGCGGGCGTGTGTAAAGATGCATCTAAATTTACTGATGATACGAAAAGGAAAGAAAGCAGTAATGTGGCTTTATTGGAGTGGCAGAGAATACAACAGTTGATGCAAAATAGCATACCACTTTGCAAGGGTCATAAGGAACCTTGTATTGCCCGAGTGGTGAAGAAACAAGGTCCTAACTTTGGTCGCAGATTCTATGTTTGTGCTCGTGCTGAGGTAATTTGTTTCACTGGATGATCTTTCGGACTGCTCTAGATTTCTCGTATGAACGTTGTTTCATAAATAGAAATCCAAGCACTGAAATTCTGTTGCTTTGAGGGTGGCAAATTTCAGTTTGAAAAATCTGAGTCTTGGATTTGCTATCATTAAATAAGATGTGCTCAGACTGTGCCCATACAAGAATCTCTTAATTCGGGAACTCCAAAATGAACCTCATTATTTCTTTCAAAAGAAGAGGAAGGCTGTTTCTGTTCTGCTCTTGGAAACATACTAACCTTGGATCGTATTAATAGGGCCGAGCCGTCTCTTACTTAGGTTTATAGGCCATGTTATTCTGCCAAATAGATGCGATTTCTTGGAACTAAGTTGTCATTTTTTCGCTCTTTGCAGGGGCCTGCATCTAATCCAGAAGCAAACTGTGGTTACTTTAAATGGGCTACATCAAAATCCAGGAACTGATCCACACACTTGTGCTTCAATTGAAGAATGAGAACCTTACCATTGCCCGCTTCCTAACTGATGTGTAGCTGACATCCTAGTTTTGGATAATTGCGATCAAATGTGTAGTCTCTTTCTGCAATTTAAATGGGCTACATCAAAATCCAGGAACTGATCCACACACTTGTGCTTCAATTGAAGAATGAGAACCTTACCATTGCCCGCTTCCTAACTGATGTGTAGCTGACATCCTAGTTTTGGATAATTGCGATCAAATGTGTAGTCTCTTTCTGCAATTTCTAACATATATTATTATCAATTGCCACAAAATGATTTTATATGATTTATTCCCTCTAACGAGTACATGTAGTTTGTGCGTTAGGCCACGTGTGCAGTAACTACTGTATCGTTAATACTACTTTTAAAAAATAAAACTGAGTCAACTATACAACAGCAAAAATAACAAAAAGCAAGCCTCTAGTTTCCTATATTAAAGCCCCCCGCAAAATTTATAGGTGGAGGTTTACCGTGGCGACAAAAATAATCAGCCTTGTTATGAGGAGTCCTGGCTAAATAATCAGCAATAATGACTAATAATGTATTTTCGTGGTGCAAGGAAATCGATAATGGCTTTTTCATCATTTTTCTGCATTGCAATTTTGGGGAGCTTCTGAGGCAGATAGACAGCGAAGAACAGTAGTGGTTGCAACTGTTGGCACATTAGCTGGAGCAGGAAGGTGGTCTCGAGTTTGAATTTGCTCCTTGTTATTGACCTACTTTCGACTGTGTTCATGTCTTCCATGAATATACAACTGGAGTGAGATGGAACAATAATTATAATCATTCTGATAATGCCATGCTCACAATGCTTTTTAAGGAGTAGTACAACAAGTCATTAGTTACATAAACAATGAGTCAGTCAATGAGGCATCCAACAACACATAGATGATGATGAATTTTCCTTTAATTATTTCAAAATTGAATGTAAGACCCTCTTTTTTTGTTTTGTTTCTGTGAATATATCGCAAGACTCGTCATGATAAAATAAGAAGAGGGTAACTCGGGGGTGTGGTTGAGCGGTGGGGGCTCATCTTTCCTTAACCAAGTGTTGAGGGTTCGATCCTCGTCTTGGGCATGGAAAAGTTTTAAAACTCCGGACCAGCTGTCCCACCCATCGAGGTGCCTACAAGCCAGCGAAGGGATTAGTCACTGGGTTCGCCGGTGGATATCCTGATGTTTCATAAAAAAAAATAGGAAGAGGGTCGTTGCGGCGTCAGCATCCAAGATATGTTATTTTTGGCCTCCGTAGTTGAGATTCTGATCACAAGTCCGGAAGCGAGGCAATTAAAATTGACAGTTGATATAGAAAATTTGCTGGGGCAAGTGATGTGGGAAGGGAATCACTTTTCGCTGGGAACATGGTATGTCTCATCATATCAGATCAAAGTAGATATAGAGTGAAGACGTACGGGAGCAGCATCCCACCGCTTTAATTCAATTCGTCCATACTCATTCACTATTTTCAAATACAGAGCAAGTTTTTGCTGATGGTGAACCGCAAGAGACATGTTTCCGATAATTAGCTAAGTCAATGAATCAGCCCGAGGGTTTGTGGGGTGACGGGATAACGTCAAGATAATTTTGGTATTAGAAGTATAATACGAACTCAGTGGCCAAGGAAAAAAATAGATAAAAGAATGGTATGCATTGTGCCGATAACAACGCCATGGTGGGACCTGCCTTGTCAATCTTCCTCACTGGCCGTCTTCTTGCTCAAGAATGCCCGAGAACTCAAAATGGGTTTTGGATTGGGTGTTTATGCGTGGATCTGGGCGGGCAATACTTCCTCTCCTTTTGCTCACCTCAGGGGCCATCCTCTTTCTTTTTTGTCTGGCGTTCCCCTTTCCTTCATTATGAAATTTCATCAACGGGTTGTAAGAATCTCCTCTCGAAACTCAGCTGTAGATATTTTTTGCCGTTATGATTTAATCGAAATGATGATTTTTTTAAATAAAAAGTTAAGGATTGCATGATCGTAAGGAACTAAAAAGATGTATTTATTCTAAGGTGCCCCGGGATTGATGAGACGGATTGCATGGACAGAATCCAAAGTAACTAAAAGAGCTGGATATAGTAAGGACCTCGAGCCACTCTAATTAGAATGGAAAAGTTGTTGTTTACTTGGAAACGAAACAAAGGTGGGTGGGAGAGAACAAAGAGAGATGAGTAAAGAGCCGGCATAAGTTACACATAAACATGACAAAGAAGCACGTTGTAAGAAACATGAGTGATTTGATGGTATAAGGTGCAATGAACAGAGTTAAGAATGAGGTCACAAGGGTGTGGAGACAAACCATGTGCCATTTGGTGGAGAGGCCACCTCCCTCTTCTAACATATCTGCGTCCAATGTCCAGACTCTGTTTTTAAAAGGACGTGGACTCAAAATCTTTATTCACCTTTTATCCCGTTTTTACCATCTCCGTTTACAAATGCTCTCAATCAATTGCTAGTAATTTGAGCCAAACACGTAAATAGAATCATGTTTTTTTTAATTATCTATTCCCTGTGGAGATCGATGGATGAGGGCCTCCGGTAATAAATTATTGTACAAAATTGCGCCGGATGGAGGGGGATGGTTAACTGAGAAGGCTACAGGCGTAAATGAAGAAGGGATAAAGCCAGTTGTGATGAGTCAGCACACAGGAAAATGCCCATTGGATATGTATTGTTTTACTGCCGCACAGCTCCACCGCACTTCAACTGGGCCCCCCTGTCTTCTATCCCCGCATTCCCTCCTCCTTTATAAATCCCACCCCGATTCCTCTTGGCCTCCGCCCAATTCTCGGCTTACCAATACGACACCGCATTTCCCCGTATCATGCTTCCTCTTTCTCGCCCCGCCCCGCTTTCCGCCCCTGGTTTCTCTGGCAACTCTGTTTACTCCTCCTCGCCGCCGTCACCTCATCGTGTTCCGATCCGCCCGATCGTCGCCTCCGCCACCGCGACTGAATCTTGCTCAGCCTGGACGGAGCAACCGAGATCGAGGTCCTCCTATCTCACCTCCCATACTATGTCTTCGTGCACATCGCTGTACGATATTCTAGGGATTCCGGCGGGCGCGTCCCATCAGGAAATCAAGGCCGCCTACCGGCGATTGGCGAGAGTGTGTCATCCGGACGTGGCGGCGGTGGATCGGAAGGATTCGTCAGCGGACGCGTTTATGAAGATTCACGCCGCGTACTCCACTCTGTCGGACCCCGAGAAGCGCGCTAGTTACGACAGGAGCCTCTTCGTCCGGCGACAAAGGCCACTGTCCACGGCGTCTTCGGCGTCTTCATATTCCGGTTACAGTGGCCGGAACTGGGAAACTGACCAGTGTTGGTAGTGAGTCTGCTAATGAGCACAGATAGTAGATGTATAGTTGAAGCGCAGTTATTGGAGCGCTTTACATATGGTATATATTGAAATTACTACTAATTAGTAAGTGATCATGGAAGCTTGTAATTACTGTGTAGATATTTTTTGGGCCAATCTCCGATCTTGTTTATTAGATTCTGCTTCTAAATAGTTCTCCCCTTGCCCGCTCTGTTCCTTGCCCTTCATCAAAACTTTAATGGCAAAATTCGGATTCATGGGCGTCGCGCAATAAAAGAACTGATAAACGGAAAGGGCAATTAAGAGTTGAATTGAATTCGTTGGTTTGGAGTTGTGTGATATTCGGTTTGCAAGTTGCTTGTTGGGAGTTAACGAAAAGTGCAAACCAAGTTCGAGTTTCTTGGAAAGGAATTTGGGGGCCACTCAATGCGCGAGGGATGAATCTTCGGTGCTATGAAAGTCAACTTCTTTGTAACGAATTTCTAGAAGCCCGTTTTTGTGGTAACTTAGCTTGTTGATAAAAATTTAAAAAAAGAAAAAAAATAATTGAAGGCTCACCGTCAGTTGCTGTGGCGGTTGATTGTGGCTTAATTAAATTAATCCCACTGGGCGATGCAGGCATCCAAATTCGTTGATTTTCTTAATATTATCTTACAGGAGAAATAACCTGACGTGTGTGAGCGTGATACACTGATATTGTTTAACTTAATCGCATAAAATGAGAAGCTGCGCGGTACAATCAATAAAGACTTGGCAATATTACTTAGGTTTTCCTTGCATCCAAAGGGCGCTTACGAAATCAAAGCCCCGTAAGTCAATAATCTTGCCTCTTATTAACCCTTTTTCTAAGTTGTAGTGCTGCGCTCTATTTCTTTCTTCTTCTTCTCAGTCCCCGTGTCCTCTTTGCTTTTCTTTCTAACTTTTCCCCGACGGTTGCGCTCACTACTTCATTAAACAATTACAATTTCAAGATTTATTTATTTTCTCACCATCATCTGTCGTAAAACTTTTTAGCCTGCATCAGAAATTATGGATGATTTGCATGTGCAGTAATTTTTTTTTTTTAACCTCATGTCAATGTGACAATCCCATTCGCAAGCTTTTAGGGGATTGGTTCGTTCGAAGGGGTTTTAGAGGCCTATTGGGTGAGAGGGTATTGAAATCAATTGCTAATATGTTTCGTGTCATAATTTGAGCCCTCATCAACGTTTGAGTGACGGATAGGAATCTTTAGCAGTCGTCCCTTAATATTTGCAGAGCCTAGGTCCCAGTGGTTTGGTGGGGATATATGATCAAATGGGCGAGAAAAACAAAAGTGGGAACGTGAGCCCCGGGGGACAACGGAAGGGGTGAAGAGAAAAATGGTTCAGAACTAAAGAGAAAATAACAAAAGAAATATGTATTTAAAATGACTTATAAATAATTTTTAATCGTGATTTATGGAATAAATAAGCATGTAAGAATAATTTGTTTCAATTTACATGAAACGTGTTATAAGTCATTTTAAAATTCATGTCATGCCAAACAGACAGTAAGAATATAATTTGACGGAAGGGAGGAGGTTCCAAAAGGGTAGCTAGTAATGCATAAGGACCAGAGATTTAGAATGAGAGTACAATATTGGGGGGTTGGAAATCTGATTTCCCTTAGACGTTAAATTGCACGAAAGACAGATAAATGAAAAGGACAGAGAGTATCAACGACGGCTGGTTACACCGGCCGCTCGGATATTGAGTTCCAAACACGACCACCTCCTCTTCCAACCCCCCCTCCTATTTCCATGCCGTTCTTGTTTCTCTGCTACCACAAATTGTGTTTTGCATCGAAACTTAAACGCGATTTTTCGTGATGAAAATTGAAAGTTTTGGGTTGATTTGTATTCCCCAGACAATAATTATATATTTTTTTTGTCCTGATATATATATATATATATATATATCCCAAAGCTATTGCGCACTAACAATGTTATTAACAATGTTCAGATTCGATCCATAGAGGGGGGAAAAACATGAGTACATAAATCATGATAATATGAGCTGCTCGAAGTTACTGCAACGAATGAATGTAAGGCTCTATATTAAGCTGTTTTGAGGAAACAGACAAATATGGATGATTTTTCTCCTCTAATTTTAAAAACAAACTAAAATGAGGGACCGAAATTTTTTTTTTTTTTGTATTAGTGTGTGTGCATGTGGATCGACTTAATACAGTTGCAAATATGTTTCACTTTATTTTCTTTTTATCCTTCAATATACCCTGAATGACATTCCATCCATTTAAAAAGAAATATTATCTAAGACGATGCACACACATTTTTGCAAAATAAACACCCCAAATAGTTTAGATTATACATGGCACAATTATATAATATTTGACTAAAACATTATTATTTGTTTTGAATAATTTGATTAATTTTCGAGGCAAACACTTGTTCCAGCAGCCACAATTTTCATGGGTGAATTGTCCAAAAAATAACTAATGTTTTATTAAAATTCCAGAGGACGTCCCTCGATATTTTATGGCAGCCTTCCAAGTGAAGCAGCCAACCAAAAGGAAAACACTCGCAAGCAGCGACACGGCCACATGGTGGCGGTGTCGATGGCTGCCAAGGGAAAGCCAGCAAGCAACTTTGATATCGAGAGGGTAATTAAGTAAGTGTGACGGGGAAATGAGAATAAAAACGAATGGAAGGGGGGGCCGAGAAGGAAGAGCATCTCAGCCAGGAGTGCATGGCTAGAACTCAAAAGAAAAGAGCAGATCTATATGACCTTGGACACTGACTTGGGCGGCGGGGGATGTTTATGAATTTTTGAAGGGCAGATAGTAATTAACTATCTAACTCATCAGCTTTCAATTCGCTTCCATGCTTCTCCACCACTTACAGAATCTTTTGGTTTCTCAGTCATGTGAGCAAGCCCCATAACATTATCTGATACAGGGGAGGATGAGAATTAAAAATAATCAAAGTAATATATATATATATATATATTCCTACCAGCAACAAATTTCATTTCATATAAATGCTTCGTCAGCGTCAAATTGTTGCGCTTCTGGTTTTGCGCAGTTGCGTCTTCTTTATGAATTTGCTCAGTTTATGTGGACGGAGCAGAATAGTCATGTTTGGGGTCCAAAAGAATCTGATACCAGTAAACTCGTTCGTTGATTAATGGATATGTGCAGAGAGAGAGAGCGAGAGGGAGGGAGGGATGGTGGGGGGAGACTTTTCAGCGAGCACTGAAAGTAAGGACTACTGATGCCATTCTTCTGGAAGAAGATGGGCCGCGTCGCACTACGTGCGTCGTGAGCCTTAAAATATCACGGAAAGGGATTCGTTAAAACAGGTCCACATCAGTTTTAAATGGATCAAAATAATAGTCTAATGAAGGGAGGGAGGCAATCATAGAAGAGAGAGAGAGAGAGAGAAGGGTATACTGGTGAGGGAGGGGCTGGAGAAGATAAGGGGGCAGAAGAGGCCAATGATTCTGTCAGCTATATTGCTGGAGGCGTCCCATTGGCTTCTAGAAGCTCATGATTGTGCCCCAAACTCACAATCTGCCCATATTCCGCGACGTCCCCACCGCCGCCTCTCTTGTCCCTTCCTCGTCCCATTTATTTCCTCAAATTTTACCCCCTTCCCCCTCTTCATTCTCAACATTCCAACGCTCCCGCATCTCCATTTTCAGTTCTTTCTAATTAAAATCAGTGATCAGGATTAAAGCCTATGCAATTCTTAAGCAATTTTATCCATCTCACCAATTCTTTAACTAAAATAATTAGAAGTAATTTATATTGAACTCGGGAGCTTATTATGAGAATAACACTTACAATCCCAAATGACGACAAAATAGATTAATAAAAAAAATAAGTTTTAAATTTAGAACCAAAATGAATATTTATATCGGTAAACACCCCACATTCTCCTTCCCAAATAGCCTAATCAAAGTAGAAAGGGCCAACTGCTGAATTGGACAAGTCCCACTCGTCAAAATGGGGAACATAATAGGACCATCTAAAAGTCATTATGATTCCGTTAGTACCTCCGTCCTCCGCCACTCCTGAATTGTTGATTCCGCATCTGTACCCGAGTTTTCCAATATCGGGTCTTTCACTTTCAAGTAGCATGGCCCAGCAAGAAACAATGGCTCAGTCCATACTGTTGGGCCCTGGCCCACCGTCAACCCCGCAGGATCAAGCAGGGCGGGGAAACGATCGGAGCTCGTCCTTTCAGGCACCTGAAACTGCCTGCTTACTGATGCCCAATAACCATGCCTCCTACTTTAACTTCATTGTAAACATACTAACTTTCCCTTCCTTGTTTCTTCCTCCTCTCCTCTGTTGCACGACTGCGTACTTTGTTGTGCCCGATCCACATTCGTAGTATTTGTAGGACGCGAATCTCAAAAGTACTGCCGTAAACGATGACTTATCATAAATCACATGTTAATTTCTTCTTTTCGAGAAATAATGAAAATCAATAGTTGGAAAGGGTAACACCTTGTGATTAGTTTTTGCCTAAGAACGAACGAACAAACAAACAAACAAGGAGCAGTTTCGTGCCGTGTCATTAATCCCGGTGTTGCTTAGACAAGATATTAGAGAGGTACGCAGCAGTGACAACTGGGTTGGGACGAAGCCGGATTAAGTAGTAGTCAATGATATTCTCCGCGAGTTCTTAAAAGTCTCTACCATCCTCAGAAGGACACCTTACATTTTCGGCCTCCAAAGAGAGCAAAAAAACAGGGACTCCGCACACATTGTACCGCCCACTGATAACAGGGGGGCTTTAAAAATCAGAAATGACTTATTTTAAAAGAATAAATTTTATATTTAGGAGTGAGTTTGAAAAATATTCTACTCTTATGTTTTCCATCCACGACATACATACTATGTGATAAATAAAGTAAGAAGATTCCTGGTATGACCCAATGAGGGATGTAAAGAAAACCAGGCTGCCTCTTTGGTCCTGAGATCAGCATAAAATGAACCGCTGGAACGTGATTAATTAGAATGCGGAGCACAGCGCTGCAAAAAGTTAGCGTTGGAGTACAAATGAATCCTCTTGTGGCCCTATGTTGATTCAAACCAAACTCATACCATACGTAATAAAAGTGCAACCGATCATTATATATAGAAAGCGAGTCGGATATTGATTATCATTAACAAAGGCCCCCAAAGTCGCGTTAAATCTAAAGACAGCTAATTAAAAGTAATGAGGCAAAAGTTTATGATGATATCTATGGAGAGTATTTGACAATATATATTACTGGGGTAGCGACAAGTCATATGCGGATGTGAAAATCAGAGAGTGAGGTGGGTGCTTGAATTGGACTGACAGTAATGGTACGCAGGTTTACATATATGGAAACAGAGGAGAGTCCAAAAGCAGGATGCTTCATTGACGTGCAGATCCAATCAACCCTTCGCCACAATTCCGCCTTCTGCCTCTTTCCCTGTGCCTCTCCACTCCTCAAGTACTTCACCTGCCTCTTCATCCCATCTAATGGGCCTTGCTCCCTATGTCATTTATCATTATCTTTACCCATCAATTTAATTTAATTAAAATTCGAGCACATTATTAATCACCTCTATTCTCTTTGCTCCTGTTGTCTGAGGGTATGATCCACAAGTTAAAAATCTTTATTATGTGTCCCCTCAGATATACTCTTCCAGTTTTAATTATAAGATTTTTTTTATAGTCTACAAACCTGATATTATAAATACAACCGGAAGTAATATATTGTATGTGAAAAGAGCCAACATAATTTAATGAAGGTTGAATTCGGAAGGATAACAATGTTTTGTATATCGATATTGACTAATTACATTGATCTATACGACTTAGATTAGTTACAAAATATCTTTATAATAGATGGTAAACAGAACGAGTGTAACACACACACACACGAGTCACCGAACTTGAGTCCTGCTGGGTGAGTTGGTGGGGGCCACTCTCATGGAAGGAAATCATCGAGTTATGACTTAGGAGGAAATCAAGAAAAGCAAATAAATAAGCATCAGTCTCTTCCAAACAACCGCACACACCCACAACTAAATTGCCAGCTTGCAGCATCTTAGGCTCTCCCTTGTGGTGGTGATTACCATGTTACTGTATAATATTCATATATACTACTTTAAATTAAGGCCCCAAAATCTACTAAAGCTCTCCAATTATTGTCGGTTTGCTATTCTTTTATTCCGCCGCCAGCTGTTGTGTTGTCTATTATCATTGGCCCACATCCATCACAACTACTTCTCTGTGGTATTGTCTGAAAACCAATTCTTTACGTGGGAAGATATGAGATGCGAGCTGAGCCCAGCTAAGGAGCTTTCCAAACACATTGTAAGCAAAATTCCAGACTCTCCAGGTAAAAATAATAAATCATCGATGCTGAGTTATAATAAGTAATTAAGAATTAAAAATAAAAATAAAAAGATCGCGCTTTTGGACCAGATCTGGGAAAACGACTCCTCTTAACCCCAGATTAGCTGGCTCTGATCCTCCTTATTTGTTACTGGTTATATCAACTTTCAGCCAACTTCTTCATATGTTATGCTCATTAGATTGGATTCATTGTTAATATCATCAGAACAAACTGTATCTTTGTTGATCTCAATACTTAATATTGTTAATGACAGCTTGCCAAATATTATTATTTCCAAGATGTGCAGTTCTAATTAATGTTAATAATATATTGACAGCTTCCCAAGGAAGTTTTGTTCTCGTTTCGTTTCCCCCGTGCTCATTCTTATTCGAGTTCCATACCAAATGACGTCTTAATGTTTTAATGTTAATAATATATAAGTAAATTAAATGTAAATTAAATCCAAACACTGGTGTTGTGTTTGAATTAGAGAGTATTTAGATTCGAGTCAAATTCTTTGTTTGAGTAAGTAAAAATTCATGAATTTAGAGTCGACTAAATATCTTTTTTTGATACAACGGAAAGGTTGACCAAGTAAATTTTATTATTACAAGTTTTTACAATTTCAAATACTAACTCTGTGTCTCTGTTTGTACATCTAATAAAAGGTAATTGATTGACTTTGCTAGAATTATAGACATAAACAAGAAGCAGGCGCCGGGTATTTATAATTTTAGTTAGGAATATTTTGGGAAGGTAAAATATTCATTAAATTCATCAGTTCTAATTTAAATTCAAATATTTAAATATTTTTTAATTAATAAGTTTATGAACATGAATTTCAATGCAAAATTAATTATATACATCCCTAATATATATTTAATCTGAAAGTTGAACTAAATCAAACATATCATAATTTTACTTAAAAATTTGATTGAAATATTCTTTAATATTCAATCAAATAATCTGGTCTATTCAGAGCAGATTCAAATATGAAAATCTAACCTTTTTTGTTTTAGTTTGTCCTTGATGCTCCAAGGATTGTGGAAAAACAAGTTAATCTGGGGAGGGCTATGAATAGAGAATTTTAAACATGAGAACTAAGTCTTTCCATCCGTTCACAGTCTACAATATAAGCACACAAGAGATCTAAAATACATAAGTAGACTTGGTTGCGTGAGTAATTATGAATGGAAACGAAAGGAGTGTCCATTGAAATCCTTGGACGTACGAATGGAAGGAAAAGCGATTCTACAGTGCAGAGGGGCAAACAGAAAAAGTGAAAAGCGACCCAGAATCGAGTCTTCACATTTCTACACAAATAAACATGCGTTGTTCGATTCAACAACTTTCAAAAGTCGTCAAATTTCAACAACGACCCAACAGGGCCAAGGCTAGCCACGAAGAAGGAAGCGCGTTTGACCTTGTAAATTCCGTCCACCGTGACAGATTCTTTCTGAAGCTGCAGCTAAGCGCCCAGACACTCAAGCCCCACCATCCCGTCCCATCCATCCTCTGATTCTCCCAATCCTTTTCTCTTCGTCCCATCATCCCCCTCCATCACCGCCAAATTTGAAGGCTGAGGGGGGCTTTTCTTCCTTTCCTTCTTTATCCCATCGTTCCCTCAATCAAAAAAAAAACTTGGCAACCTGTTACCAGCCATGGCGGACTCTGTGAAGCAAATCTTAGCAAAACCCATCCAGCTAGCCGACCAAGTAATCAAATCTGCCGATGAGGCTAGCGCTTCCTTCAGGCACGAATGCGCGGAGCTCAAATACAAGTCTGAGAGACTCGCGGGGCTTCTCCGGCAGGCCGCGAGAGCCAGCTCCGATCTCTACGAACGTCCTACGCGGCGGATCATCGAAGAAACCGAACAGGTCCTCACCAAAGCCCACTCCTTGATTCTCAAATGCCGCGCCAATGGCCTGGTGAAGCGCGTGTTCACCATCATACCCGCCGCCGCTTTTCGCAAGATGTCTACCCACCTCGAGAACTCAATCGGAGACGTGTCGTGGCTCCTTCGTGTGTCCGCCCCGGCGGAGGATCGCGGCGACGAGTATCTGGGTCTTCCTCCGATCGCCGCGAACGAACCGAATCTGTATCTCATATGGGAGCAGGTGGCGACACTTTACACGGGTTCTCTGGAGGAGCGATCTGATGCGGCGGCTTCGCTGGTGTCACTTGCTAGGGACAACGATCGATACGGGAAGTTGATAATCGAGGAAGGTGGGGTCGGACCGTTGTTGAAATTGCTCAAAGAGGGTAAGATGGAAGGTCAGGAGAATGCTGCGAGAGCAATTGGGCTGCTGGGTCGTGACCCCGAGAGCGTAGAGCACCTGCTTCACGCCGGAATATGCTCTGTGTTTGCGAAAATCCTTAAAGATGGTCCCATGAAAGTGCAAACTGTGGTGGCCTGGGCTGTATCGGAGCTGGCGGCGAATTATCCCAAATGCCAAGATCTCTTTGTTCAGCACAATATAATCCGATTGCTCGTCAGCCATCTTGCATTCGAAACAGTTCAAGAACACAGTAAGTACGCCATTGATCGCATCAAACCCACATCAATCCACGCGCTTGTGATGGCAAGTAGTAATCCTAATTCTAATTTAAATAGCATCAATGCCAAAAAGTCCAACGAAGACGACGAGAATCAGATTCAGAGTCGGATAGCGCATCCGTTGGGTAATGGAACAGCTTCCCAGCTGCATAGAGTGATCACAAGTACTATGGCAATGAATGCTACTCCCAAGCCTAATGAAGGAAACGCAGGGAATCAGAACTCCCAAGCCAGTCAACCCAAGAGCAATGGTCAGAGTAACGGGAAGCAAAATCATCAACCGCATCATCAGCCAAGCTATTCACACTCGGGGATAAACATGAAGGGAAGGGAACTAGAGAGCCCCGAGACTAAGGCCAATATGAAAGCAATGGCAGCAAGAGCGCTGTGGCACCTAGCCAAGGGTAACTCACCCATTTGTCGTAGCATCACAGAATCAAGGGCTCTCCTGTGCTTTGCAGTACTCCTTGAGAAAGGACGTGAAGATGTGCAGTACAATTCTGCCATGGCAGTGATGGAGATTACGGCAGTGGCAGAGAAAGATGCTGATCTGAGAAGATCTGCGTTCAAGCCTAACTCTCCTGCATGCAAAGCAGTCGTCGATCAAGTGCTTAAAATCATAGAGAAGGCAGATTCAGACCTGTTGATTCCTTGCATGAAAGCCATTGGGAATTTAGCGAGGACATTCAGAGCAACGGAGACATGGATGATTGCTCCTTTAGTGCGACTTTTGGATGAAAGAGATGCAGAGGTATCAAGAGAGGCATGCATAGCCCTCACCAAATTTGCCTGCTCCGAGAACTACCTTCACCTGGATCACTCCAAGGCGATAATATGCGCCGGTGGGGCAAAACATTTGGTGCAACTTGTGTATTTTGGAGAACAACATGTCGTCCAGATTTCAGCAGTAGTTTTGCTCTGCTACATTGCAATTCATGTCCCAGACAGTGAAGAACTCGCCGAGGCTGAGGTACTGGCGGTGCTGGAATGGACATACAAGCAATCCTCCTTGACGCAGGATGAAACAATCGAGGCGTTGTTGCAAGAAGCCAGGAGTAGGTTGGAGCTTTACCAGTCTAGAGGTTCCAGAGGATTCCATTGATCTCGTCAATACTCAAGTTTATTCTTGTCCCTGTAGAGGTTTTCATTCATTCGTTTCTTTTCTATCATTCTCGGGAGTGTATATACAGTCAAATGCATTCTTCAATTCTTCTTATGTATTTTCTACCGTCGTAACAGAATTTGTGCCAAATTTTAAAGAATCGCGTAGTTTTCAGTGTAATTAGTAGCGGTTTCTGTTTTGGTTACTCATTAGTGAGGATTTGTTATCACAAGGACAATGACTTTGAAGTAAGGCGATGATATCTATCCAAAACAAAATAGGGGTGCCTATTAATAGACATGGCACTTTGGGTACGTTTAGCAACTGCATCCTGTTGTGATAACTTGTGACACAAGGTTTTTTTTTTGGGAGGGGGGTGTCAAAACCCAAGAGATTTGTTACCATTGATAAATCCTGACTAATAACAGATTTGACTAACTACTGTCAGTATATTTGGAATTTGCCTGGCATAGAATATTGTAGCTTTGAGTATAAAAGTGTTGAACATGACACAACTCTTTTTGGAAGTGATGTGGAATTTGCTGGGACAGATTGTAGACCCACAACTGTTCTGCTCATCAATGACCCTACTCTTATGTTTTATCTCATATGTTGAAGACATTCCCCAAGGGGCGAATCATGAGTTATTGTTCTAAAAAAGATGAGTTGACGGCTCTGGCGTTTCAACTTTTCGTTTCTAAACTCTTGAATGATACTCTGCGCCGCGCCAGGGACAAAAGAGCGTTCAGAATGAATGTACAAATTCTGTTGGCGAGGGGTTTGGTTCTGGATTGTGGTCATCCCGAGCAAAGTTTTCTAATGCTTTTCAAAATAACCCGTTGTGCACCAGTAAATTGCCCGGGGTTGCTCCTTTTCAGGGGATGCTCAGCTCCGTTGTGCAGTACTATACTAGCGTCGCGATTGACTCCTCCTTTGAAAGTGGAACCAAGGAGTTAAGGACCCCGCATGTCAATGGTTTAGACTTTAGATAACCACTACCTCCGAGAAACTAGAACTCCATCATAGTAAAGCAGATTACTTTCCCAGGCTATATAGAATTGGAAATACATTTGCGATACATCTCTAACAGAGGCATGTCAATTTCAGTTCTCAAAATTCTGCTATAAAGCATCTTGGTGGCATGTTTTGATTCGCTTGGGAACTACGAATGCTGATGGAATATATCAAAAAGCTAGAGGCAAAATTAGGCGCAACAGCAACAAAATATTACAGACCTAAAATGATTTCATTGCTGTACTATCCAATCCAAGGAAGACTATATATCCGTGTAACGGTGTTAATGGCGAGATAATGACTATCAATTCGCCGTTCTTGGCAAGCAAGGAGTAGTTTCAATTGTCTGACAAGTATTGATCGGCAAGACAGAAGGGTATATACGAAGGTTGGCCGTGATGTGGTTTATCAGACTCCAACACAAATTTTGGTAATTTTGCACCAATCATCTTCGTGGGGGTGAGTATTGGCCAAAAGCAATAATGAAGTCGAGAAAATAGAAAGCCAGTAGCCGCTCCCACGTCTTTGAAGCCAAACAGCACCTCCAAGGCCCCAACACAGCCTGTGTTAATCTGTATTCATGATTGTTTCTGAAAGGAAATCAAACCGTTGACCACTTGTACGACTCCTTCCCCTCCCCCTCTACGCATATTCATTTAAAAAAAACTATTTTCAGGCAAAGCATGACAAAACAAGGAGCAGACTCAGTGAGATTGATTAACAAATGAACCAAAATTTAAACATGGATTTCACTTCGTTCAAACTTCAAAGCCCAGCTTTACATCCAATGCTCAAATTCTTGAGCCCAATCGATTGTGATTTTGGACCGGGCTTACTCCTTGTCGTCGTTCATACAACTCAATTTTCAGCACGAGGGAAGTCTCATAATTGCCACCAATTGTTAACCAACCCCCCCCCCCCAAAAAAAAAAGAGCTGTTACACGGGGCAATAGAATTTGATCTTTCAATGAAATTGTGGTGGGAATTTCATAAATAAGCAAAATATATAATTTCCTGTTCGGAAAAAATCACAAGTTCTGGCAGAAATGAAGAATGGATTGGCTTTCTTTATGTATTGCCCGAGCGTGGGAAGGAATCAAGATACCACTTGAAGCGTGAATCTAGTGGTACCTGTTGCCTGGAGAATCTGTTGATGAAAATGGCCCTCTCGATCACACTAATCACTGATATTTGGATATTTGGAATATGAGGATTGCATCCGTCCTCGATAACCCAATAAAACAGAGAATACTGTTGGCCCAAAAAGAGATATTGTGAAGAGAATACTGAGAAATTCGGGTCTACCAGGGTAAATTTCCATCTCAAATCCGAAAAAAGAAAAAAGAAAAAAGAAAATCACGCAGGCAGTTGCCCTTGAAGAGTCGAGAGTCACATACATCGCTCTACAGTCGACACCTTATCCTCACATGAACCACTGCATTCCCTTCCAAATCTCATCCACCCAATCTTATAATCCTCTGATCGCAACTGCAATCAGACAAACACTGCTCCCTCTCTTCTCTTCTCCCTCGTTTTACATATTTCACCAGGTCAGCTAAATATCATCTCTTTCATTTATCAAATTCTTCTCACCCTCCCTCTCCAAAGCATGGCTTCTGGGGTAACTGCTTCGCTCTCCTTTCCATCGTCCAAGTCCGCCTCTCTTTCCACCAGAACCTCCATTGTCTCCCCTGACAGACTAGTATTCAAGAGGGTATCCATATTATACATGTTTCAGCGATCATCTAATTCTAGCACTGCATTTGTTTTCCCCGTAATTATGGGATGATTACGAATCTAACCGTGTGCGTTGTGCTTTCTCAGGTTGCATTCCAGTACAGGGATGTGTATAGCAGTAGGAAAGTAGTTTCTATCAGAGCCCAAGTGACCACAACAGAGACAGAGGCGCCTGCTGCTAAGGTAGAGAAGGAATCGAAGAAACAGGAAGAAGGAGTGGTGGTGAACAAGTTCAAACCCAAGAATCCTTACACTGGGAGGTGCTTGCTCAACACTAAGATCACTGGGGATGATGCTCCTGGAGAGACATGGCACATGGTCTTCAGCACCGAGGGTTCTGCTCTTCTCCTTACTCATTCCTATTATTAATCCACTAAGCTCACGCTCATGTTGTCTGTGTATAATTCTGTCTCAGGAGAGGTTCCATACAGAGAAGGACAGTCAATCGGAGTCATACCAGATGGCATTGACAAGAATGGCAAGCCTCACAAGCTTAGGTTGTATTCCATTGCCAGCAGTGCCCTTGGTGACTTTGGTGACTCCAAAACTGTGAGTTCTGAATTTCGCCTTAGGCAAAATCATGTTATTTTTTCGTCCTGTTGTTGTTGTGTTCAAGATTTCACTGTGACTTTACATTCCCACAATTTATTTATTGCCTATGTGACGCTTCAAATTCATTAATTTAATGTGTGATATCGTTTCATACAGGTTTCTCTGTGTGTGAAACGGCTTGTATACACTAATGAAAATGGAGAACTCGTCAAAGGGGTGTGCTCAAATTTCTTGTGTAAGTATGGAATAGTTCTAGTACTTATGCAGCTTAGAAGGAATTTTAGCTATAATGTCTGGTCTCAAAAAGATTTCTGTGATAGGTGATCTGAAGCCTGGAGCTGAAGTGAAGATCACTGGCCCTGTTGGGAAAGAAATGCTTATGCCTAAAGATCCTAATGCCACCATCGTAATGGTATCTCGTCTCATGATTTACTTCAGAAAAGAATAGGACGCGTTTGAATTTTTTGTGCGGTTATGGTTGTTTTGATTTTTGTTGTGACTAAAGAAACTTTCTTTGTAGTTGGCAACTGGAACTGGAATTGCCCCATTCCGTTCATTTTTATGGAAAATGTTCTTCGAGAAGCATGATGATTACAAAGTAAGTGTACCAAAGAAAGATTAATACATCCTTTTTGAATTAGGCGCGTTTCATATCATTCCATTATAGCAGTTTTGTGTAGTTGTATCCTTTGCTACAATAACTAGGCAACGATAACGTCAATTCAAGTGATTTTGCAAAGACTACTGCTAGAGATTCATTTGATCCGTCCTTGCAGAATCAATATGGAATTGTCTGTTTAGTATTCACTGTAATTATGATAAATGATATTTCTCATGGCTGTTAAGACAATAGTTGGTAAAGCAAATGAGATCACCAGAAGGAAGACAAAATGAATTCTACATTAGAAATTAAATTAACTTTAGTATATTAGGTGAATTGTCCAAGTGACTTCCTTTTATCCTAACTGAGTTTGGCACATATTTGTAGTTCAATGGCTTGGCATGGCTCTTTTTGGGTGTCCCTACAAGCAGCTCACTGCTTTACAAGGAGGTGATACTATGAAAACCTTCCCTCTTATGCTCTCAGGAATGGAGGGGACTGATAAGATTTTCCCACTCACTGACTCATAAAATGCTGTCTGCGTGGGACAGGAATTTGAGAAGATGAAGGAGAAAGCTCCTGACAACTTCAGGCTTGACTTTGCTGTGAGCAGAGAGCAAACAAATGACAAAGGAGAGAAGATGTACATCCAGACCAGAATGGCTCAATATGCAGAAGAGTTATGGGAATTGCTCAAGAAAGACAATACTTTCGTCTATATGTGTGGGTTGAAGGGAATGGAAAAGGGAATTGATGACATCATGGTCTCCTTGGCTGCTAGAGATGGTAAGAAACAATTTCCTTCATTCAAATTAAACTGCCAATTTGGCCTTTGCCTAATTTGAGAGGCACAAAAATACTTGAAACCCTGCCTGGTACCTACTAAGGCCACCTGCTACTTGACAATTGGACAGAAACTTTGCTGATCGAGTTGTGCTTGTTATAATGTGCAGGTATTGACTGGACTGAGTACAAGAGGCAGTTGAAGAAAGCAGAGCAATGGAACGTGGAAGTCTATTAATTTCTCTGTTCAGTAAGAGATCTGTGGTCGTATTTGTGAAGCGGTCATTCTATCATTTCTCCTGCATTCTGTAGATAAATGAGGCCTCTGTGATTTTTCTTCCATGATATTCTGACTTCCTATAGTGGATCAACCTCATTGCAATACATGGAGTAATACTTTTTTTAGGACTCTATGCAAAATCTAGATGAAGCCAGCTTCCTTTACCAAACATTAATCAAGTTAATATATCATATTTCACTGAAGTTGAACTTGTTGTGTAAATTTAATGGGAAATTTGTCAAGTGCGAAACTTCCTTTTTCTTGAATTGGAAATTAGCAAGTAGCCAGAGATCCCTTTTTGTCTCCCAGATTGTGAGAAGTTCAAGATGGCATGGCTTAAATTCTTCATGTTCATAGAAGAAGAGGTCGTGGTCGTAATTACTCAATAAGCCAACGGTAAGAACAACATCACGCACCCGTTCTAAATTAAGTGAAACAGATAGTTAGTTTGTAGGATTGCAAAGTACCTTAAAAGGAAGCCTTTGAGTGAAGTGTTTCAGTTGGGATTCCTAAATCGTATTGGACACCAACTAAGGGTATGTTTGGATTGGCGTTGGGCAAAACTGACTTCTAGTCCAACTGACTTTTGTAACTGAAGTTAGAGTAAAAGTCAGTTATGGTATGTTTGGATAGGTACTTTTAAAAAGTCAGTTGGAAAAGTTAAAAGTTGTTTGGATGAGTAAAAAAGTTAGTTCAGTTGTAAAATGACTAAAAAGGACATATACTTTATTAAATAGTAGTGTTTGATATTTTTAATATGATAATTGTTAAAAAATATCTAAAATTATTATGATAAAATAAAAATAGTTTATTTGTGAGATTATAAGATAAAAATATTTGTTACCAAGACAAATTTAAAAACACATTTTAGATAATTAATTAAAGGGTTAATACAATGATTAGTTCTTACACTTTCCATTCATTTTGGTTTTGGTCCCTGAAGTTTGTAACCTCTAGTTTTGTCCTTTAAGTTTGCTTCGTTTAAAACGTTAGTCCTTATATTTTTAAAAGGACTTGGTGTCACCTTTAACACTGTTAAATATGCTGACATGTCCCTAACTCTGTTAAATATGCTCATATGGAACCAAGTGGACGAGCTGAGGTGGCTTATAAAAGATTAAAAAAATGGTAGAGAAAGGAACAGGCGGTAAAATGTAATACGCAAGTCGAAAGGCAAAACCATTCTTTCCAATAGAAAAAAGAAAAGGAGAGGGTTAGGTCAAAAGGGGTCCCACTTGGTAGTTGCCGGAGTTGAGCTGGCCGTCGCCGAAGGTGGGGAACTGACCGATCAAGGTGCGACAGTGAAGGAGGAATCGCATTTTCAATTATATTCTTGAATATATTCTTGAATATGTTCTTGAATATATATTAGAGAAAGGCACCTGGGTTCGGTAGATAGGTGAGAGAAATATTCATTAATATAACGGTAATATGCATTTGAAACGGTGGAAAAGTTGCATATGGGAGCGTTCAGAAATAAGGTGCTTTTTTTCAGAAGTCAGGTTGAAAAGCTACCTATCCAAACAATGAGTTTAGCTCAGAACGCTCTTAACTGGCTTATTACAATTTCCAAGGCACGTTTGGATCTCAAAACGGAGATCCAAACATACCCTAATTTAAATGAGAGTCAAGTTGGGGTCCAAACATAATGGTTTTCACATTTGCATGAATTTGAAATTTCGTACTTAAGTGGCCGTGATCTTTTTCATTGGGATCAATACCAGTTGGCTGAACATATCCTATTTTCATCACATTAGTTTTTTTTTTTGGCTACGCATAAATATCCTCATATTTAAGACAATCCTTTCATCACACCAAATGTGAGTATTTTTCTTAACTCTTTTTGTTGGACTCAACCCCATTAATTATTTTTACCACGTTGGTTAGCCTCATGTCACTGTGAACTTGTTTTTTGAGAGCCCCTTGATCCAAGTGATTCAATGTGGATCCAATTCGTATCCATTAAATGTGATGGGATATTTAGAAGGTATTTTGTATACGTTAATTTCTAAATTTCAAGCCTCAAAATATAAATTAATATTCATATCTGATCATTTTTATAAACTCCAGTTTCTAATCACAATATTGATATCCGCATTTATATTCTGTTTTTTAATCATGCGCGCTCGAATGTTCACAGTTTATGGTCGGGATTGTGCCCAGCATCAATATCAATGATGAATAAATAAAGAAACAATAATTAGGTTTTATTTAGCAGTACATGTTAAAAAGTCAAGGGATATTCATGTTTCAGGGGGAGGAAAAGGAGATGATATACATATAACATATATATACATATATATATATATATATGTATATAACTTTGGTTTATTCAGTTATGAAAGGGAAATTACTGTGCATCATGGGACAGTGTGAATGGATTCATGAATTGAGCGAATTAACCCATTTAAGTAATCATTTTTTAAATAACTTTGGAGCTTAACAATGTCTCCCAAATTACTGCATCATAATATTTTTTCTAAATATCTAAATGAAGTTTTATAAAAAATCTCAAATCCATGATTCTGATTCTCATGGACTACTTTTTTTTTATTGGGTTAATACCATCTTGACTCTATTTAATCTTGTTCTTTTTTTTAATCCATAAAATTTGACTTTATTTAGATTTTAATCACTAAAATTTAAAACCGATAATTTTACTTCTTGAAACTTGATTTTATTTTGATCTGTTTAAAAATTTTTAGTATTTAAAATAATTTTTTTGTTTTTTACCAAAAAAATAGTGTTTTTGTCTTAAGAATCAAAACTAAAATGAAATCAATTTTTAATGACTAAAATTATTAATTTTAAATTTAAGGAACTAGAAGTAAAATGATTTTAAATTTTAAGTATTAAAGTGAAAATAAGACTAAATTTCAGAAATTAAAAGTAGCAGTAATCATTTTTTTAAAATAAAACCGTTGTAACGAGACAAAAATTAGACAATTTTAAAACGTTACAATGATTTGAGAAATTTAAATGATATTATTAATTTATTTGCAAGATATCAGAAAGTTAGATGTTATAGTATTTTCATAATTTTTTCTAATTTTGATTTTTTTCTGAGTTAAAAAAAATACTTTTAGCTTTCTGATTTATAGCTACTTATCTTTTTCTTTTTCTTTTTTTGGCTTACTTATCTATGGCTTGAATGTATCCCGTATTCTTTTTAATCCTATCATAATTTGTTAAGGATAATTATATACGCTGACAGTTTTTAATTTTAATTTGACACATGGTAAATGTTTTATTAGCATTCCTCTTTTTTTTTTTTTTAAACTGTAGTGTGGGGGTGCGTAGTTTTTGTGTGCGCAAAATTTTTATCAATTAGTTTTTTTATTTTAGAAAAATGCTTGCAAAATGAGACCCTAAAATGGAGCAAAATATTTCAGTTGGGTTTTATTTTACTGGATGTTTTTTTTTTCAATTTGGTGTTTGGATGGTACGAGAAATGTTTATGAAAGGTACTTTTTTGCAAATCGAGATAAACTACTCCACATATATGATTTCATATACTGTAAAATTACTTCTGGAACCATGATTTGATTTCCATTCAAACACTTTTTACCTCAATCGATTCATTTGTGACACCTTTCTGTTTTTTTTTTTTTGGGGGGCATCGGGACGTTGCTTTGTTTGATTATGTACATTTTAACCAATCTGGAACGAATGTGTACTCCTAACTCTCCTCACGCGATTTTTTTTTTTTGGCCGACCTTACGCGATTTTCTATTAATTAGGTTCATTACACACACACGCACGCACACGAATATATTCGTAACTATCGTTCTTTTCTTAAAGGCCTATCCCCTTTTTTAATTAGAAAACTTTCCTTATGAGTAATTAGTATTAGTAATCAATAATAAAGCTTCACAGATAAATCAGCTGTTAATCAGATATATTATTGTTATTATTATAGCCCGAATTAATTAGGGTTTTATACTTTTATTCCTAGCTGATCTTTTGGGTTTCACGACTAAAGATCTGATTCCATATATATAAAGCTACTCGTTGCCGTTCTCTCACATTCCCCGATCGAAATTCTCTTTACTCTCTAGGGTTCAACTCTAATGGCGGAGGAGAGATCAACTGGTGTGGTTCAGTGGTTCAGCGATTCCAAAGGCTTTGGCTTTATCAAGCCGGACGATGGAGGGGAAGATCTCTTCGTTCATCAATCTTCCATCAGATCCGAAGGATATCGTAGTCTTGTAGAAGGCGATCGTGTCGAGTTCGTGATTGCCTCTGGCGACAACGACAAAACCAAAGCTATCGATGTTACTGGCCCCGATGGAGCTCCTCTACAGTCCAAGAAAGACAATTACGGTGGTCGCGATGGGGGCTATGGCTTTAGCGGTGGATGGAGAGGCGGGGATAGGCGTAACAGTGGGGGAGCTAGCGGTGCTGGTTGCTATCAGTGCGGCGATGTTGGCCACTTAGCCAGAGATTGCAACCGCGGCAATAATGCCGGTGGCCCATCTTGTTTTAAATGTGGCGAAGTTGGGCACTTGGCTAGGGACTGTTCACTTGGAAATAATGGCGGCGGCGGCGGGGCTTGCTTTAGGTGTCATGAGTATGGGCATATGGCGCGGGACTGCACCAGGGGAAGCGGTGGGAGCGGTGGAGGTTGCTTCACATGTGGTGAAGTGGGTCACTTGGCCAGGGATTGCACCAAGGACAGCGGAAGGTATGGAGGCGGCGGCGGCGGCGGCGGCACCCGAGGAAATACATGCTTTAATTGTGGGAGGCGTGGGCATTTTGCGCGAGACTGCCCTGAAGCCTCTGCATGATATAAACTTAGTAGAAAGAAAAGGAGAACTTATTCTCTCGCTCTGTTTTTTGGGTTGACAATTTATCTTCTTCTCCTTTTTTTTTTTCTGGCTCCTTTTGAAATTTATACATAGGTTGTCCATGCAAAGGATTATGACTTTTGTTCTGGTATCAGCGATAAGCTAATTTGTTACTGCTTGACCGGCAATTTTCCGCAAATTGCTCGACTAGAGGAGGAACAGAATTCCTCTGTTACTTCCTTTTTTTCATCAATGACTATGAGATAAATTTCTAATTTAGCAGTTATTTTCCTCCCTTGATTGCTTTCATTGTTTGACATGTCCATTATTTTACCCCTCCAGAAAGTGATGCAGTGAATGTAGCCATGTGACTATAATGGACCTGCCAGACCTTGCTTCAAATATATTATTCACCGTTGTCGCCCAAGAGCTGCTATAATTCAAGATAGTGCGGTCCTGAAATGTTCATATGGTCTTAATTTTGAAGGGGGGGTGTTTTCCTAGCTTAGAAGCACTCTCACTCAAGCTTAGACAAAACATTTTTCGCATACACAAAATCAATTCCAAAAAGTTAATCCAAACACTCTTTTAGTGTTGTGTGAATTTAATTGTAAAGAACTACCCTTCTTTCTTGCTTCTCTTTCTTTAATCATTAAGAAGGTAAGAAAGAAAGGTAAATGCTGTTTCTTTGGAATTTTTTCTCCGGCATTTTAATTTGTGAATCAACATACTAAAGCTTTTTCCTCAGCTATCTGGTCATATGCCTCTGCAAAGCTGTATTGGACGGACTTGGACCCAATTTTTGTTTCGTATGACCATTTTCGGATCGTGACTTGTAACATATTTACTGTTGAGAACAGAATTTTTAATAAAGCATTTAATGTTGATAAATTGAGGCAAGTATTGAAAAACTGTCTTCTATCAGAGATTGCTTCTTGAAAGCATGGAAGATAATGGCAATAGTTCATGCTTGTTGTCCTGTAATTGACTTCCCTCCCACCTTCTGGTCTTTTATGTAAAGCTCTCTCGTTATCTGTTGAGGCCCTTTGTGTACTATTGAATGGATGTTCTCATAGGATAATTCTTGCTTTGGCATATCTCTACTTGATCGGATTTCGGTACATATTTCTTGTCCCTGCTTCAAATTTAGGCTTCCGTTCGGTCCTCGATGCTGCTTTATATGGATATAATATTACTTCTAATTCGGGTTTTCTGCATTGGAAACTCGCTGTTCCCGTCACCCTTGTCTGGAGATTGGTTTTTATAGTCTTAACTGATACAAGTGTTGCACAGCAGGTTAAGCATCCTCTTGATTTTCAGCTGAATTGCGTGCTTGTGATTTTTCTAAGTTGATTGACAAATTTAGTTGCAAGCCGGAGAGTTTTTCTTTTTCTTTCTCCTTTTCCTCTCCCTGCCATGGGCACCTTTATTGCCGTCATATGCAATTTAGCTTTCTGACACTGTTATGGCACTCTTTTAAGCATGCTCATCAATTCTGATGTTTGACTTGTGCTCATTTTCTTTGTTGCGGGTGTCTGTATCGACTATGTTTACACTTGAGGTTGACTCTGGCTTTTACTTTTTGTATTTTATTTTATTTTATTTATTTATTTTTTTGCTCCAATGGCTCTGGCTTCAGATACATATTATCGGAAAACATTTAGATACATGGACCTTGATATAATTCCGGGGACATTTGTGTGGGACTGTTGTCTAAGGAAACTGCGTAGGAGCCGGTGGATTGGTTTCTGGTCATAATTTACCACGAGGCCAAGATTTTTTTAATAAATGGGTAAATGTCACAGAATCTGTATATGATATGTGCATCTATAGAGGGGATTATTTCTCAGGCTGTATTGAGATACATGGACCCCGAGCATGTTGGAAACTCAGGCAATGAAGTTTGTCCTCAGATCCCTCACCCCAAAATCTTTCACACGCACTGAGATCCCTGGGGAGGCGGCTGCTCCTATTGAGAATTTAAGATTTACCATTACACTGCTTTATCCTGCGTTGGTCTTCTGTGTTCCAACAGTAGCTGAGGTATTAGCACTCCGGCCAAATTTATAATGAGCGCTCGGTTTATGTTCACATATGATACGATTGAGTTAGTTTTTAAAATTCGTACGTCACAACACAATTTTCTTTCGTTTGGACCTTGTTATCATATCGGCTGGGCCTGTGACTAGGTTGTATTTTCGCGTCCAAAGTCTAGAGTTGGTAACATGACCCGATGTGCATTAATGCACAGTCCCCCAACCGAAGATGGGTTATCGGCCCGCTTCCCAGGAATCCTAGAACGTCGGGGGTGACAATGTTTTGTTGGTAGGGCCTTTATCTCTGCCTGTTGATGTTTGAGGGACAGCCAGCCCGAGACCGTAAGTTGTACGTATAGTAAATATGGAATTTACTTATTTCATCTTCACCTTCTCTCTTTTATTTAATTTGAGAAGGCAGCCCACAATTTGTTGGTTTAACGATGTTAATTGGGAACAATAGATGACGTGTGATAAGGTTTATGGAGGGGTGAATAAACGTCATGGGACACGCTTGTCAACTTGTAAATAATTTCAGCCGACTGCCAACTTGTTGGTTTCGTCCTTCAGTGCAAATGCTGTCCTTTCCCCTGAAAGCTACATTACCTAATATTTCATCCGCGACACATTACTGTTTGTTTTTTTTAATGTTTGATGAAATTGACGTGGTGGTTGTCAAATGAAATAAAAGAAGACATGTTCGATGCTTGAAAAATCAAAAATCAGACAGGCCTTTTCTATATTCAGGTATATCTACTGCAATATTTTTGTGACAAATGAAACAGTAAATACCGATGGGATGTGTTGATTTTATTCTTTGTATTTTTGATATGTTGATTTAAAATGCGATCTGGTCAATGAAAACACGTTCAAAAATAAAAAGATTTTGTAGGACAGCAAAGAGCCCAGGAGCTTTTAATTTTTAAAATGAGGACGGGAGAAGACAGATTGTTGGGCGGGTTCATAAATTTAATGAGAAGACAGCGTGATGTGCTGGTTATGCACTGGTGATTGGTGTTTACTCGTATTTATTTTGTATGGGAGAGGCGTGAAGGCGTGTGGGAGTGAGCGCAGTGGGAAGGAAGAGGCATCGAGTGTTGGACATTGAGGTGACATGATTGTAAATTTAAATTGTGATGGCAGCCCAGCCCCATGGCAAAGAACCTCTCAGGAGCTGAAACCAGCATAGAATACTATGCAGCGGCGCAATGCTAGTAGAGTACTTCTCATCTCGAAACCCTTCGCTCCCGTCCAAATATCCCATTCCTTATTCATATCCATTCCCTTTTCTCTCTGCATCTAAATTCGTAGCCGTCCAAACACCCCACTTGTGTCAGCCCTCTCTTGATTTGTTCAATAAGCCTGTCTCTCCCCCTTATGATTCCCATTCTTTATTTATTTATTTATTTATTTGTTATCTTCTGTACGTTTCGTTCATATAATAATTTATACCAACTCTATTCCTCACCCCTCCATAAACAATCAGACATATTGCCGACCTCCTCCCTCTTTGCGCATCCATGTTGTAAGTGATCCGTGCATGTGCCTTTGTTATAAATGGACCCCCCCCCCCAGCCATCTCTGTATAAGTATCCCATCCTCCTTGTGACCTCCTTCCAATCCTCGTACATATCTCTCTCAATCATGGCCTCTTCTGCTCCATTCGCTACCACCTTCTTCTCTCTCCTTCTCCTTCGATTCCTGTTAACAGGTAAGCTTATACTCTTCATCATTCTCACCATATTCTGCTCCTCATTCCCCGCTCCCTGTTTCCTCTCCAACCCAGGACATTAAACTCACCAAATGCTCGCATGTTCTTTGTGCTTCAAACGCGACGTCTCCCCGCAACCAATTTATCTGTTTCTCCTATATATAATTACTTGGTTCTCGCATTGTTTGTCACGTGCAGGTTCGTATTCTGCGACGTTCACCATCGTAAACAAGTGCAGCTACCCGGTATGGCCCGGCATTCTGTCCGGCGCCGGAACTCCGCAGCTTTCCACGACCGGTTTCGTCCTCCAACCGGCTGAATCCAACGCCATCACCGCCCCCGCCGGCTGGTCCGGCCGCCTGTGGGGTCGGACCCTCTGCTCCCAGGACTCCACCGGCAAGTTCTCCTGCGTGACAGGGGACTGCGGCTCCTCCGGCGTGGAATGCGGGGGAGGCGGCGCCGCCCCACCGGCCACGCTGGCGGAGTTCACACTGAACGGAGCGGGGGGGATGGACTTCTACGACGTGAGCCTGGTGGACGGCTACAACCTTCCGATGACGGTGGAGCCGCAGGGGGGCGCGGGCGGAGGGAACTGCACGTCGACGGGGTGCGTGGTGGATCTGAACGGGCCATGCCCGACGGAGTTGAAGGTGACGTACGGCGCGAGCGGAGGGGAGGAGGGGGTGGCGTGCAAGAGTGCGTGCGAGGCATTCGGGGAGGCAGAGTACTGCTGCAGCGGAGAGTACGCGACTCCTCAAACGTGCAAGCCGAGCAGGTACTCGGAATTCTTCAAGGCGGCGTGCCCACGTGCTTACAGCTACGCGTACGACGACGGGACGAGCACCTTCACCTGCTCGTCCGCCAATTACGTGGTCACATTCTGCGCCGGCCCCACCACAAGGTAAACACAAAGACGACACCTCACCGTACCCATGTATATGAGTAATGCCTGAGAAAGGGGTTGTTTAATTTGCTGATATAATAAAAATGAGATGGTAATGCGGAAGCTGTTGAATGATGCAGTGTGATGAAGGCGGGGAAGGAGAAATACGCAGAGGCAGCGGACGTAGCAGGCGGCGAAGGAGTGAGGTGGAGGATGGAGTGGGCTCTGGTTGGAGGGATGGCAGTATTTGGGATGTTGATGAGTTAGCCTCATTATTGTTTGTTGGTGGCTGCTTGCACGAATTAGGTGGCCTGTGCTCTTCAACTTAGCTGGGAGGGGCACTCTCACTCCCCGGCAGTGGCAACAGGGACGGTTGTTGAGGGAAGAATGAAGGTGGCGTTTTCGATCATTTTAGGCCGCACCGCCCTCACTGCTGACCAAACGCAAGTTGGAGTGGGCCGCACAGATCCGTGCATATATTAAGTAAGGAGATGTTGCTTGTTGCTAATATTCCCGATGTGATGTTGTGCGGGCGGACATATTCCTTTCATATTTTGAGTCCATTCCAATCTCAATGCTCTTTCGCTCCGACACGATCTACTACCTGCTCTCTTCGGAACCGCATATTGCTCTTCATTTAATTAGCTTCTCTTCTTGATTAGGTCATTCATCATCTGCTGCGTTTATTTATCTGTAAGTATTCAACTGCCATATATTTTATGTGTGAAATGGGTCAACTCTCAACGTCACCGTCCTTCACACACGCAACCCATACACTTCGCCCCGCCATAATAATCTTGTGGTTGCGAACTTAAAGCATTCCCTTTTTTTTTTATTTTATATTCGTCATTCTCATTATTCCATACAAAATCATTGACGTCGCCTTTCAAGGATGGCGTCACTATAAATAATGCTGATCTTGACGATCGTGTACTGAATAAATATGTCTCTTGGCTTATACAAAACTATGTCCATATATATATGGTACTTCGGCGTGGTAATAATTAAACACGCGAAATGAGACATATGCGCATATATAGTGCCAGATGACTATGATTTGTGGCTTTCATTTTGTATTGGAACAAAAGAACTATGATCTTATGTCATGAAATGGTTGTTCAGTTTCAACCAACAAATTGATCTTGAATTGAAGGAATGTGTCAATCTGGTCAAATCTCAAATGATATTCTGTCCGGCATAATAAGAAAAAATATTCAAACACGGAATAAAGAGAACTGGGAATTCAGAGCGGCGCATCAAACGGGAAGTATCTTGCCTCTGGCTTTATGAGTGGGGAATATATGTATAGTTTTACCTAATTAAAAAGGATGACTTTTCAGAGGCACGAAAGGGTGATATTTATTTGTGCTGGATGGGAGAGTATTAATTACCAGGCAAGGTTGAAGGATGAAGAGACAGATTGATTCCTGGTGCCTGTGCGTCTCTGCATGTCTTTTGTTATGAGCCCCTGACGAATTTGTCTCCCGCCACATTCGTCAAAGCCTTTAGTACGTCACCCCCCCACCTTCATTCATTAGTTTATTCATTTTGTCACCCCGTCCCGATCCCACCGCAATTTGCACCGCACCCTCCATCACAATAAGAAATAGATGTTTTTCTTTTCATTTGAAATGAAATAAAATAAAATAAACTGCGGTTTCTTCAAGGAAGACGCACTCATTTTCATGGGGGGAAAAATGAACAGCCTTGATTGGAGCTGGTTAATTTGCACTTTCAAGTTTAGTTCTTTTCTTTTTTTTGGGGGGGGGGGGGGTTGATATATGGCCGCCAGGGGCATACTTCTATGCGGATCTCAATTGTATTACTTAACCTCAATAATTATTTGTTTAATGTGAAGCACATGTAACTCTCTTATATATATAAAAGCGTCCTTGATTTCTCAGAAAATATTCACTGATACGACGCGTCATTTCACCTTAGAAACTAAACCCAATGAACCATCCTCGAGAAGAGCTAATTATTTTTCACACCCGCCCTCGTATTCCATGGTTAAATTTTGCAAGGCATGCATGCATGAAATGAAACAAGAACAGTTCCGTTACTTCCACTTTTGAGTGGGGGCAAATGGTAGACACTAGACAGATCGAAGAAGGATATAATTTTTTAAAAAAAAATCAGGTGTGCTTATGAATGGATAAGATGGTTTATTAACTTTAATGGGATGGCGTTTGTTGGGTCTGGTCAAATTAAGACATAGCTTTTGCAAAAGCAATGGGGTGTTTTATTTAGGCCTGAAAAAGCAGAGGGGTTTTGAGGTCAGTGGGCTCGTAGAGTTTTATTCAAAATCAGCGGGCCTAATTAATAACCCCCGCGCTAATTGCTGCGTCAAACACTTAACAGCCAACCTACAAATGCATACTCTCCGGCCACCTGGCCTGTCTCTCCATTATATATCTTTCATTTTGATTTCCCTAATCTAGTTCTTTTAAGGTACATCGCACAGAGACATCATCAACTCATTATATATCTTTACTGTTATAAAGATTTAATAGTAAGCTCTCTTAACTTTATCGAGAGTAGTATCCATGCCTAGACCTCTTGTTGCGTTATTCCTACTCATATTTGACCAAAATACACAATTTTCTCACGACCGGAAAGATGCAAATGAACCTTTCCACGTAATATAATGCTCATCCATACTCAACTTCGACATGTAGTTAGTTGCGCGATTTATCGCCACTTGGTGCATATGTTATGAACACGTGATGTGAATCAAATGGAATGTCTTGTTGCAATCCATGTGCAGTTTCCTTATCAAAGATTCATTGGTTCTGAACATCCCCCCCCCCCCCCCCGGGGGGGCGCTCAAAACCAGTCTAGAGTCGAAACAGCAGGATGTGTCAAGAGGCTCACCTTTTGCAGTCATGACAGTCGCCTTTAAAGAAATTAACGATAAGCTGAGCTATTGATCAGCCTGACCTTTCCTACTTCCACCCCTATCCTCCCTGCTTCCTTTCTTTCTTTTTTTCTTCACTTGACTCCCATCCTGTTTTCCCTCTTAATTACGTCGCTTCCTTCTATTTTCTTTTGGGTTTTCTTTTTGATTTTCTTACTCCACATTCTCAGTAGCATCAGATTCCCCCTTCTGCACACGCACTCATATCAAATCACATATTTCAACTCTCGTCACAAACAATTCATGAATAATTGACAGAAAATGTGGTTAGCGAAGCCAAATATTTGACATGGAGAACTCCGATCGAAAAGTTAAGATAAACTCGGCCAGCATCAGCTGATGCAAAACTTTAATAAAGAACGGACAGTGCATATGCAAATTGCAAAGAGGGAAAAGAAAATAGCGAGCAAAAAGCTGAGCCGCATGAAGATTCAAAGATAAAAAATAAAAGGGAATAAATCTTATCTTCACTGTCTGTCATTGCCGCTTTCCACGGACGACATCAATGGACGACCAAAACTTAGATTCTTCCACATGTTTTTCTTTCTCCCCAAAAATGTTAGGCTTGCTAGGAGGATCAATGTGCTGAGAGTGCTGGTGTTAAATAATAACCAGAGTCATAAAGGGACGAAGCCAGTGGCGTCCACATGATTATTAGATAAATTGATTCATCACTTTCGGGCTCGCTTTCTGATGCTCCTAAAATTCAGCGCCCTACCTGACTCCCAAATAAAGTCAAATATATTTATAGACAAGGCTTTGGGGGGATGGAAAAGAATTACCATGTCAGCCTATGTACTCCATATGCCTTTCATCACCTCCCATCATAAATATTAGTTGAAGACGGCATAATGAATTAAAATTGTAAGAAAGCACAAATATTTCCTATATCTGGGCCTACTTAAATAATAAATACGCTAGTTGAACTGACTTCGCGGTGAAATGAATGAACGTGAATCCAGGGCCCCCCGTCTTTTGTTTTTTTTTGGGCGGGGGGGACGTGGAAAGGTCTGGCGGTGACTATGAGATGAGACCATCGTTTGGGGACCCACTGCTCTTCCCACATCAGCCCCCACGTGCCTCTGTTCCTCCCATCTCACTCTCCATTCTCTCACACCCACCCACACAGCATATCCATGTATGACACACTTGTTAAATGTACATTTTACCCTGTCTTGTTATCTGAATAGACCTCATAATATATATATCCCTATTCTAACCCGTGTCACTGATTAACAAACAGTTTAACACACACACACACAAACACACACACACCCACATAATATCCAAAATCCCTTATGCCGGATGAGCATTTAAACTACGCATCACTCTGAACTTTCTTTTTTTTTTTAAAGGGAGACCGTGAAGGCGACAAGAAAGTGGGAGAATTGCCTATTATTGGGATAGATACATATATATCCCGAGACACAGGAGAAGACACAGTGAGTGGCTACGGCATCCGTGAAGTGATGGAGCAACAGCGGCCGGCTCTTCCTCGAGCTCAGGCCTCCAATTATGTCGGCAACCTTCATTCTGTCCCAAACATGTGACGCTTCACACGCGTCCACGTAATCGCATCGACTCCCACACTTTGATCCATCTGCTCGCTGCTTTTCTTCCCACAGTAATAAGTTAGTATTCGTCTGTTCTAAATATAAGATTTTTTTCTAAATATAAGATTTTTTTAATAGTGTAAATTATATTATAAAAAGAGTTTTATATTTAGAATCGGAACAATAGGTTTTATAATTAGCAGAAATAGTACTATTCTATTTTGAGCTGCCGAGCCTCACTCCCACCTCATTATTGGACACGTGGACACTCCTGACGCGCTATTATCTGCTTTCATTTCATGCTCCCGACCCCACCCTCCGCCGTTCATTCCATCTCCTCCTCCTTCTTTATCTACTCCTTTTTGTGTTGTAGGCAAAGCAAATGTACTGATTTGTGCATAAATAAAAATAAAAGTGAGGCTGACGCGTATGCTCACAGAAACGATGCTCCGGAGCAACACTTCAGGACCAAAACGACGCAAGCAAGCAAGTCTGCTCAATCTTAATTACTTTGAATTCTTTCATATCAAAACAATATGCTGCTCCACAACACCGACAAATTGATGAGAATTCTCTTACCGCGCCCAAAAAATGAAAACGATCATTAGAGTCTGATAATGGTCGAGGCATTTGTCACCTTCTCCATTTTAGTACTACTTCCAATCTTCTCGCCTGAGTTCCACTAAAAAATATCCAGAAATTAAATAGAGCTCCCATGAACGTCAGTTTCTCACTTAACTAACTCCTTCTCTCTCTCTCTCTCTCTCTCTCTCTCTTTTTGGTTTTTGGCTCACTCTGACTTAACTAACTCAAAATGATAGGACATTGCTCCTTCTGTGAATGGGATATGATGAAAAAAAAGTCGGCGGCTGTGTGCGTTCTCCTCCTCGAGAAAACATGCGTCTGTCGTGGACTAATTATATTTTGCCACCTACCCTTCCAAAAAGCGACAAACCATTAGGCCTTCCCGGATTTTCTTACCTGCCGCCACTACTTCTATTAATTTCCCCTAAAACCAACATCTATTTAATACTACATCGATTCTAATTATAAGAATCAGTTGACTAATTTGAAGAAATTAAGAAAATAAGTTGAGCTAGTTATTTATCCTAAATAAATGTTATTTTTTTTAAAATATCTTTACTAATCAAGTGTATTGACTAGAACTATCATTGTTAGAAGGGTAATTTGAAATAAAATGTATAAATATGAGAGACAAAGTGGATTGAAGTCTTATATTTATGATCAAAATAAAAATCAAATAAGGTTTTATATTAAGGACCGGAGGTAGTAACTCGTATCTGTTTAGTTTTTTATGATCTAAATTCTGCACCTAAAAATAATTTAATAAAGTGTTAAGTAATTCCAACACCCTTGAAATATTTTTTTGAGTGCATTTAGTATCTTATAATATTTTGTGATCTGTCTAGCTTTCTGATATGATTTTTAAATACATCTAATACCTTAAAATATTTTTTTACCTTACTACTATATGTACCAAAAAATATTTTTAGGTACTTCAAACACATAAAAAAAATTTTGGGTGCTAGACGCACAAAAAGATTTTAAAGTGTTAGACGCACTTAAAAAAAATATTTCAGGATCCTAGATACATCTCAACTCTTTAATAAATATTGCAAGAGAAACCATGTTTTGATATATCTTGAAATTTTGTTGAATAATTCGTTAAAAATATTAATAAAATAAAAAACAGGGAAAATTCTAAAAAATATTTTTAAATTTTTAAATTTTAAATTTCTTATTCACAACACTTTAAATAATAATTGATAATATTTAAAAGGTAAATAATAATATGTTTTTTTAGTCATTCTTATTTTAAAATTTTAAAGGTATTTTTTTGAATTTTTTTTAAAAAAATACTACTGAGTTGCGGTGAAATGATTTTATTATATATATAATGATAATTGATGATTGATAGAAATTGATAGTAATAATGATTCTTTTGGCCTCTAGCCAGTCATGGTGTGGGATATCTAGTTTTCCTGTTGTTTTTTTCTTTTTTTTGTTTGAGCTGGTGGGATATACAGTTTTCCACTGCACCAACGAATGAAGAATTGGTAGGTGAGGTAAAACTCCGTACCTCCTCTCTCTCTCCATTATCTGAACTCTGAGCTGCAGTGAATAACTGTGGCGGTTGTTCCTAACTCTCTCCTTTTTGGGTCTATAAATATAATGCGGGGCACCGCTCTACAACTCCCCTCACCACTTCCTCTTCCCTTCGCTCTTTTTCTTCTCAGAAAGAGAGTGAGAACGTATACCCGTTGCCCAGAGAATCTTCTGAATTTTGTATTTTGCACCTCATTCCTGCTGTGCCATCTGCCCAATCTCTGCCTCTGCTTCTTTATCCACTAAGTTTTGCGTCTGGCCGGCAAGAGGCAGGCGCAGGACCTTCTAGTTCAGCATTTGAGCTCTTGGCCTCATTTAAATTTTATTACCATCATATCAATTCTTTTTACACATTCAGCTGCGACATCAGACGATAGCAACAATGGCTCTGTTATCGTACTTTCTGCATTCTCCTCAATCGCTCTTCTTTTTCTTCCTTTTTCTCATTTTTAAAGGTAAATTTGGATTAAACTGGGATAGTCTGGGTGTCTAATTAACCTCAACACAAAAGTTAATGAAACTGACTTTTCTTGCTCTGTTCTGCACTATTCATTCAGGAATTTCGGGTGCTACATTCACGTTCGTGAATAAGTGTGATTACACAGTATGGCCGGGAATTCTAGGAAAACCAGACATCGGCAGCACGGGATTCGAGCTGGCCAAAGGGAGCTCCAAAAGCTTCCAAGCCCCTACGGGTTGGTCCGGCAGATTCTGGGCCCGAACCGACTGCAAATTCGATGAGTCCGGTCGCGGAACATGTGCCACAGGCGACTGCGGCTCCGGCCAAATCCAGTGCAACGGCTCCGGCGCCACGCCTCCGGCGACGCTAGCCGAGTTCACACTTGGCTCGTCCGGCTCCCAGGACTACTACGATGTCAGCCTTGTCGACGGCTTCAACCTGCCGATGACAGTGGAAGCGAGCGGCGGCTCGGGATCCTGCTCGGGTACAGGCTGCGTGGCGGATCTGAACCGGCGGTGTCCGTCAGAGCTGAGGGTGGAGGGCGGCGACGCGTGTAACAGTGCATGCGGGGCGTTTGGGAAGCCGGAGTATTGCTGTAACGGAGAGTATGGTTCGCCGTCGACATGCAAACCGTCGACGTACTCGGTGATGTTCAAGTCGGCGTGCCCGAAATCGTATAGTTATGCCTACGATGATGCTACCAGTACCTTTACTTGCACAGCTGCCGACTATACCGTCACATTCTGTCCTTCTTCTTCCCCAAGGTCGGTGCTCCCTTACCTTTCTGGTTTTTTCCTTCTTTTCTACGCTTCTTGCCCTCATTCACTTTCACCTACCTGTAATGCATTCGGCCGTCATGCTTCTAACCCTAGCATCACCACATAACCTTCCTCTTTCTATTTGTTCGCTGTACACTTGACTGATTCAAATGTTCCCTCATAATGAAGCACAATCCCGCGTGTGACTTTTATAAAACGTGAGAATGCAATGGCTTAGGATTGGAATTTTTATAGGGTTTGTGTTATTGTGTTGCAGCCTTAAGTCTTCGACGGGTTCGTCGCCAGCAGGAACGGATTCCTCTTCGGGATCATCAGTGGAAGAAGGTGCACTCGCCTCGACTTCATGGCTAGCTAATATGGCAACAGGGGCTTCTCCGAGAAATCATCATCAAGGGGCTCCAAAATCTGCATTTTTTGTGGCTCTTACTATCATTCTTTCCTTTTTAGTGTTCTAGTCTCTGGAAAAAATGTCCTTTCCCCATCCCACGACATCTCGCTTTGTCATCATCCTCATCTACCTTTCTGAGACACAGGAATAGATCAATCACCCACGTCACCGTGGGGTTAAATTAAACAATGCTACTGAGATTATTCACATTTCTATGTAATTAATTAGTCATTCATGAGTTGCGGATTTCGTTCTTTATTGTTTTCCCCACTTTATGAGCCCTTGAAAGTGATTATAATGTAAACAATGTGACCAAGTTATTTTCTAAGTTGTAAATTTAGCGAGAAGCCTGAGAGATTGGTGGGTGTTGACGTTTGTGGCCTTTTTAAGCTCCCTCAATGTTACTGAGAAAATGAGATATAAAAGAAGAGGGGCGAAAAAGAGCTAAAAGGAATGAGGGAAAGAAAGGATCTTCTCTTCCAATCTTTTTCTGGGTAATGTAGATTATATCGCTTTCTGACTGTAGCAGCCAGCGGCAAATGTTAGATTCAATCAAATGAAGATATGCACGGTTTTCCTTTTAAGAAAATAAAATACGAAGTCAAATTTGTCGAGAGTGAGGTGAAATGGCTCTGATGTGATTATAAATTTCTGATTAATATCTAGACTCAATCTGGTTGAAAATTTATCCATCACGATTTTGTGATGTAAATTTTCGCGAGAGTAGATATTTCTGGGATATTTTGGAGTTGATTAGAGTGATGCGGCAGCCCGGTTGAATTATCTTTAGGATCAAGGAAAAGACAAGTCAAATTAATTGGCCAACAAGGACAGGATGCGTCCAGAGACGCACAGGTGCTAGAAACTTGTATTTTCAAAGCCCCTCTTTGTGAAATATCATCATGGAGGAGGAAGCCATTTAATTCTGTGCGCCGAATTGAGGGAAATGGTTAAAATTGATTGATTGGCGCCGCTTGAAACTTTGCTTTTCCGGCACTCAATCTTAATAAGTAATACGGTTTGTGTGTGAAATTTTAATTTTAAAAAAGGCTTAAAATGTTCCTACAAATTTCGCTGTTCTGTGTTCCAGTTGAAATTACCCCAAACTTCATTACTCATTTTTTCCCCATTGTTCCTGCTCCTTGTACGTACTTAACGTCATGGGAATTTCGGAATCCGCCTGGATACTCATTAATATGATGAGCATATTAAATGAACTATTCAGATCTTGTGTGCACAGTCCATATTTAAAATTTTAATTAGTTAATTGTAAGCAGAAAAAATTATTTTTTTGAAAAAAATAATATCTAAAAGATTATTTTTATTTTAAATTCTATACCCATTTGAAATAATTATTTTAAACAAACAAAAACAAAAAATAAATCAAAGATATGATGAGTTTGGGTTGCTTACTAGTTAGTAGAGATTTCACCGTCCAATCCAAAAAAATGACACATGATGACAAAAGAATTCTGGTTTCTTACGCACTTCTGGTGTAAGAATCAAATAACGGCAACATCTATAATTTTCCCTCACACTCATCATTAACGATGGCCCAATTAAGCTTTGCTCCCAAAATATCACTAACAATTTAATTGTTTATCTTTTCCTATGTGAACACGAATAGGGTGCAATGTGGAAACCTACATGATTGGTCCACATGCCAGAAGCTGGGGTTAGTCCAAATGTAAAAATATGAAAACCATATCAATATAGTTAAGGAATACGATACCAACATCACAACATACATATGCAATTTTATTGTTCGAATTTCATCTAAGTACTTCATGTTGCTCCAAACTTTCCGCCGTTACCTTCTAACGTGATAGTTACAGTCGACTCGATGAGATGCTAGAGTGAGGCTTTTGCTTTTGGCATCAGGGAAGAGTACTAGGGGATACCAAATTGCCATGTCAAAATGAGGTCATGAGATGCCAGTTTGCTTTCACAAGAAGCGGAACCACTTGAACAAGGCAAATAAACCAACCTGCTTTTGGGCCATTCCTCAGTGCTTGTTTACTTTCCATCTTCAACTTTTGATTCCCGATGTTTCTTAACCGAAAGGGAATGCGAAAAAGGGAAGCAACGCCCACCGTTGGTTATTTTGTTATTAAGGAATAAAGCAACAAAAGAACTCAACTTGGGCCGAATATTTGCTACTTGACGAAGATCTATAACCAACTATCTTCAACACAAAAAGCCTAAAATTACCCTATAAGTTGGTCTATTATTAGGGAGAGATTGTACCAACCGACTAATCATGATGGAAGCTTGAGGCATTGATTAGCTTTGCCTAATAATAAGTCATGAAAATTCATTGTAGGTTTTCGTGCATCTACTCAACTGCCACCATAACAATTGGCAACCGCAGAATCTCCACCTCAAGATGACATTCCCATAATTGGAGATTCTCTACTTTCCACCCAATTCTGATGCTGTGAACACGTAACATCTATACAGATGAAGTTATGATCCTCATGTGCCGCATTAACTTACAGATCCGAAATAGGCCCGTGGTAGTTGAATTAGTTACTCAAGATGGGCAATTTCGCCATGACCAGTCACTACTCATTTTATGGTGACTTTTCTATGCCCCACCATTTAATGGGAAATAAAAGGGGCCAATTGGACAATATCCTGTCAAATGTCATTCGAAAGGCCTCTTGTAAATGAAACAAATGCATAGGTTCACTAATTTGGTAGAGTTATTCAGACATTGAGCAAAGTAGCTTGTATTACATTATATGAAACCCGACAAGAACTGTCCTATCATTGTTTTTAGCTCCCTTTTACTCGGCTGGAATGCTATCAACCTGGAAATCTTTCAGACTCAGACAGGTAAATGAGAAAATTGGCAAAGTCAGATGGAGACAACTTCGATTAACAGAGCAACAAATGGTTGCTTTCGTGATAGTTAAGAATCCCGAGTTCCATAGAACATAGTCACTTAGTCACCGTCTGGAGACACAGCACGTTCCACGCAGTTACGTACAAGAGAAAAAGCAACAGCAATCCCTCCACTTGGATTAAAATTCTAGTTTAATCGAATCAATAGTGGATCTGTTAGCTTTTGACACAGTTTCAGCTCCCCCCCACTGGTGGGGCTGCTTTATTTACTCGCGGACAGCTATTCGAAAAGCTTCTTTCCAGTTATTTTGATGCCTAGAACAAGATAAGAAAGCTTTTTTCTGTCAAAAAGTTCCAGTGCAGGAACCAATAGCCAGTCCCAAACATTATCACCGGAAGAGGGCATTTAAAAAAAAAAAAACACATGCATGATTCATTTGAACTGCCATAAATCATGAAAAACGATATACAATAATAATTCTTGGAGTTTTGTCACAATAACACTACCATCTACCAACTACAGAATTCTTAATATTGACGGATAAAGAACAAATGCAAAAGTTTATCATGAGCTAAGAATACACGTCTATGGTCCTTTCGGGGCTAGAAATTCTCAACCAGATTAAGGGAACCATCGAATATTCTTGATATCCATTACATTGATGATACGAGCCCAGCAATAAATTAATCCAACGATGCCTTGTTATTGGCAAGTCTCTGTACTAGGAGATTTTAAGCGTCGGAAGAATGCATTTGCACGTGATCCTCGTCAAACATGAGTCAACCAGAAATGGAAAAAAATTCACAAGCAAAGCATTTGGATTAAGGAAGTGGCTTCTAAAAGTTCATGGCGTAATTCTGATTAATAGTGGATAGCAGTGGTCTTTCTCATAGCTGGGCCAGGAGTCTCTATCCTCGCCATTCATGAATTTCTCATGACGGTTCCAGACTTCTGCGTCATAGTTCTCAGTTACAGTGAATTGCAAGCCATATTCTTTCACAATCTCCAAAAACATGTATAGAGAATCCCCTCTTTTAGGGCTTATAAAAATTGCTTCAGAGGATCCCGTTTTTGACAGGAGGAGTTTGACAGTTCGGGCGAGGTCTCTGTGGAAATCCTTAAAGAAAGTGCTGTCAAGTGACCAATCAAAGTCATGAAAATAATAGAAGATAAGCAGAGATTAGAAGACTATTATAAAGATCACAAAAAAGCAAGACAAGTTGTATGCATGTGAACGTGCTCAAGCTTTACGTACTGGGTACAACAACCCTTTGTCAACAAGCGAATAAATTTAGATATCTAGACGTATCCAACATTTACTTTGCCACTAAGACGAAAAGGAGAAAAAGAAAAGTAATCCCATTTGCCAACAATGCCACGAATGCAAAAGTCTACTCATAACAAGAGAACATAACTTGCGGCCTTCAACCAGATAACCAAGAAATTTGGGGCTTCATGACTGCCACCTCATTCTAAATCATGTTCATGCGTCAAATTTATCCAATAGAATAAGGACAAATGCAATTCACGAAACATCAAATTTATCCAATACGACCAGCACTGGGATGGCTGTTACTCAAACTACAATTGAGTTTTTTCTTCTTTTTTCACGACATGATGGAGAAAAGCATCATAAGCACGAAGAACACGTCTAAGGCTATCAGTCAACTCTATATTGAATATAACCTTACCAATCACTTGCAACGATGATGTCAAAAGTGTTGGCAATATCAAAAGTTTCTTCCTGATTCCAGTGAAGCATCATAGGCTTCACTGTTGTATCTCCAAATGTTCCAGAATTAACCTCAATGTTGCGCTGAATATCTGATTGTAATGAAAGCTTATTCTAAATCAAGAGGAAAATCGAGCCTTTGTTGTTGTGTTAATCTTGTACGAGCATAAATATTCGGAAGAGTGCAAATCTAGAGCACCAAAACTTTATACTTCCATGTTCAATACAAAATTCACAATGCAATCGTCAAAGCTTTATGATTCAATATTAGATGGCATTTAAGCATATACGGATTAAAAATAAAAAATAGGAACAGAAAATTATGAACATTAAAGGTAAATTGGGACAAGGGAGCATTGTAAATTAAGAATGATAGGGAGCATTTGAATTTACATTAGCCAGGAAGTTGATAAAGTATCCTTTTATTTGTATACCTTTTTCCAAGTTCCAAGCAGTTCTTTCCTTTCTCGAGAAGAACAGATAGAAGGTTGAGACAAAGAAAACTATACACTCTCTGTAGAATTATTATTGTTCTAGCAGTAGCAAAACATGTGCATCTAAACATAGACAAAAACATCACAAAATCACTGCTAAACTCAACTGAATTTCTTAAATTCCACAATCTCGGAAAACTTTAAAAAGTTTCTCGTAACTTTTGTTACTGCAACTAATAATTTTATCCATCCACGCCATTGGCAGACACCAAATGGTACAAGCATTTCTTAAATTTAATTCAGACAAGCCTTATACATAGACGCACCAACTAGCAATGCCATCAAAGAGCATCCTCAAATTAGATTTTGAATATTTACTCTCATAAGCCTCGCTTCCTTCAGGAACAAATTTTAAAAAGAGGATAGTTGAATGCAAATATAGCAGTCTGCTAATCCTTTAAATCAACGTATTGCCATTGCTTAAAATGTAGGGTCATCATGTGGAAACATATCAAAATTGAGCCAGCCAAAAAAAAAAAAAACACGCGCACACACACACAAGCAAACAAAAGGATACAATTGACTACTTGCGGGTTTCCATCAGAGATTACAACCTCCGACGCCTCAGTAACAGCTGCAATAACAAATCCAGCCAAACCATAACCAGAACCAAGCTCAATAACTTTTTTATGCCTGATAATATTAAAAGGTAACATTAAAAAAAAAAAAGAAGAAGAATAAGTCAGGAATGCAGAACATAAAAAAAAAGAGCATAAAGTAAGAGAAATCAAAGCAACCAAAACACCAAAGAATCTAGAGAAGTAATGATTAGCAAGGAATTAAATTGTCAGGCAAGCAACACGGCGTTATTTTTTTCTTTTTTTTAAAACCTGAAAAGATCTGCATTTGACAAACAATAGTAAGCAAGAACATCTTCTGATGGCCAGCTACCTGCAGAGGGAATGCCAACTTTATAAACAGAAATTCATGAAGTAAAGACCAAAATTACAGTGAGACAAGTGAGAACAGATAATTTACTTTCTAAAAGTAACTACTGATTCCAGTAGAATTCTCCAAAGGCAACTTAAATATGATTCATTAGCACCTTTGTGCACCATAAACATTACTTAATAAAAGCAACCTCTCTGCATTAACAATTCCTGAAAACATGATTATGGAAATTTCAGGGCAAAATGGTGTCCTGCAAGACCAGCCATTCAATGTAAAAAAAGATCTCTCTCTTCTTTTTTATTTAGAAACAAAAGTTGTCCTGAGGTTACACTTGACTCCTCCAAATAATAATAAAGGCTAAATACTAGTTTTGAAATCTAATGCCGGAATCTTACTTCACCTGGTCTTTCAAACTTTATTGATCCATCTCGTTAAAGAAATAGTTTCCTTCATTAGTTTTAGTAACCGAGCAATTCTTCACATGATACAAAATGTTTTTAAAAAAAAAAAAAAAAGTTCATTGATTTTCATAAGCTAAGCAGGGACTTTGCAAGATAGCCATCTCAGTCTGATAATTAAACAGGACTAAACAATAAATGTAACAAGCATGCATATGTACATTCATAAACAAAATATGTACTTTAGACTCCTTGGATAAAACACTTGCGGTTTTATTATACTATAGAGCCACCTTAACATAGAAGTCATCACAAATACAACTCAAAAGAAGCACTATTGTGTCTTTGACCTTGAAATTCATGAGAAAAAGGAAATATTACAAATAAGAGGGGGATGCGAGCGATTCAAAGATTACATTAATTTGAGTGATGATTTTATTTTTGCGCTTACATTGAAATTTGATGCAAGTATTTTTAGTCCCTGTAAAGTAGGGAGAGAAAATCTTCCCTGAGTAAGATAATAGCAACTTACAAACAACTCCTGTGTTGTCAATGTTGTATCTGTTGCAGATCTCAAAATCACTGAGCTGAGCATGGTCGTCCACTCTTTGTCTGCATAAAATTGTTCATAACACTGGACCGTTATTCAAAGGGAAAAAAACAATTTAAAATGCAATGACTATGTTACCCAGGCCCTCTAAAGGGTGACATGGATATTATGCACGTGCCCAGAATAATTCTATTTCATCCAAAAAAGAAGGCATAAATACACCAACCCGTGTTATTTAAGTTATTACAACAATAACAAACCTTATCTCATTAGGTAGGGTCAACTAGATAGATCGCATGACGCTATTGTGCTCTATAACAACCGAGTCTTTAGATATATTGTTGACTAGAAAGCCTCGTTCAATGATCCTATCAAACTTTTTCTCGGTCTTCCTCTGCCCTTTATATAAGACTTCAAACTGTCTGATCTACGCTTCTCACCGGCACTTCTAATGGCCTTCTCTACACATGACCACACCACCTCAAGTGATATTTAACCATTTTCTCTTCAATGGGTGCTACACTTACTCTTGCTCAGATATTTTCACTTCCAATCTTATAATTTCTTGTATGACCATATATCCATCTCAACATCTTTATTTTTGCTACTCTAGCTTTATGTTCTTGTTTTTTCTTTATCGCTCTAACATTCACTACCATACATACAACACAGCTATAGTTATTTAAGTTAAAAGTATATATATTTTTTTTGGGGATATATTTATCTCGCTATAAAATAGAAACACGGTGTATGAACTTCTAGTGAAAGTAGAAATCATGGCTAACTCAGTTACTTCACTAGTGTCTACATTAACTGAACACAGGGTGATGCAATACGAAAAATGTGTGTGCAGTCTCGCGCGCGCGCGCGCACCCAAACAAGCTCGTAACCAATCTAAGGGTAAGTCAACTTTCCCAAAAGGAAAAAGAAACGAAGAGAAAAGCATCGAAGGAAATGAACTCACATCAAAAGTAGTTTCGGAAAGCCATGGATGGGTATGGTGTAACAAAAGCGAGCATCCCCTGAAGTCGACTCATCGCAGTCATTAGTTTCACATTTGTCGAGTAGCCGAGAGGGAATTAATTTGAAGCCATGAATGCTCCTTCTTGAAATGCGCCTGATGCCCATTTGGGTTTGATCATCTGCAAAGCCATGATCTGAATCAATTCGCAACCAAAATATTGCAATTTAAAGAAAGGCACAGCTGGTGACGGCCATGAACATCACATGCTCGGGGAATAGAGTGTGGAAAGCTAAAGAGCGCAGACCTGGATTTGAAGGAGAAGCACGTGGGAGAAGAGCCTGGCGAAGGAGCTTCCATCTCAAAGATGAGGCTTTCTCATTGGTTCTGCTTCCCACCATCACTTACGCCTCACCATCGTCTTCCCTCTGTGGAGTGAGAAGTCTGAAGCACTTTGCCTTTTTTTTTTTTTTACTTTTTGTTTTTGACTCACCATACGGAGCTGTGGGCAAAGAGGTCTTGTGGGCTTTTGAGTGTATCTGACTGGACACAGCTATACCGGCATCGATGCCCAGGGCCCAACGCTAAACATGTAAGGAGCCCATTTCCCCATTGAAGCCCATACGACTCGAAGATTTCAGAGAAAATATGTTATTTTATTTAGAAAATTGATGAAAAAGGGTTGTGACTTACGATTATGAGCTTGTGACCTTTTTCAGAATTAATATTTTAGTGATTCTCTTGTCTTTCTTTTTCCAAAATTACTCGATTAGGTCAGGAATGCGTCCTAATTTAAAAGACGACCTGTTAGCCGTCATTGATCACTCATGGGTTCTTGATACTTTATGTTCTTCCTTGTGCACAATTGATATCTGTGTGACTGGCCACCGTATAGTTAATATTAAGATGAGTGTGATGGACGAAAAGGCGAGGCATAAAATCTAAAGCACAAAGATGAACGCAAGGGATCTAATTTGGGAATAAAAGTAGGGGAATCAGTTTCCTGCTCAGCGGGAAATAAGCAGTAATAGTTCATCTCGCATTGCACATCGTTTTATTTAAAACAAGTAGGAGATGTGTTTAAGTTTATTGCCAAACGGCATCGTCTTTACTATGTTTCTACTTTCTAAGAAAAAAAAAAATTTTGTCGCATCATTCAGCCCTCACGAGAGAGAAGAATTGAGACACTTGGCGATAACTTCGGAGAGAAAGGGGTTTTCAGTGCAGAAAAAATTTCAGATTGAAGAATGAGGTGTTCGACTTTCTACCATCCTTTGTGATTAAAAAAGACGTCGAATTTCAGACTTTTGCAAATTATGTGAGGTTTATGACTAGAAGAAGCCATCAATGGCGGAGGCCATGGAGGGGCTGAAAGTCTAAAATAGGTGAGGAAGAAATTCACGATTCAGGGGTCTAAGATAGGGATAGGAAATGATGAATGAGATTAGTTAATTAAAATAGAGTGCTTAGTTTTAAACGAAAAAGAAATTGTTTCTTGTTTTATATAAAACGGTGTGGAGTGAGAGATGAGCTATCCGTGCTCATCTCCCACTGAGCAGGGAAACTCGTTCCGGTTATGGCAAGCGGCTTCAAAACCTGCTTCCTGTGAAAACATCAGTGGTCAGCCACGTTGTCTGCTCTGCTAAATTGTAATGAAGCAGCCATCCATCGTCCACGTTTTACTACTACTACTCCTCCTCCTCTTAATCCCACTGTGGAATCAACTTGCTTTTACTCTCCCTGTTCATGTATCAGTATCACCAGCAGTACTCTCCCCATCTTGTTTATTTTAAATGTCAAATATACCATCAATTAATTATTGTATAATGTCGTTCCTCACAAATCCTGCACATCCAACAGTTTACCTTGAAAAATAACAAGGAAGTTCTAATGAAATGCAACTTGATTCTTTTAAATAGTTTTTCATGGTTATACATGGTATTTGGAAAAAACATACACATGACGCGTTATTGCTGCGCTCGACTATTTCGCAGTTTAATGAATAAGCAGTAGGATCAAAACTTGAAGAAACTCTGCTTTTCCGAAATGGAGGAATGGTTTCATTCCATGAATGAATCAACCTTACATTGGGCTTCATAAGAAGGACAGGACTCTAACACCACTATCTCATGACTCACTATTAAGGGTGAAAACAGGCCAGGCCAGGCCAGGCTTTGCTCTTAACAGGTCAGGCCTGTTTTGGAGCCTATTGGCCTGAGCCTGGCCTGTGGCCTGTTACAGGCTTATTTTTCGGCCTGAGCCTGGCCTGTGTAAAGGCCTGGCCTGGTCTGAAACCTGTTAAAAGGCCTGTATTTTTAAAAAATTCAAATTATAATAATTATTTTTTAAAAAAAGCTAAGATTAAAAAAACGTACATAATAATTAAATTTTTAGTCTTGTCTTTTATTTAAATTTTAGTATCATAACTACTATTTTAAATCTTAATTATAATTTATAAGAATGTTATTGAAAACTAATTGTAATTATATGTTAAAATTTGGAATAAAACTACGTTTAAGTACACACAAAAAATTAAAATTAAGACAAATAAATAAAGAGGAAAAAAATAATAATTTTATAATGAATAAAGAGGATATCATACTTAAATTAACATAATACGTAAGTTAGTTAATTTATCATTCTTGAAACAAAATTTTTCTTTCCTATTTTTTTTATATTTTTAAGATTTAAAAATCACATTATTTATTAATATTATTATTTTAAATTATATTTTTATCTTCACTTGTTATCTAAACTTCAAAATCTAAGAAAAGATTAAGCTATTAACTATATATTAAAATTAAAAAATAAATTAAAAAACACATTAGCAATAATAGCATTAATTAATTTTTTATATATTATAATTATAAATTCTTAACAGACCCAGGCCGGCCTAACAGGCTTAACAGGCTTTTTAAAAAGCCTAAGCCTAGCCTGTTTAACTAAACAGGCCTTCAAACAGGCCTGAGCCTGTCATTTTTGGGAAACAGACTAGGCTAGGCCAGGCCAAATGCAGGCCAGGCCATAGGCTCCTGACAAGCCGCCTGGCCTGTTTCCACCCCTACTCACTATCCCCCTATCTGCTACATGATAAAAAATGTAGGACACTAGGACCACTCTCAACAAAATATAATCAGTAACAATAAACAATATTGTTCGTGTGCTGACGATGTATTTACACCACGATAGACGCAATTCAGTACAATGTCAATATTCAATATTGCACCAAGGTTGCGTTTGGTAGGAAGTACTGGAAATGAGGGATTGGGATTGAGATTACAATTGAGAAAATCTATTAGGAAAGTGTTTAGTGTAAGAGATTGTTTGATATATGGGATTAATCAAAGCCATATATGTGGGATTGGGGAATATCATGGGAGAAGTGGTATTCCCCAATCCCACTTTTATAGGTTTGCTTAATCCCATATAACAAACAATTACTCATACTAAGTATTATTTTAATGATTTTTTTCAGTTGCAATTACAATTCCAATACCTCATTTTCAATGCTTCGTACCAAACGGGACCCAAAGGTTAAAAGTAGGACAACCTTAATACGGAACTTTTGACGTCAATTTAAAAGGAAAAACACTAGAACAGAGAGAGCAAGAGAGCATAAAGCTGAAGCCTTTGATTCTGTTAATCCGCTATGGCTTGCCTTACTCAAAACGCCACAGCCGGACGAAATAAGCTGTCATTTTCGGTGGCGTGGCGCATTAATAATCTGTCCCACAAAAGATGGGATCTGACTCGGGCAGCAATTTTTCGATCACATATTTGCAAGGTAAATCGCCCATTTTACGGGAAAGAAAAAGCTTCTCCGACTGCTTCATCTCCTTCTTCGCCATGGGCTCTACCGAAAGGTTCGATCTGCTCTCATGGATCTGCGTACATATTCTACTACCTGTGGCATTTCCTCTCGATCTTCTGTTTTGTTTCTCTGTGCAGCTCAGGAGCAGAGGTTGTCACAGTTGACGTGCTCACCGCCAAGGGTCTGACCCACGCCGGCCATGTTTATCTTGATGTCAGGTACATATCTGGTATCGGATATTTTTCATGGTTATGCTTTTTTCCCCCGAGAAAATGAACCTAACCTGGTGGGAAGAACTGAACAGGACAGTAGAAGAGTTCGAGAAAGGGCATCCGGTTGCGGATAAGATCATCAACATTCCATACATGTTCAATACGGCAGAGGGTAATGGAATTTTGTTTTCTTTGCTTTGGTCTGATTTGGTTAACGTTGCATTTCATTTCCGGGGGCAAAATCTCGTGAATCCATGCAACAGGGAGGGTGAAGAATCCGGAGTTTCTGAACAAAGTTTCCTGTGCTTGCAACAAGGAAGATCATTTGCTCGTGGTAAACTTTTCTTTCTGCCTGGGGTCTAAGGATTTTATTTGCAGTGAAAAGTAATAGTTATTTGGATGTGTAATCCAGGGATGCCAAAGCGGGGTGAGATCTGTGAACGCAACAAGGGATCTTCAGGCTAATGTAAGTGGATTAAGTTTACAGATAGAGTCATAAACATGAACGGTGAGAGAGTGATGAGGATAGTGATTAACGAAGAGTGAGAATGAAATGACAGGGGTACGAGAAGGTGAGGAACGTGGGAGGAGGGTATTTGGAGTGGGTTAAGAACCAACTTCCTGTGAAAGCATCGGAGGCCAACCATGACCATGACTGATCCGCCGAACTCATCGGCCATCGATCGTTGCTCCTTCCACCAGCCTCCTTAAATGCCTTATCTGCATTCCACCTGTCTCTTGCAGCGCATTTACCTCTGCATCATCAGTTTTTATATCCCTATCTTCCAGTCCACCATGTTTGTTGTCTTTGGTTTTTTCTCTTCATCAAGCTGTGCTATCAACTTGTTTTATCGTCTTCGTTTTTATGCTATTCGGCCTTCAGTTTTATCTGTTCTTAAGGTTAAATCGTTCCTCTCTTCTTCTTTTTTTTTTTCCTTTTAAATCTGCTCAAATTCTAATTTAGTCCCCTAAATTTTTAGAGTATATTTTTAGTAATTTAATTTTAACACTTAGTTTTTGTTAAAAAAAAATATTAACACATTGCTCTCATTTAAGCAACACATTTAAATGGTCTGCAATTAAATACCAACAAAATATACTCTAAATTTTATATAATTGTTTGTATATTTTATAATTCCAACATACTTTGTTAACATTTAATTATGGAATCACTACTTAGAGTTACTGAGTTAATATTTTCCATTAAACGAAACTAACGATGTCAAAATTAAATAACTATAAATAAGGACTGTTTTTGAAATTGATGTAAATTTAGAGAATTAAAATACAATTTAGTCAAACTCAAACTATAAATCATTAAATTTCCATTCATCACATATGCCGGAGACTAAATATTTTGCTGGAATGTTTATTGTATTTTTACCCAAAAAAAAGCATATAAAAGTTTCAAATTGTTAGTACAAACAAAAATGTCCCCCAAAAAGTCAATGATTCGTTATTACTGAATGAACTATTGTTTTTCACACTATTAGCCTGACAGGAACTTCCTGTCATCCAAAAAAAAAAACATACATGACGCGAACTATTTTGATGCTACCTGGGTAACGATTTTCTCCTTTGCAGTTAAAATAGACATTCATGTTACACGATTAAAAATGACTAATACATTCGAGAGTTTTAGTTCGAAGAAAAGTTCACAAGCTTACGCAGGTATTTTACTAAAATAGTACAGATCCACTCTAATACTACCTTCTCAATCCTTGTATAAGAGTTAATTGATAAATTTAAGTAAATTAAAAAAATTAGTTAAGTTAATTATTTGTAATAAATAAGTATTGTCTTTCTTAAAGTACTTTTACTAAGTAAGTATATTAGTTAGAACTATTATTACTGTGAAAATTATCTTTGAAAAAAATAAATAAATATAAAAAATGAAGTAAATTGGAATCTTATACTTATAACTAAGTTAAAAATCAAACTAAACAAAAAGCGGGCTAGTAAGAAATAAGCATATGATATAAAGGCGGAGTAAATGGTTTGTTGGTACGAAGATAAACATTTTATATTCACCACCAACTCACAACCATGCTCAAATAATAACTATATTCAATACCAATATAAAATATTAAAAATATCAGATGGATATTAATGCACCATCCATTAAATATAACTTTTTGGAGTTCAATAATACCAAGTTATTAAGGTGATCTTTTTTCTTTTTTTTTGGTGACAAGGGATTATTAAGGTGATCTTTTTTATCACCAGTATTTGAATCCTTGTCTTTGTTAAGAAGAATTAAATTCCTTCCGCTCTATGCAGCTATTGTTGGTTGCCAGTTTTAATTCTCATTCTAATTAATATGACTACACAATAACCGCATGCGAAGTTGAGGCAAATTTAATTCTTTTGTTGTTCTTCAAACTGCCATGAACTACAAATCAGAAGGAAGAAATTCTTGATAACTATTGAAAAATAAGATATGAATTGGTTGTAGAAGATCATTGACGACTCTTTCTTGACTTCTCCCCCACTTTGATTCAAGTCTTCTTGGTGTAACTGGTCGGTGGGACCTTTCAAATTATAACAACTCAATAAAACTGACCCATGGTACAAGATGCAACCTGAGAATTGACACGTTAACCGAAACCGCCTTGTTTAGGTAATGAGTTTATTGGATCCCATTAGTCTCAGACCGGTTCATGACAGCGCAGCCAATTTATATGTGCTCAGTTGTTCTGAACAAAGGCTCAACGTTCTGCCTCTGCAAACCCCCAACGACCACATGCTCACATTAATGGCCAACATCTTGCTCTGCTCCATCAAACTGACCTTAAATATGTTTAGGTTAATTGTTCTTGTCTCATGTAAAGAAGAAGCTCAAATGTTTAGAAGAGTGTGGGTTCCGAGATAGAATGCACAAATGGTGGAAGAAAATATGGAAGGAAGATCCCTGGCTGAAACCCCCACTTGGGCAGTTGCAACCGTCATCACTCTATTGGTCACTACAAGTTTCTTGTCTCACGTCTCATTGAAAAAAATTATAAAGGTAAACTAAGCCATCCTATTCTATGCTTTCTGTCCCCTTTGAGACTCTCCCATTCATGGGTTACCTTGTTATTTCATCAATACCACAGTGGTTGAACAGAACCAAGAGAAAATCTCTGCTTGCCGCAATGGAAAAGATCAAAGAAGGTGTGAAATTTGAAGTTTTAACCCCTCACGAGTTTCATTAAAATTTTCCACCTTTCTAAAAATGATCTGATTTAATTTTGATTTCTAAGCAGAGCTTATGCTTTTTGGGTTGCTTTCATTGCTGATGGGTCATTGGACTATTTTTGTGGCAAAGATTTGTGTCAAGTCTTCAGTTTTAAGCAGCAAATTTTTCCCGTGTGCTGTGGAAGGCAATTCATCAATCCGTTCAAGTTTAGAGCATCATAATATGACAGTTTTCAACGAGCATGGGAACTCTGGGCTGCATGATTATTGCCCTGAGGTAGTTTTCCTATCACATCTAGTTCACATAACATTTTAGCCAGTAACTTGCAATGCGGTTAACACTTCCTCATTGGTTTAAATCCAAAGGGCACATGAACTGCATAGTTCATGAACACTATTGTTTTTATTAAAACTCTCATAATTCGCTTTCCAGGGTCACGAGTCATTTGCTTCTTATCACAGCCTTGAACAGCTTCATCGTTTCATATTTGTCCTGGGGATTACTCATGTTTCCTACAGTTTTGTCGCTATTGCCTTGGCCATGATTAAGGTTCAGGCATCCTTCTGACACTGATTTTGATCCCTAGAATTGATGTATGGGCCCTGATTATCTTAACTGAGTTCATGCAGATATATAGCTGGAGAGCATGGGAAAGTGAAGCAAAGACAATGGCTATGCAGAGTTTACAAGGTCCACAATTTCTGATCCGATAACTGCAACGAACCATTGCATTAACTGAAACATTCATCCTGATGATGTTCCATCTTTGTCATGGTAGATCCTTCGCAAGTCACATCAAATGTAAGATTTAGACGGCTTTCTACGTTCATTGTTCACCAGGCGTCCCATCCCTGGAGTCAGCACAAAGTTCTTGTTTGGCTGGTACTGTATACGGATTATTTTCTTTTCTTTCCATGGTTAAGATATATGAACTCACCAACAAAATTACTGTATCTGTTCGTAGTTTGATTGATATATTTTGATCTTGCTTCATGTTCATGCTAAGGAACATGAAAATTATGGAACAGGATCAGATCAATTATACAACTTAATTTAATCTTCACTGCAAAAGGAACGTGCTTGTCTTCTACATAAATTTTAGTTAATCAAATTCGTGAACTGCTTAATTTGGAGTCTTCCCCATTTTCCTTGACGTGTTACAAGGATTTTTTTTAAATGGTCTAAGTATTACTAGGCTGCTGTATGCTTGCTACAGTTTATCTCCCAGATTTTTCAGTGGAATTTTCCTTATCGTTTAATGTTCTCTTAGATGACTCATAATACTCACGGACCTGAAATGCAGCTTTGCTTCAGCCGCCAATTCTGGAGTTCCATCAACCGAGCTGATTACATGGCATTGCGCTTAGGTTTTGTTACAGTGAGTGCTTTCTGATCGCTACATAACTGCTGTGCATATACCTTTTACTTGTGCCCTCGTGCAGAAAGGAATGGAGGGCTGAAGGTGACTCATCGGCTAACTTTGCTTATTGGCTAATATTTATCCATTTCTTTATTATGATATTCTGTAGACTCATCAGCTTCCCCTGACGTATGATTTCCACAACTACATTCTTCGAAGCATGGATGATGAGTTCCGTGACATTGTTGGTGTTAGGTGCTGCTTCTTCTCTGACATTGGAATATAAGGCTTTCACTAGATTACTATAACTAAAGTTAATTTTGCTGATGAATTTGCAAGTTTCACTACTTTAAGCTCGCCTGGATATAGATATGGTGAGTGACTACATGCAGTTTACGCAAATCAAGTAATGACTCCAAGATTCTCTGCCAGACTCCTCAGTTGATACTTTATTGGAGATAAAGCAAACCTCTTGTCACCTTTTTTCCAATGGACTCTTAACTCATTTGATTATTAGCTTTAGCCTGTAACCTTTGTTTATCATACTGATTTTTGGTCATGGAAAATTAATTTGATAGCCTCACCTTAACTTGTTTTGCAGCGTGCCTCTCTGGATATATGCCATTTGTTGCATTTTCCTAGATTTTCATGGTAAGTTTCTGTGGGTATTATCATAAGCTTGATAATTTCTTTAGGACAAGTGTGACATGTGATGCTAGTGTTTTTTTTTTTTTTTTTGTGGGAATATGATGCTAGCTAGTTTCTTCAATCGTCAGTCATGGATCTAATCAAACTGAACGTTGTTATTTTTGTTCAGGAAGCCACTTCTACTTTTGGCTTTCTTTCATTCCAACAATTGTGAGTTCTGATAATGCTTGTCGTTCCCTTTTGATTCATTACTAAACAGAGAATTTTCCTCAACTTGAAGAAAAGGTCGTGTTAGGGAAAAATAATAATTATGATGACTTTCTGTTGTTGATTTGGAATTCAGTTGCTCCTGGTAATTGGTACTAAACTGCATCGGGTGGTGGTAAAGCTGGCTGTGGAGATAATGGACCGTTGCCCATATATGAAGCACACTCAATTCAACTTACGAGATGAGCTCTTCTGGTTTGGGAAGCCAAGGCTTCTTCTGTGGTTAATTCAGCTCATATCCTTCCTGGTCAGTCACCAAATTACATTTTCAAAACCGATAACACCTTCACACGTTTCTTTCATGTCGTTTAACTTCTCTTGTGACCTTGCAGAATGCATTTGAAATGGCATCATTCATATGGTCCCTTGTAAGAAGCTACCTTTGCTTTTATGTTCAAATTTCTAAAATTAGCATATACGAACAATTACAGCGCCACAAAATTAAGGACGTGATCGTTGATTTGATGGTCTTGAGTTTTGTTTTTTCAAATTGCAGTGGGAAATCAGAGAACCTTCTTGTTTCATGGACAGTCGAACCTTGGTTGTAATCCGCTTGTCATTTGGGTAAAAATCACGTGATAATCTAAACCTCAGGAAATAGCATTCACAAATCCACTAAGAGTAACGTGATTAATTGCCAACACAGGGTCATCTCCCAAATCTGGTGCAGCTTCATAACGTTTCCTCTGTATGTTATCGTCACGCAGGTTCAGCTTCTTCTTCTTGTCGCTCGTTAGAATATATTCTTCATCACATAGCAAGCATTTAATGTGGCTTCATGAGTATTGATTATGCAGATGGGGTCGCGGTTCAAGAAGTCTGTGATATCTGAGAATGTGAGAAAATCACTCTCAAAATGGAAGAAGAGAGTGAAGAGCAGACAAAGTCCTTCTGCCTCGCTCCTTGGCGCGACAACAACATCAGTGACAACGTTGTCCGATTTGATGACGTCCGAGATGGTGAACTCAAATTACAATGCAATAAACAGTGATGAAGGAAGCTCCTCGGGAACTAAGGAGTCTGGTCTCTCGCATGATCTTGATGATTACTCGGATACCCATATACATTACGATTCTTCTCCTTCGCTGACTTTGAGAATTTGAGATTCCTTCTCATGAATACGTGTTCTGCCAAAATGCTATTTTCTTCATCCCAACGCAGCCAACCATTTGCTTAAGGAAAATTCAAGGAGGAAAGGGAATATCAGAGAGAAATATCTATCTTTTGCTTGGTACACTATGATTAAAAGTTCAATGAGTTATTGGTGCTTCTCTTCAGTAATGGAAATATGGAACCTTCACTAATTCCTTCCCCCCCCCCCCCAAAAATTTCTATCCAAAAAAAAAAACTTCATCTTACCAAAAATAACATTTGGTTAATCAACCTGGGGGACAGTTTTTCTTCAAAATTGGTGTTCAACTTAGAAGATAGTTAATCCTTAGTTAAAACCTGAATGCTAAAAATGGCATTAAACAATGGTCGTAAAAATGGAAAATACATGATCATGGATAAATGATGATGCCACCAAGCATCGCCGTACAAGCTATGGTTTTGAAACAGCCAACACAAAACAATAGTAGATCCTCAAATTGCCTGCCAAACTAAGGATTAGATCGAATGTTAAATTCTAAATTCATAGAAAACTACAAATCTAATATAGTAGAACATGAACATCTTCCACCATATATATATATATATATATATATATATATAGTAGAATATGAACATTTTCCGATCGTAAAAAAGAAAGAAGAAGAAGAATATGAACATATTTCAAACCGGTAAGGGCAAAACATCCGATTACCCATGCAAATCTTGGGATGGTAAAGCATCATAGGAGCTTTGAGCTTTGTCATGGAAGATATGGATGTTGTAAGAGTGGTATAGTTATTGTTACCAATTAGGTAAAATTCCGGCTCTGGCTCAATGGCTCATAACTAAATTAGAATTAGAAGCAATCACTTGGAGTTCGAATTCAGATTATTCTGAAATCAATCAATATTGTATATTGTTGCACAAGATAATTTACTATACAAAAGGAAAGCGTTTGATAAAAAGCAGAAGAAGTTTTAGTTTCTTTCTTTTTTTTTTTTTGCAAATACATAAATTCATTTTCACAATTTTTCGTTGTCAGTATTCTTCAAATTGCAAGGCATATATCCATATCAATACATGTATCATAATTAGAAAATCAGTTATTATTTTAATTTTTAAAACATGAGTACATTTATATCATTAAAAACAATTTTAGTTAAAATGAGAGGGAGTGATTACATTTGCATATAACTTTCTCTTTTCAATCAAGGGACAATTTCATTAAAAGCCAGTTATTATAGTATATTAATTTGAACAAAACCCAAATGAACAACAAAAAAAAAAAAAGTAGGTTGGCTCGGTGCAACTAACAGAAAAGAAACTTAATAAATAAAATGAAAAATGAACTACAAAACTAAAACAAGCCATAAAACGGAAACGTATGCAACTAAAAGTTCTACAATCTCACTTCTATCCTGTACCACACAGCACCAGACTAGTTAAGAAGAGGAATTCGTGTAATCTTCGTTCAAGAAGAACGAACTGAATAACAATTTCTCACAATAGCTTCCTTGGAGTTAAACCAAGCCACCAATATCATGTTAGAGACGACAACCAAAGTCGCGGGACGAAAAAGAATTCTAGGACTCGATGAAGACCAATCCCGATAGTCTTGAGAGGACCAGATCTCTTCTCTCTTATTATTTTGTGGGAAGCCATACGTTGATACCATAATACTACTTCTGATTTTTAATATAAGATCCTATTTGACTTTTATTTTGGTACTAAATATAATACTCCAATCCATTTTGTCTCTCATATTTATACATTTTTTTTTCAAAATAGCCCTTCTAATAATAAGAGTTCTAGTCAATACACTTGATTCGCAATGATATTTTAGAAAAGACAACACCTATTTAGGACAAATAACTAATCCAACTTACTTTCTTAATCTTCTTAAATTAGTCAACTGGCTCTTATAATTAGGACCGGAGGTAGTACTCTACAAATCTTGCTTGCAGTAGAAAAGTATAAATGAAGTGGCATACTTAACGCACTGCCAAGCGTGGTTTTTACCCTCTATGGTATCCTATTTGATTTGATAATCTTTCATGTTGAGATAAAATTTGAATTTTAGGATATTTTGTTCAGCCTTTGCGACAACTGTGAAAGTCAAGGAAGCAGCTAAAACTATCATACTACCCCAGAATGCAGCACTATGAGAAACTCGGAGAATACCATACCAAGTGGCAAGGACTTGCCTCCAGCAGAGGTACCCTCAACTGGGACAGAAATCAAAGTGCAGGTATGCAAAAAACCAGTGGTCTGGTCCTATCCAATCTAGTGCAAATAAATTATATAATGAAATTAGATTAGATTGAACCAGACTGGTTGGTCGAGCTAGATTGGGTTTCAAACCAAGTGATAAGACCACCTGGACTGATCCGGTCCAGTCTGGTCTCAGTGAATTTTTTATTTTTTAATAATTTATAATTCAGATGTTACCTTTAATTTTTTTTCAATATTTCTAGAGATTTTTATGTATTTATGATAAAGTCTTAATATTTTAGGATGAGTTTTATATGATTGTAGGTATCTTTTATTGTCTTAAATTGTATTTATGATGTTAAAATCTTGCTTCTCATAAAGGAAAAAAATTGAAAACCTGGATTACTTGAACCAGTCCACTAGTCTGATGGACCAAGTTCAGTCCAACCCGACCTCGGGTTACCATTGGACTGGACTAGATTATAGACTGTCAAACTCGACCTGACCAAAATTAAACTAGACTTCAAGTTGGACTTTGGTCTGGTCTTGTTTGTTTGCTGTGCAGCCCTAATTCAACGGCATGGCCTAGCAGCAGGGGTGAGCAAAACCAAACCGTAACCGAAAACTGAACTGAAACGAATTTAATTTCGGTTTTTATTTTTTTAACAATTCGGTTCGGTATTCGGTTCGCTTAGTAGAAAAAAATTCGGTTATAACCGAATAACCGAAATAAATATATTATATATTTATATTTAATAAATATTGTTATAATAAATATATATGTGGGTATATATGAACTTTTTAAATATATTTATATCCAATAAATATGGTTATAATAAGTATTATTATAATAAATCACATTCAATGATGAAATATTTATTAATTAATGGTTGTAATCGTGTTTTATTATTATTTTTAATTTAAAATGATTTTTCATATTTATATATTTCGGTTAATTGATTAACGAATCAAAATTTTCGGTTAATTCGGTTTCGGTTCGATGTTTAAAATTTATTCTATTCGGTTATTCAGTTATCATCGATAACTAAATCGAAAAACCGAATACTCACCCTACCTAATATCATAAAAGAATCAAAGTCTCCAAAAAGATTGATTTGGATTGGTTTCTTTAAACTTGAAGTAACACCTCACAATGTGTCTTGAAACGAGTTTGTTTATGAATAGTGCGAGTCTCTGTATACCTTATATTTCATGTTAATATTAATATTAATACTTTTTTTAATATTATTTTTATGTAATATTGACAATATTAGAAAAAATTGTAATAAAAAAATATTAAAAATTTTACGTTGCCGTTACTTAACGGCTCCGTCAATCGACGGCGGGCAGATATAGCCATGTTAACTGGAGGCAGCCCTCTCCAGCAAGCAAGCCTCTGCTCTCCTCTCTTCGTTTCTGGTACAATTCAAAAAGCTGTCTCTCTGTAAGGTGCGGACTCACTAGATCGTTGGCTTCTAAAATCTGCGACGATGGTGCTCGAGGTAAACCCCTCTTTCCCTTCTACTTGTTCCTAACGAACCCTAGCAAACGTATTTCTCATTTTTTAAAATATATCAAATTAGGGTTTTCTTATCGTTATTGGAGCCTCTTTTTTTTTTTCATTAGATTATTTTCTTCACAGGCGACAATGATCTGTATTGACAATTCCGAATGGATGCGTAACGGTGATTACTCGCCTTCTCGATTTCAAGCTCAAGCAGATGCTGTCAATCTTATCTGCGGTGCCAAAACACAGGTGAAGTTGATCATGAATGTTTATCCTCTTTTACATTTCCTTCTTCTCTGTTTATTAGTTGTCTTCGTTTCTGGGGAACTAGTTGGACGAGAAGAAAAGGTGGTATTGTTATAGGTGGCTTGAGATGGGGGCGACTTGTTCATTTATTACTGACGATCTTTCTTGCTCGAAAATATGTTTCGTTTTGTATATTTTTCTTTCTCAAGATTGACATGTTTTAATTATATTTAAAATTTCATGTTCTATATGGATCATTCCTTCTTGACCTGAACTCCTTGTTACAGTCATAGTTGCACTTTCGAGATGCCTTTTCGGGGCTTATTTGAACTCTGAATTCTGATGAATATATTTACTGATTCACAGTCAAATCCAGAAAATACAGTCGGAGTTCTCACAATGGCAGGGAAGGGAGTTCGGGTTTTGGTGACCCCCACCAGCGATCTGGGCAAGATCTTAGCTTGCATGCATGGTCAGTTTATATTCATTGAATGCTCATGTCATCGCCACACTTCGTTAATTGAATTATATCCGTTTTTTTAACTAAATCAGTTGAATCTAGGACTTGATTCGCTTGTTAAGATGGTGCCAGTGCTTCTTATACCAAGAAGTCGCGATGTTTGCTTATTAGATTTTGTTTCTGGTTGTTATAAGATTTCGCCTTTTGTGTTTCTCATTTGACGATGATGCATGTTGTTTTTTCCACTTCAAATGGGATGAGCTTAGGTGTTAGATTTGCCTGTGGAAATAATATTGTTTCTTTCTGTTTGTTAGTTTTAATTGAACTCTGTTTTAATTTTAGTAGCAGCTATATAAGATCATTTGTTAAATTGCATGCTTATTTGTGGCGTTGAACTTTTGTGGAACTCGCTTTTGTAAATGCTGAAAAAGAATTGCAGGAAATTTGCAGCTTATGGCGTTTTTGGCTTTACTTAAACTCTTCTGTTCACGTTGAAGTTTATTTTCTTAATCTTAATCTTAATCTTGTAAATTAGGACTAGAAATAGGTGGTGAAATGAACCTAGCCGCTGGTATTCAAGTGGCACAATTGGCTCTCAAACATCGGCAAAATAAGAAACAGCAGCAAAGAATCATCATTTTTGCTGGAAGGTATGCTTGGCTATGTCTTCTTTTATTTGTTATCATATTTTGTTGAGTTAATTAGGTTTTTTCTTTAATGCTCCCCTCCATTTCTTTTTAGTCCCGTCAAGCACGAGAAGAAGATGCTGGAGATGATTGGGAGAAAACTAAAAAAGAACAGTGTAGCCCTTGACATTATTAATTTTGGTGAAGAAGATGAAGGCAAGACTGAAAAGCTGGAAGCACTTCTCGCAGCCGTTAATAATAATGATACAAGCCACATTGTCCATGTTCCAGCTGGTCCCAATGCTCTTTCTGATGTACTTATAAGGTAGTGTATTGAATATTGAATTACTTGTTTTCTCTTTAGTTTTTGGTTTCATGTAAGAAGTCATGTTGTGATTTTGGATATTTATGTAACATTATTTTGTGGCAGTACACCTATTTTTACTGGCGATGGGGAAGGTGGAAGTGGCTTCGCTGCTGCAGCAGCTGCAGCTGCAGCTGGTGGTGTATCTGGTTTTGAGTTTGGTGTCGATCCAAACTTGGATCCTGAGCTAGCTCTCGCTTTAAGAGTTTCAATGGAGGAGGAGAGGGCCAGACAGGAGGCAGCTGCAAAAAAGGCTGCTGAGGATGCTGCCAAACAGGAGAAAGGAGATGATCAGCAAGCCAGTTCACAAGATGCAACAATGACTGAGCGAACCAGTGCTGCAACATCTGAAGCTGATAACAAGACAAATGATATGATGGTTGGTTTATTTTGTCCTTCCAACTGTTATTATTCTGCCTATTTTCTGCTGTTGTGCTGGCAAGGGGGCTATATTGTCTTGGCTGATGCTACAAGCTAATTGACCTGTGTTTTTGATGTGATAAATAGGACCACTTCCATGTCCTGCACACCAACTTCAATTTGAATTTGACATGCTAATGTGAAGTTTTTGATTTTGCCATCATGTTACTGCTATTTTTTCATTGCCATCATGAGCACCCAAAAGGAAATGCCATGTATTTTTCCTTTTTCCCTTGCTGGTGGCTGGTGCTACAATATAGTTGGCTCTATTCTCACACCCATGATTATCAATTTATCATCATGACCTTATACATCTTTTATGGTGACCCTCTAGTTCCCAGTCTGTTTGCTCTGCATTTGTGACATTATTAGTTTGTGCATTATTCTTGTTTTTCTCTGGCTCCCTAGACATGTACTTTTTCTATGTAATCTTTCTGGAGTGATTAAAAATAGCGTGGAGGAGAATAAATGGGAGGTTCTATCTGCCCATTCTTAGTCTGCTGCTTATAAAACAATCATCCCCTTTAACTATAATTCAGCAACATTTTTTAGCCATGTGTTCATAAGAAAGACACTTCAAGTAAAGAAAAAGAAGGGGGAAACGTTTGAGACTTATTAGTGCTGTTTGAAAGGGTCTTGAATAATGGGATCCAAAATGTTAGTGCTTTCTTGTTCTATATTTTTATGTATTTATGTGTTGAAAATTTTCCATAAATAGAATTTAACAATGATGGTGGTACTTTTATTCTTGGAATTGATCTTCAAATGCAAACAGGATGATGAGAATGCTCTCCTGCAGCAAGCACTTGCGATGTCAATGGATGATCCTGCCATTAACCAGGACTTAAGAGACACAGATATGTCAGAAACAACTGCAGAAGATCCTGATTTGGCACTTGGTTAGTTTTTATGCTGTTCAGAAACTCTTCATTCATACTCGAGTGACTTGCATCTCTGTCCTTTACTTCTGGTCTCTTAATCCGTGGGAAGTGCCACGTGGTTCTATTACTTGGTTATTGAACTAATTACGAAATTGAGAGGCATGAATCTTGGATTGGTGAGGAAGGAGAGGGGATATCTTGTGCGTGCCTATAGCAAAGATGGATGTAACAATTTTTTTAATTCATTTTGGTGTTTAGGATCTCTTGGCATCATGTCATTGCACAGGATTGCTTAGCATGCATCTGTGTATTTTCTTGGGTCCTTCTACTCGTTTGAGGGCTGACATTAGTTGAATGGTAGTCCTGAGCCATGAGAACCTGAGTGTGACCTGGACATGGGATCTAATTGATTTGCATCTCTTCTTGGATTATATTGTAACTCAAAAAAATATTAATGGATGTCCTGCTTTTTACCGATTCTTGGTTATTTCTTGTTTTGCAGCCCTTAAGTTGTCAGTAACAGACAATACAAAGGACTCGGCAAGCCAGTCAGACATGAGTAAATTGTTGGCTGATCAGTCATTCGTATCTTCTATCCTCGCCTCAGTATGTTTGATATATCCTGTAGTTTTTTAGTACTGTTAAAATTTTGTTCCATATGTTCTGAACTAAGTAGTTATTCATTGCTATTGCAGCTTCCTGGTGTTGACCCAAATGACCCATCTGTCAAAGATCTGCTGGCCTCCATGCAAAATCAGTCTGAGGTGAGTATTTTGCCTGATGATATCCTAATACGATGTATGGATTTCTTTTAATAGCTCAAAAGAAAGAAAGAAAAACCTATTGCCATGTTCTTGAATCAAAATATGATATATAATTGTTTTCTCGAGAGAATTAATCATATCTTGAGCTATTAAAAAATTTGCTTATAGTGTTTTTATCAAAAAGTTTGATTGCAAATATTCAAAAACTGTATCTAGGTTTTGTCCCGCCGTTTTTGGAGAACTAACTTTGGTGGATTTTCATGTATAAACATAAAAGATATGCAAGCGACAGCGTGCTGGTTTTAATAACTACCTATCTCGCATTGCTAGCATTTTGACATATTGTTGGTATTTTGGTTTATTGTCTGCACTCTTGTTGGTCCCCTGATCGTTCTTCTAATAATCAGCCGCAGCAGAAGAATGAAGACAAGCCGCCAAATGAGGAGGAAAAGAAATAATCTTGTGGATCTTAGTGTCCATGCCAGGCTTTATATTCTGTTCCCTTGATAGACAAATTTGTTAGCATGTTGGATGGTGGTTCAAAATAGGGCACTCTTTGGAACTGATGTTTGGTTCCATGACTTAAGTTCTAGATGATTGTTAAGTTACGCGTTGCTGTTGGCCGAGCTTTGCAACGTGGCCACTCGGGGAGGAACATTCGAACCATTTATATATATATATATATATATATATATATATATATTTCAATATCTTCAAATATATATTTCATATAGATCCTTCCGATTTTCGAAATTGATTTATAGGCTATAGCATATTAGTATGTAGTTTGGGTTTTCTTGCGGGCCATTTGATGCTGGCAGATGCATTATTCAATTTTTATGATTTTTTTTTTTTAAATTTCAAACGCAAAAGGTAGGGCGTAGTTGTGCATATTTGTACATTGCAATCACGCAATGTTTAAAGTCAGACCGGGGTCTCCTTTTTTATTGTTTAACCCGTAGTCTAATCGGTAAGAAAATGAATAAAATAATATTATATGCATGCATAATATATATTTAAGGATTAAAATACCAATTAATCAAAAGACGTCATATGTTGAATTATCTTTGTGGTTATGGTTAAACCGCAACATGTCAAAATACAATAACAAGGGGAAATCTTGAATTGTTCAACCTATGCTGATAAAATTATTCAACTCATGTTAATAAAGTCATGTATGGTGTGTGGGCATGTATCTGTTGCGTCAATGATGGCAATGGCATTCTTTGGTGGAATTGAATACTATTTCCTGTCTTAATTATAAGACCTATTTGGAAAAATTAAAAAACTTAGTTAAATTAGTTATTTATAATGAATAGATGTTTTTCTTAAAATATGCTTGCTAATCGAATTTGTTATCTAAAACTATTATTATTAGAAGGATTATTTTGAAAAAAATAAATAAATATGATAGATAAAATAGATTGAGATCTTATATTTAGGATTACAATAAAAATCAAATAAGGTCTTATATTAAAGACAGGAGGTAGTAAATGCTATCTTTGGTCTTTAATATAAGAGTTAATTAATTAATTTAAGTAGATTATGAAAATTTATTAAGTTAGTTATTTGTAATTATTAAGTATTATCTTTTCTATAATATCCTTGATAATTTTGTATATTAGTTATAATTATGATTTGAATAAATTTTTAGCATGTGTAACTACTAGAAGGGTTATTTAAAAAAAATGAAAGACAAAGTAAACCAGAATCTTATATTTAGGATCAAATTAAAAATCAAACTAATTTTTAGATTAAGGACAAGAAGTACTCTTCCGGTTCTTAATATAAAACCCAATTGTCAAGTTGATTTTGATTCTAAATATAAGACCTATTTTTCATATTTATCAATTTTTTCTAAATTACCTCTATTGATACTCCCACAACCACAATCAAATAGGAGAGAGAGACAGAATATTAAAGAAGATGATTATGATGTTTTAAATATATTATATTTCTTATAATTAACTAACTTATCTAATGTTTTTAATTTAATTAAACTAGTTAAATAGGTCTTATATTAAGAATTGGAAGAGTAATATATATAAAATTAAAATAAGAGGAAATAAAATACCTTTTTTCGTTTGATTAACTTTGGAGAGTTCGCCATCCTCAAACGTGGAAAACTATGTTGCTGGCATGGTAGGAATCATCACATATAATGTCAATATTATATAAATTGATTTAAATCTCACCTTCAAGGAAAAACAGGATAAACTGAATTTTTCTTGTGAGGTATTTTTAGAGGAGCTGGAATCATTTTATAAAGAATTATAGAATATTATTAAGCGTATTATTATTGCTGTATTGTTTTAACCATCGACGCTAAGTCATCTATTCGTATGCATAGGAAGATTTTTTTAACCTACTCCTCTAATCCTATTTGTAGGATAGAGAAAAGTAATTTTTTAGTTCTATTTATAAAATATAAAAAATACAATTTCACCTTTTATTTAATATTGTGTTCACTTTATTCTAATAGGGTGTAATGTATTTAAATAAAAATAAAGTTAGAAAGTTGTTAACTTTTAAATAAGAATTAATAAGGTTTAACATTTTTCTTAATATGTAGAAGTAACCTATAAATAGGGTCAAATAAGTAATTTTTTTAAGATTATGCATTACATTACTCTAATTTTTTTAAGAATACTTTTATCTTCTCAAATAATATTTCCAAGACAAAAAATGCACTCTAAAATAAATACACTTAAGCCATCAAATTTGTGAAATGTTACCCAAGTCAGAGCATAAAAAAATGGACAAAAATGTATTTATTGAACAATATGCTTAGCTCCAAGTACAAATTTTTTAAAGGTTGGGTGTAAATGCTGGTGGAAAAAAAAAAAAGGTTGGGTGTAAATATTAAATAATTGATTTATGCAACCATTCAAATCTCGATATCCTAGTGTCACTACAATGAGTAGTCAGAGCATAAGCGTTTAAAATCTTTAAATACTCATATATGTGGGGGTTTTCAGTAGGGGGTTTGGGTAGATAAGACTGTTGGAAATGTAAAAATTGGATAAACTTACTACTGAAAAATACCTCCATTAATATAAGAACTAATTTAATTTTTATTTTAGTATTAAATATAAGACTACAATTTATTTTATTTTTTATATTTATTTTTTTAAGGTAATATTTGTATTGTAGTAATTACACATGCTAAATATTATGTCAAATAGTAATTTTAGCTAATACATATAATTAACAAGAATACTTTAAAAATAATATATTTTATTACAAATAATTGATTTAATTAATTTTTAATCTCTCTAAATTAGTTAATGAAGTCTTATGTTAAGAAATGGAAAAAAAAAAACTAAACTCATTTGAAAATTACCAATTTAAAAAGCTGATTAAATTATTTATTTTCAGGCAAAGACCCAAAAAATCAAAAGCGACCTTGCCTGATAGGCCTGCCATGTCCAACGAGGCTCCAACGAAGGGGCGCTTTTATGTAGCAGTGATCTTTTTCAGGTCCAACGGATGAAACAGACGGCTTTTGGTTTATATTTGATACGTTGACGACGTAAACCTTTTTACGTATTATTCGTTCGATTCACCAAAAATGTCGTAAATCAGTGCACCTTACGTTTTGGATGTTTCATGCTTTTATTCTTACATGTAAGAGAATAAAATTGTCAAAAAAGTTAGAAAAATACACTTATTCTCTTTAAATCTCATCAGTATTTTTCTTCTATATTTGTTTTTAATACTTAATAGAAGGTAAATAGAAGAAAGAAAGGCTGGTAAAAAAAAAAAAAGCAAGAAAGAAAGAAATATATCTCAAGAAGTTTGAGCTAAAAATAGTTCATAATAATAGATAATAGTAGTAGAATATTTCTTCCGGTTCAAAATATAAGTTAAACTTTATCCATTACGTTTATCAAAAAAATAATTAAAATTAATTTAAAATAATAAATGTGTAAGGCATATATTTATTTTTTCTAATATAACTTTATTAATGAAGAGAATAAGTAAAAAATATAATAAATGAATTAAAAAAGAGAAAGAATATATGGGGTAAAATTAAAAAAACCTTATTAAATACTTGAATAAAAATAAATATCTTGAAAAAACTAACCTCTTAAAAAAAATTTAGCTTATATTTTGAATTAAGGGAGTACAAGCCAATATTTTATTTTTGGCCAAAACAAGGCTATTGGAAATCATGAAACGTGTGATTTTTATAGTGGTGGCGAAAATTCCATTATTCCCCATTTACGGAGCAGGCATGAGCCTTGAGCAGCCGCCGCCCTTGACCCTACCAAAAGCTCCATTCCCAATGCAACAAAACAAACCCAGAGCAGACTTTTCCTTTTTCTATCAAAATATAAACCCACCCCTTTTCACGTGTCCCTTTCTCTCTCTTCTCTCTCCCAAAATCATTTCCCTTACATCAATACCGCCAGTCGGCCCAAAAAAAAAAATGTTGATTTAATTTTGATTTTATTTTTAAATATAAAATCATATCATCTGCGGTTCTAATTATAAGAGTTAGTTGACTAATTTAAGGAGATTAAAAAAATAAGTTGAGTTAGTTATTTGTTCTGAATAAATATTGTCTTTCCTAAAATATCCTTACTAATTAAGTGTATTGGCTAAAACTACCATTGTTAGAAAGACTATTTTGAAAAAAACATGTATAAGTATGAGAGACAAACTGGATTGGGGTGTTATATTTAGGACCAAAATAAAAGTCAAACAAGATATTATATTAAAGATAGGAGATAGTAATTCACTTTATCTTTTATATTTATATATATTTTTAAGATAGTTTTTTTAATAATAGTAATTTTAGCTAATACACTTGATTAACAATGATATTTTAGAAAAGATAACATCTATTTATTATAAATTACTAACCTAACTTATTTTTTTAATTTGCTTAAATTAATCAACTAGCTCTTATATTTAAAATCGGAGGTAATATTATATTCTGAACCGCTTTGGTGCAAATATACTAAAATCCACTCACTCGCTCTTATGTCTCTATCTTTTTCCAATACTCTTCCCACTTTATTTATAAAGTAGAGAAAAAAATATTTCCCCCCTCAATATAGGTCAATTTTTTAAAATTTATTTTAATAAAATGTATTGAAGTTGTCTTAAGAGAGTACCACTTTATTTCTTAAATTTAATTCTTCGTGTGACTCAACTCCAGCCCCTCAATGTTACATCTCATTATCAAAATTTGAAGCTCTTAATGTAAATTATTCTTTAGGACAAAGAAGTTAATTTCCAATACTAGCCCCTCAACCACATTCCATGTATGCTTTTCTTCCTTTTTCTCCTTCTTCAACCGGTCTTCTCTCATAATTATGATTTTGGATTTTGTTTCTTATTCACTGCCAGGAGCCATCCTTTTGTGATAGGGTCAGAGAGGGGATCAAAGAATAGGATAAGAATTACAAAAAAGAAGATAAAATTATTTCTCTCGACACAAAAACACGCATTATTGTTCCCGGTGGCATCTATAGATGGATAAGATGGTGTATTTTCTGTCAAACTCGTGTGGCTTGCATGGAATATAAAATATAAATCAAGCTATTCATATATATGTATATTAACAAATAAACCATATCATTCATATTTGTCAACATCAACAATATGATTATTATTATTTTTTTAATACATCATATCTAGGTCGATGTATACTTGCGCCTGGACGTTAGCGTACTGAATCAAAGTCCTCCGTTCCAACCAG